CAACGTAAGCTCTAACCATTGTTCGTTGAATTCAACAAGAAAACAAATATCAATGTTTGTGTATATGTATTGCTGTTTGTTAGTGCACTTATGAGATTGGTTAGTAATATCTTAACAATATCTTGTAATATAATAAGGCAGTCGTTCGTCCAGCTAAATTCAATTTTTAGTTCTCTGAAATACCGTAGCAAATCTATAAAAAAAAGAGTACGGGCATTTTCAGCTATCCTGAACCTATGTCCTCGTCTAGTTACTTCACAAATAGACCATCCGATACTCATGGCTCCGAGAGACGACATGAACAGGATGTTTGAATTTAATCAAAACTTTCAAATAAACCTAGGTACCAAAAAAGAATGGGAACGAGAGGTCAACACCTCTTTTAATAATGGCACCATCCTTTGGTACACAGTTGGATCTAGAACATAAGAAGGGGCGGTAGTATTTGGACCTGGAACCAAATACCCAGAGCCCATGGGAAAATACACCAGTATTTTCCAACCTGAGATTCATGTAATTAAAAGATGTACCCAACTCTACCTGAATAAAGGGTACAAAAACGAGAATATAGCTCACATGTCAGATAGCCAAGCGGCCATCAAAGCACTAAGCTCAAATATCATTAGTTCAAGGATGGTGCTGAACGGCAAAACCAAACAAAACATATTAGGTACGCAGAACAAAGTCAGCCTCTGTGGGTCCCAGGACTCATGGGAGTAGAAGGCAACGAGAAAGCGGACACCCTTGCAAGGCAAGGAGCTGCTACACCGCTGACAGGACCTGAACCCTTCTGTAGCATAGGAACCCACAGTATTAACTCTCTCATTATATCAGGCAGAAGGACAAAAAGAAAATGAAGGAACTATGGCATTCACTCATTGGACCCACACAATCCAAGAATCTTCTAACCAATTTTGGAAGGAAAGAAATTACAGAATGTGTCAAGGGAAGCAGGAATAAACTGCGAATCCTAATAGGATTCCTTACAGGACACTGCAAGTTAAATAGACACTTAAAAAAGATTGGAATAATCCAAGATGGCACCTGCAGATTCTGCAAAGAGGCAGAAGAGACACCAACACATTGCTGCTGCACAAGCTACACTAGTCCGCAGGAGGAAATGTTTTGGGATGTGTCCAAAGAAGAGCTTCAACCACTGAAAACGGGCCTATTAATCATGGCCTATTAAATTAATCAAGAAATATGACTTACCGATGTGCTTTAGGCAGAGTGCGGGGGATACAATACCTCTTAAAGAGCGCAGTATACTATACCCTGCAAATTACATCTACATTTACATCTACTTCACAAATGCTTTTTAGATCCCAATTTACGACAAAATATAATCAAACATATACGATACGCAGAAAAGATAATTTCATCCATACAGTTGGATTTTTGGCAGGTTTGAAATAGAGGCATAGCAAAAGCACACATTTCATCGCCAAAACTAAGTCTTAATGAACTACATCAAAGAAAATCTCACAATAAACGAAATAGCAAAATAGCAGATAGATTTAAGATCAAAATGTATCGTTTCAACTAGACAACGCCATCCGTTCAATTGTTTTAATCTTGACAAAAGACACGTTCTCCAAACCGTTGTTTTATTATTCTTTGTTTTTCGTTTGGTTATTACTCATCGCACGTATTTCAATATGAAACTGAAATAAAAGTCAAAGGTTTGCTAGTTCTGGAGTTTATCTTTTATTGGACTGAGCCCTTTTCATTATTACACTGGAGATTTTTCCAATAAACAAAAACACCAGCTTTCCGTTCTCGTAAAAGGTTATGGAGTTTTCTTTGCAAACACACGTCTTTATCTCTCCCATATATATCACACTTGATCGTACATATCTCATTCTCATATATGTCATATATCTCTCCGCGCCGCCCCTCTCTTACTTGTTGCGTTTGACTACTTGTGCGTAATAGAAAAATATCAAAAACCCGTTCACATCATCAGCACTATGAAGATTTAAAAAAATTATGCAAATTATACACCTTCATTTACCATTCCTGATGCAATGAACCTAACTCTAGCAAATTCCGAATCACATCATGCAGGCAAATCCAGCTAGCGTATTCAATTGCCAAAGCGGGATGGTGGAGATGACAAAAATTTATTCCAGCGCAGCGTTCAACAAGAAAGCTCAAAACATAACAGTAGCAACTTTTTATGATATTTTTAACTTGTAAGATTTCTCCATGGGGTCTGCGGTGTGATGGACCTGCAATTTACTCGTTTCCGATCATTTTGGTCGAACTATTCTTTTCCTATTTTATCAGCCAGACGCGTATCGGCATTTCGCCATCTTCAGAGCTGAGTCTGTAGTGGTTTCTAAGTTGAGTTTGTGTTTTAACTTAAAAAATGAACGAATCGGTCACAAATTACAAAAAATATTACTAAAACCCATCATCAACATCAGACGTATAAAACAAACTTTTACTTTACTAGACAGCAAGCATAACCAACCGCAGTCAGTCCAAAATACTTCTCAAAATCCTCAGTGTTTCCTTTTTTTGTCGAAGTATTCAATGCACAATGGCCATCCCATTACCAAAAAATGCGTAAATTTTTTATCACCTATTTTAATTCTCCAATCTAACAATACTAATGACCTCTGTGATATTTAGTAAAGAGGGGCAATGCGTGTGATCGCTGGGCAGCTTCTTTCGCAAGTGACTCGTGAACTATTACGAAAAGAACTGCTTAGAATAGTTTAACCATTATAGTCCCAAATTGAACATAAAAATTACAAAATAAAGTTTTATATTATCACCCAGAAAGTGATTATGTTTAAATCTTTTTTAAGGTCTTTACTAGGTGAAAGAAAGACAAAAGTGTTGGGATCACCAAGCTTTCGGCAACATTATGTTGCCATCATCAGGGCCTATTTATTAAGAAAAAATATACATAATTAATATAAATAAGCCCTGATGATGGCAACATAATGCTTCCGAAAGCTTGGTGATCCCAACACTTTTGTCTTTCTTTCACCTAGTAAAGACCTTAAAGAAGATTTAAACTCTACATTGATTATCTGCAGGTCGATCTACAAACATCATTTGTAAAATACTTCACTATGTAAGTGCGTTGATTATAGTTAAGGTTAAGTTCGTCATTTTTTTTTAAATATAAGTGAGTTTTTTTCAGCACATTGTTAAAGATCATCCCGGTCCCTGTAAGTTCCAAGATATTTAGTGGACTTGAACAAACGGCAGAAAAAAACCGAAAATCTTTTGACTCAAAAATATCTTAACTTGATAAAGTATGTAAGTAGATAAAACAGATAAAGAATGGTTAAAGGTACACCTTTTAGGTATTCAGGAATATTCAAATCATTTTACACAAATATGTATGGAAGATATGATAAATGGTGGAGTGAGTGTGTTGTTCAACCTTTTTAAAAAAGTCCATTATATTTAGTGGTCTATTGACCAAATTACTTCTTTCAATTATTTAATCTTTTTATATAAGGTTTTGGTCGAAATGAAAAAGTTACTGTCACTAACGGGATTCGAACCCACGATCGGCTCAGTACGCCGCTAACCACTTGAGCTATCGTGATTTCGATCCACTCGGACACCAACTTTCTTTCTCAACCAACCTTTCGAATTTTCCCTCCTTTTGCCATTTTTCAAATGTCGTGTACTGAGGATTCGATTCTCGGCGACATATGAAGTGGCCATGAAGAGCTGTTAATGAAGTTATACTTCGTTTTACTTATTACATCCATTATATTTAGTGGTCTATTTTCCAAATTACGTCTTTCGATTAATTAATCTTTTTATGTAAGGTTTTGGTTGAAATGAAAAAGTTAGTGAAACGAGCGGGATTCGAACAAGTGAACTTGTTTATAGCTCATCATCAGTTTGAAGGAGTTTTACAGTTTTAGCTATAATCTTGAAATCCGGATCGTTGAAAACAACTAACTGTGGGTAGAAACTATCTTTTTAAAAAGATTGAATTATCTACCCAGAGTAAATTCATTCGTATTTAGTGGAACAGTTGGCTAGTAAAATACCGAGATGTGATTATCAATTAATATCATAAAAACAATATTTATATTAAATTCGCTAGATTTCATCGTCCGATTGACCAAATAACATCTTTCAATTAATTCGTCTTTATGTAAGATATTGGTCGAGATAAAAAAGTCAGTGTCACGAGCGGGATTCGAACCCACGACCTTCGGCTAAATACGCCGCTGCTCGTGACACTGACTTTTTTATCTCAACCAATACCTTACATAAATATTTATATTGTTTTTAAGACTGGTCACTTTGCCGAATTAGTCGAACTTAAATGAGCCTGGCGGCTGAGCTTTTTAAAGCCTTCAGATTTTATGTTTGGTTAAGCAGTTTTGTTTAAGACGTTGAAAGGTTTACATCCTTTTGTAAAGTCGTAATTTGCTCTGACAAAAATTATGAGCGATTACTATGACATCGGTTAATATCAAAATTTGAATAGATATTGCACAAACATCAATGGTTGTTTTAAAATGTCAGTTCTAAAGACTGATTTTATATTTCTTGTTTTTAAATCTATTTTAATTTAAAAAAGTTCTTATTTAAGTTAACCTCTCTGATCAAGAATATTATGAGATAAACTACTTGACTTAAATAAGAAGCTTTTGCATTTCAAGGAGAATTTAAAACAAGGAAAGGGTCTTTAATATTTTATCAAAGTCGTAGAAACGCTTTTATAAACAATAGACAGAATATTTGTTAAACGGAAGTGTTGAAGAGTTTGTAAATAAAGATAAGAATCAATAGAAAAGTCTAACTAAAACGCCATCCGATGGCAGTTGTACGTTCATCAGTTTATGGTGCTCTAAAGAAAAGTTTGTTCCAAATAATTTAGAGAAAAATCAAAATTAAACACAAGTAAATTTTACATAAATTTGATTAAGAATAAGACCGTAGTACTTGCGGTATCTCTTCATGTCTTTCTTGATTTTATATTTTGGTTCTTAGGATGTTTCTCAATAGCCTACCTTTGTCTGCAGTTGAATTCGCTCGGGGAAGGACTGTTGCGAGGGCAGCGTCCGCGAAGGGTTTTATACCAGGGGGGCTCCGGGGTGTGCGCAGTCTCTCAACCCTTCCGTATGAAAAATTGTCTTCAGCAATCGGTCACCCCCACGTAGTTTTCTACAGCCCTGTAGGTGGTCAAAGACAAAAATCATTCTGGGTTACTTACAGATGAAATCTTTGTCACAACGGGAAAGTCACCTTTCTTCCACTACACCCTCATTTATACAAGTAAATATACATTTATAGTTTTAAAAAAATTATCTTACTAATATGAATTAAATTATATTTTATATTTAATTAAATTTGTGCCTCTATTTGTTACGTCTTAATATATTTTATTTTATTCAGTCAGGCAATTAAATGTATAATAGAAACTATATGCAGGTTTATCCCACGTGTTTGTTCTAGATAAATGAAGTATATTGTACTCTGGTGATTAAATTTATATTATTCGTTAATAATTAATTATTAAGATATTTTATACGATAAAGAAGAGTATGTTGCGGTGCCCCTTAGGCTACGGTTACTAAGGATGCGAATTCTGACGAAATTTTGTTCTGAGAGTACGTCCGAACTCCAAGTCAGAACAAGGTGGTTACATGTGCGCGTTTTCTTACAATACGTTTCTGCCTCCCAGCAAAATGGACGAACTTAATTAGTTTCATTTTCTTGAAAGTTCGTTGATTAAGCTGTTGTTGATAGGTGGTTTAAAAACAGAGCGTGTTAACCATTTTCCATAAGAGACGTGAAGGGAGAGTTTCAAACTTATTGCTAGTCCCTTAAAAAAATGCATATTAATCCGTGTAAATTTAGCGGTCATAATTTACCACAATAATTAAAATGAAATTTGCAAAATGGCAAAGAGAGGGAAAATCCGAACGGTTGTAGGTTGAGATGAGTTGGTATCCGAGGGGATCGACGTCACGATAGTTCAACTGGTTAGAGTAGCGACGTATGAGCCGAACGTCGTGAGTTCGAATCCCGCTCGTGACACTAATTTTTCGTCTCAACCAAAAACCTTGGATTAAAAGAATTATTCATTAGAGCAATTAATATGGTCAATTATGGCCACTAACCAAATATGACTTATTGCTAGTGTTGATTTCATGAGAAACTTTCTCCCGCTATGGCCGATATTTTTTGACGTTCATGTTCCACAAACACCGATTCTCAAAAACAAGACTAATAAGTTTATCTGTGTCCATGGTAAAATAACAAAACTGCCTAAATTGAACGTCAGAACGGACGAAAAAATTAAACTGGTTTGAACGCTGGAATGGTTCTGAGGACATCGTGCGCGTTCTGACATTCACATCGCTGCCAAAGTAAACACTCTCAGGAAAACAAGTATTGTTTGTACGGACGAAACAACAGAACAAAATTTCGTCAGAATTCGCATCCATAGTAACCGTAGCCTTATGCAGAGAAAGGTTGCTCGATATGTGTCACGCCTTGGCTCCATACAGAGAGCGTGTAGGTATGCCGCCGGATTTAAGAACCGTTCTCGGACACAGCGAGTTTCAGGATCCCCTGTTCCGCTTTTTAGGGAATTGGGAATTTTTTATTGTATATAGCCGTCAAAATGTGTTTTCTTTCTTTGCTTTGTATGAGTGAGTGTATATATTAGAGTGAATGGGGGCTGAGGAAATAGCATCGCCCATCGCCCATCGCCCCTCGAGCTGTGTACTTGGGACGACACCCCATCGACCCCAATTAGATTAGTTTGTTGTTGTATGCAGATCGGAGGAATATTGAGTACTCCATCTACTAGAATGAACGCAATAGGTGTGAATGTATTTATTTGTGTGAATGCGTAATGAATGTGTGTTGTTATATTTCTCATGCGCTCGGGGCAGAAATGACCAAGCTGTCGGATGCCCCTAAGAAAAAAAATATATGTTCCGAGCTCCAACAAGCCTTGAAATTGGGTACAGGCAGTGATCCCGAAATGCGTATGGGTAATAAAAAGTAAAAAAAAAGGTTGTGAAGTTAAGTAAATATCCCAATCACATGATGAATTAATTGATTAATAAAACAATATTGTCGGCTTTGTCCTTATTCGGCGTCCGAGGACGATAAACCCTAAACTAATAAAGCCTGTTTGCATTTTGCTAATTGTCATCTCGTTACGTTTATTTGAAAATACTTGAAACGGACATTATTTTCTATTGAATCCCGCCATTCTCAACACAACGGGTTACTCTAGTAGTAAAAAACATGTTTTATGTAATGCAGATTATGTACTATTCCAGGCTTACAAAACGTTGAATTAATTAAGAAAATGCGTTCGATCAAATACAAACTGCTTTTACGAGCGACTATTTTTTGGACATTAAAACAGAACTAGAACGTTTCGAGACTTATACCCTGAAACTGCATATGAATTACTCTAACAAAGATTCCTTAGGTGAAAAAAATTGCTTTACAGGTAATAAAAAAAATGCTTTCTTGTCTGAAAGCTTGGTCTCAACATTAATAATATCATCGCACTCATCACTCATCAGGCTTGAAACCATAAATTTCAATGTTGTAAATATGAATATGTACATATTTGTTAACCTCGTATTATTAATCACAGTTACAAAGTTTTCCTAAATGACCCATAGTGGTTGGCGGCCATTTTGTTAAGTTCTATTGAACGAGATTTTGTTTATATATCCGGTGTTCCACATAAAAATTCATAACTCTTCTGGATTTTATTTTTAACGCCAAAGCTATTGCCAACGTTGGAAAGTTGAATTTGGAATCTCAATAGCATTTAGATTTTATGTCATTATTCATTTTTTTAAATTATTATTTTATTCTATCTTTTTCAATTAATTAATACTTTTATGTAAGGTTTTCGTTTAAATGAAAAAGCTAGTGCCACGAGCGGGATTCGAACCGCTCATAGCTCAAGTGGTAGAGCAGCGTTGTATTTAGCCGAAGGTCGTGGGTTCGAATCTCTCTCGTGGCACTAGCTTTTTCATTTCAACCAAAACCTTACATAAAAATATTAATTAGTTGAAAGTAGTAATTTAATCAATAGGCCACTAAATATAATGGGTTTTATTTTATTCTCCGGTTCTAATATATTTACAGAGACCAGGTTGGTGACCTGCAGTTTATGTATGTTTGTATATGTTCTGTAGGGTTCTAAACCCCCGATCATAGGAGTCGTTTCAAAGTTATCACCGTTTTTTTTTTCTTTTTTCTTTTTTTTTCAACTGTACATGTATTATATTCAACCAGCAGATTGGATTTCAATTTATGTCTGTGGCATTAAGGGCGTTTAGAGAAAGCTACCCATTGGCAGCCGGTCTGGATGAATAAAATGATATTAATATTTTAAAAGATCTCTTATCCATATTCTTTTCAGTCGTTTACGACGTGTTATTGTTTGTTGTTACGTGTGTTATTGTTTACGTAAAAAGGACAGAATCAATGGAATCAACATTGAAATCAATGTGTGTTGTTTAGTGACCGTTAGTCAATGATTATTCGGAGATCGTGAGATGCGGTCTGGTGTGACGTAGGTTTTAGAAAAACATTTTCTTTATCGTGCCAACGTTTCGATCTTTATTGAGATCATCTTCAGGGCCTGGGATTTACAAACATTGTTTAAATTTTACAAATACATGTAGGATGTGAAAAAAATGAATTCATACGATACTAGAAATTTTAGATTTAAAAAACCCGGTAGTGTAAAGGTGAAGGGTTTAAACTTTGTTTTCCATGATTACTCCATTTTTCAATTGTTGACATGTGGTTTTGGAACATAAGATTTTGAGATTTTAAAAAAAATCATTTGACAATTAGCGGACAATTTGAGAAAACACGCTCATTCGCGAATTTTCTCCTCTTCACAGAAAAACATTGAATCATGGATATGTAACAAAACCGGTCCCAAATCATAACCCTAATTATAACCCTAACCCATGCATACTCCCCGGTAATTCTAAAGCCATAACGCAAAAACGGTCATGAAAAAATATTATGTATCCGGCCGAAAAACATATCCGCGTTAAAAAAATCACAATCATTTATAGTGACCGAGCAACGTAATAAAGTATGTTAAAATTAAAATTTCTTTCCAGATTAAACTTTAATGTTCTCCAGCTCTCATCCCGGAAACATAAAATATTCTTTATTTCCGCCCATAAGACTAATTACATAAAAGAAAGTCCCATCAATAGGTTAATGCACCCAGCTATCCTGCTTCTCCACACCTCTCATACTAATATAATATTTGAATTTTTAAAAATCAATTAATTTCTGCACTCAAGATATAAATGTTTACATCAATTTATGTATTATTTTCACATCCATTTTATGTACGTCTCATTATCGTTCTGTAAATAAATACATTTGTTTGTTTAATATTTACAATTATTTATTATTACATTTTTATGTTATGCTAGGTAGATTGGATATTAATATTAATTATCATTATTCAGTTCACTTTTGTTTGTACTCTATCAATTATGTTAACTGCGTATCATTTATACTGCTGACCTATCAATTTCCACATCCTGGCACTATTACCCCCACTTACGCGGACGACACCGCAATCTTATCCTCTAACTCGAATCCTGTCCAAGCTACCACCAACATCCAGAACAACTTGAGCTTATCGAAGTCTGGTGTAAAAAATGGAGGACAAGACTGAATCAAAAGAAATTGCACTCAGTGTACTTTTACGCTGAAAAAGCAGTCTTGCCCTCTATTGTACATCAGCAACAAAGAGATACCAGTTTCCACCCAAATCAAATACATGGGACTATACCTCGACAGCAGACTGGCGTGGAATCCCCACACAAGACTTAAAAGAAAACTTAATACAAGACTTGAACTACTACGAAGACTTCTAATATTGAAATTGACATTGACAACTAAGACAAAGCTAACACTGAACAAGACTTTACTCAATATGGACATACGGAGTGGAACTGTGGGGTACTGCTAAGCCATCCAACATCCAGCGTATCCAGTCCTTCCAATCGAAAGTCCTTTGACAAATTGTCACATCAGCTTATTCACCTCACTATCCACAAAGACCTCAACATTCCTTTTGTCAAGGAACTAATCCGGTCCATATTCCAAACCTTCCACACCAAACTTTCGAGACATTTGGGAAGACCTAATGAACTATTTCATGTCCAAAGGAGCAATGGCACATCAAAATATTTAGTTGTAACTACTTGTATACCACACGTTTATTTGATTAAATAAGTGCTGACAAATGTACTTTTTTTCCAAAAACACCGGCACCCCGAGGAAATTTTCGCCAGAAGTCCCAGTGTTTTTGTGACATTCTGATCATTTTCCCTAGTTTTATTTGGTGTTATTGAGCGCAAACTTGATCGGCTTTTATCCATACCAAGAGGAAGCCTAGCAATCCTCTGAACCACTCTTGTTCAACAACACTTTACGGTGTTCCTGAAAAAAAAGACCTAACGTTTAACTTTGGTTTTCACTGCGCGAATGGCTATTTTGTAGAGCTTTTCCAAATCCTCCCATGCATCGTTCCTTTATAATATAATGAAGGTGATTTGAGTCCTACAATAAACTGTATTTTCGATAATGTTCAATAAAAAGTAATGCTTCTTCTGTGGAAGACACAATAAAGTGCAACGCCACGAAAATCCACTAGCTCCAAACGTTAGTCATGGGTTGCGTTCGTTGAATTCACTTTCATCTCAGGCATGGGTTACAGGTAAGCTGATGTTTCACGCAAATAAAGCACAAGTGTAGACGTAGCTTACGCAAGTGGCACTGTGGCTAGGCATTCGAGCCCCAGGGTGATGAGGGTAACCCTTGGTAAGGAATAAACTACATAGGGTTCCAATCTTCGTAGAGGTCATTAGACAGGTGAAAAAAAGACTAAATGCTGGGTTCACCGAGCTTTCGGCACCTTATATTGCCATCATCAGAGCTTTCCTAAGGATGAAGAAAACGATTAACACGGAAAACTATTGTACAAGCGTTTTGGGTTTAGCGTGATGGAGCACATGGCCAGCAAAATACATTTTTGACGGTGAAAACTGACATCTCGCTAAAAATCCATATGGCTAAAGGTACAACTAGTTTTTTTCTTCAATTTCTTACAGGTACTTTTGTGATCACAGAGAATATTTACAAAAAAAGATTTTTTTTCTATTTAAAACTAAAATTACAGCTATTTACAGTAACTATGTACAAAGACTAGAAGACAAAGACAATTAATGAGAGAGAGAGAGAGAGAGAGAGAGAGAGAGAGAGAGAGAGAGAGAGAGAGAGAGAGAGAGTGAGAGAGAGAGCGACGAACTTTTTCTAATTATTTTATAAAATCCCCCAACACCCTCTTTTTTTCTTCTTTTCTATACTACGGTACAGTGGTTTAGAAGACCAAATAAACTACACGAAATGGTACAAATCTGGTAATTAAACAACGACACAATAATCTAAAAGTTGTTGTTATAGGCTAAAAGAAGAAAAAACAGCTTTTTTAATAGTTGCAATAGAGTAGATAAATATAGGAAAAAATAAAGTATGAATTTTTAAGCGAAACACCGGACACCAGGGAAAAAAAATTGCCTCGTGCGTATCCAGCCTAAATGTATCATTTTTATTGCCAAGAAAATTCGCATTTAAGAGCTTTTTTTGCATACTTTACAAGAAGCGACTTTTCGTTTTTACAACTTTTTATATTTATGTGTATCTAATCTCATTAAATACAAGAAAGTTTTATTTTATTAAAAATTTTCTTCGTTTTTGTTATCCTTCATTTTACTTTTTACAGATGATACATTTCTTTTGACGGCTTTATTATGTGGTGTTTTTAAAACATATCCACAAATGTACAGCGTTTCGGTCAACTTCTGCCATTTGGAAAGATACAATTTATTCTCGAAAGAATAGTGTAAAATTAGAAGTTTTTCCAGGATAAACTAAACTTGAAAATTCGTGAATTTTACTTGAGAACGCTTTCACATAATAAGCCCAACAAAAGAAAAATCAAATCATCGATGAAAGTATTCCCTTCACGGGGCGAAACGATCTCGAAGACCTCTTCATATTGCACCATTCTTCTGGCATTTTATCTTTATTTTCTATTTAATTCGATACGCTGAACATTGTTTTGTTTTTTACTAGAAAGGACGTCAATAGCTATCTGAAATCTATTTAATCGATAGCTTCTATTATTATTTTCATAAATTGCGGTAGAGATTTCGATCTGTTCCGTGGTTTGAATAAATAAGGGACAAAATTGTGAAGGATAAGGGGGCATTCTTTGCTGGATCTGATTTTACTTCCGAGAAATATAAATAGTCCCTAAATATATGTGTTTCTCCTAAAAAGGATAAGAAAGTTGCCGTCACAACCTCCTGGTGGAATAATTCCAAATACAAACACTGAGAGGCAAAAAAAAAGTGGCAACCCTTAATATTTTTAATTATCTCTTAGAAAATCCGCCATTATCTTAAAACAATTTTGGTCCGTTTTAAAGGATTAGAAGTAAATAAAACAGTTAAAATCTCCCACTTTTTTTACAATTGGATTTTGTAAATAAATCTTTGAATAGTCAATCTCTTTTTTGTTGACTTTTCTGTAAAGCTTCTTTCTGATTTTTTTTTCTTTTTTGTTGAGTTGTACTATTTTTAAGTGTCATATTTGTTTGATTGATGGTTTTAAGTGATGGTCAGAATCATAGCATTGTTAGACGTTGAAAGAAGTCAAGCGTATGTGGCCAGGGTTCCCAGCACAATTATCTGAAGGGTCTTCCATCGCTACCAGGATACTGGAGGTAGCGCTACCAAGAAGGCATGGATCAGGTCGCCATTGATTGTCAATTGTCACATCTCAGAGGGATGATCACTTTTTTGTTTCGAATGTACTCCGAAATTGACATTCTACCTGTTGAGGTCAAGCAATGACTTAAACAAGTCGTTAAGTTAGTGTCAGTTTATGCACTGTAAGGAGAAGACTTTCAGAAGGTGGATTACGTGCAAGAAGGCACAGAACAGCTCAACAGAATCACATAAATTTGTCTGAGTAAGATTGGACTAAATACTGGTTTTCGGATAGGTCGAGGTTTTGTTTGAGATCTGGCGGCCAAGAGAGGGTTTGGAAAAGAACAGGAGAGCAATAAATCAGAAAAGCTATGGAGGTGGTGTATGGTTCAGGCAGGCATTTCTATGGAAGGACGCACAAACTTCACATTCACCGAGGGTCCCCTAAAAGCTGTGTGATACACTGATTATGTGTTATTAGAAGTTGTTCCTTATATGCCACTAATTGGCAATGGTTTTATTTTGATGCATGACAGTGCAAGGCCCCACATAGCTAAGATAGTTGTACACTACTAGGAACGTGCTTCAATTCAATGTTGGGGCCGGTATTTCTAAGGATGTCCATAAACGATCTTCATCGACGGTTCCCTTTCAGCCTGGGAATGAACCTAGTTTTCGAATAATCTGTGGTTTCACTATTTTGCACATACTGAAATATTATTTACACGTGCAAGTTATGAGGCAATCGAACATTCAGTTTTCATCAATTCTAATAAAAATAGCAAATAGTGAAATGTTAGAAAGTAAGGAAATTGCAATTTTAGAGTAGATTTTTCCAATCAGATTTTCAGTCCGAGGGGCCAAAAACCAATTCACCTGCATCGTAAAAATTATGACGTTCATGCATTTATAAACCAAACTGAAACTTTCATCCCTGATGATGAATCCGATGGGCTCGAAGATCAAGAATAATTAAATAGCATGCTTACAAAAGTTCATTCATTAGACATCTGCAACAGAGACAGGTGGTTTATCACATCTAATAAAATTATTACTATATAAACCGTATCATTGCAACTAGCGCACATGTCGAAGAAACGAAAACTGCCACAAGCCATTGCAGATTAATGCCGTGAGGTTGATTATCAACATCAGTACTAGGTAAACAATAGTATGATGAATTTTGTGATAGAATGATCAGTCCAAACTTTGAGATACTGTGAATGGCGAACTTTATGCACAACTTTTGAGAGAAAACCAAAGTATTTGTTAAGACAACCATAACATCGACTAGGAAAAAAGACTCAACAAATATAATTTATAAAGGAATTTAATTTTTATTTACATTAAAAAAGGAGAGCTTATTTCACCATAAAACAAATTATGAATAACAGTTCGTTGAATAAAATAAATGTATAACAAATATTTACACAAATGAGGATAAATTCATTTGGTTAATTCCCAGTCAACAAAAGAATACTTGTTGTTTTCAAGTGATAGGTAAGTTGGTGTTGGCTTTTCAAAAACTAACGGTGGATCTTTGAGTTTCTTCCTGACCTCTTTGTCAAACATCTGTAAAAAAACGGAATGAAAGCACATAATCTTGTTAAACACATAAATTTTTGGTACTTGATGAAAAAATTAGTCTTGAACTGTAGTAAATGGTGTTAATTCAGGATCAACCACAATTATCAAAGCAGATGATAAAATAAAAATAAAAAATTTAAACAATACAAAATGATAGAAAACAAGAAAAAATATATTCAATGATTATATAAAAACATTAAATCATAAATTTAAATTAAAATTGTTTATAATTTTTTTTACCTTTTTTAACCATCCCTATAATTTATTAAATTAGTAATTATAAATAATCAATTTTAAGGTGAGAGATTTTTGATCGTTATAATTTACACAATTTATTTTGAGTTTGGAAAACCTCATCAAGTAGAAAAGATGAAAGTGGGGTGAGTATGTAGATCAATTTTTGTAAATGATGGTTCTATTTTCAAGCATTGGATTGCTCATCATCAGGTTGAAGGAGTTATAAACACATTCTTGACATGAATTGTAAGAGTCGGTTCACTACATTGGTACTTAAAGATATTGAAAAATGGCAAAAAGGAGGGAAAATTTAAAAGGTGGGGTTGAGATGGGAAGTTGGTGTCCGAGTGGATCGAGGTCACGATAGCTCAAGTGGTAGCGGCGTATCTAGCCGAAGATCGTGGGTTCGAATCCCGCTCGTGCCATTGACTTTTTTATCTCAACTAAAAATCTTAATTAATCTTAAAGATAAGGTAGACAACTTGTCGAAAAGCGGGTTTTACAAACTTAATTGTTATGATTGGGATATTAAATATATAAGGATAAAGTGGCAGAGAAATTTAAAAAATAATTAAAGAACACTTGCCTAAATCGAACAAATTTTCTGAATTTAAATATCATCTAAAGAAAACACAATTTAAATACAACAGTATTTCATGAGGGGAGGGAACTGGATTGGTCCGATAAATTTGAATTTAATCTGTGAGCAGAACCATCATTTACAAAAGCGAAAGAAAAAAATACCTCATCAAGCGTAACTTCAAGCAGTTCGGGTACGTTCACTTCTACTGTTGGTAATGGATTGTTAATGAACATAGCGGAGTAAGATACATTTGGAAGAACGTGGTTTTGCAGAATAAGTATTTCCCAAAGACAGCTTTTTATAGCTTGTGTCTCCATAGGGTCTTTCTCATCCTCCAAATAAGGGTCCGACTCCACTGTAATAAGAAAATCGAATATTAATTTATGTATTATTTCCAAAGGCTGGATTTTCGTGCAATTTTATCATTTTATTGCTAACTCTGTAATGAAACCAAGACAGAAATTCGAATCATGAAAAGGCCATTCTTTCAACACTACCCTTATTTTGCGTGTTTTAGCATTATTGCACACAATTTCCACATTTTGTATGTTTGAAAAATAGCATTTTTCCAATTTTTGTATGTTTATCATTTTTATATACTGTATGATATTTTATGAAAATACACCGTTTTTATGGGTTAACAGTATTGAGTAAATTCACTAGTTTTCGTGATCCGCTTGAAAAATGGCAAAAAGGAGGGAAAATTCAAAAGGTGGGGTTGAGATGGGAAGTTACTGCCCGAGCAGATTGAAGTCATGATAGCTCAAGCAGTAGAGTCTCTAGCCGAAGGTCGTGGGTTCGAATCCCGCTCGTGACACTGACTTTTTTATCTCATCTAAAAACCTTAATTTTAAGTATTGAGTAAATGAATTGAGGGTAAAATCTTTCTTTATAAAACATTTGGTCGAAGTTTTCAAATTATGCAAATTGCCTTATATTTGATATCCATCGATTGATCTGCTCTTTATCATTTGAATCTTTCTCACTTTTAATTTCTCAGTCTTTCTTCAGCCAGGTAACAAAGCAGAACCACATAAAAATATAATAACGCCCATTCAGGTTGTCGTGCTTAGTTGGAGGCTAAAGTGCTACTATGACAGAAAACCGATAGCAAAATTGTTTTTAAAGAAAAGAACGGGTCTTTCTGGATGACAGGAGGTATAACCTGAGAAAGAAAACTTAATGATGTACATAGTGTTGAATTACAAAGAAAAAATGTCAGAAAATTTGTCTACTTTATTGTTATTAATTTTTTACTACTTAAAGTTTATTTTAGATTAAATTGTTTATTGCACATTTGTTTTTTATGCATAGTTTATAAACTTTAAAACTTACTTTATTGTCATTATTTAGTTGTTTATTTTTAAATTTAAATGAATATTTATTCATATTTAGTTTTAAAAAAGGAGTATAATCTATTATAAAATAAACAATCACATTATAAACATTGTTTAAGACAATAATTAGTTTTATTAAGTAAATAAAAAATCTTATTGTGCTAAATGGGAGTTTTACCTTTATTTTGTTTTGCATATTTTCATGTTTTTATTGCATGTTTGGAGGTTTTATTACATATTTTGAATATTTTTACTGCATGAAAATCCAGTCTTCAATTATTTTTATTGACTTACTGTGAGAGGTTTTCATGTTGGTTATTAGGCTGCTAAGACCCGGGTGTCTAATAATTAGATTTGTGATAAATCCCATTAAAATTATAATGTCAGGTGGGGGAGCGACGAGAGCAAGACGGGCAAGACGTTTAGCAAACGATGCCACAAGGGCTTCAGTTAAATGGCTAAAATAAAACAACAAAAAATTAAGTGAAATGTACAGGAAGAAAATCAAACACTTACTTACAGAGATGAAAGGAAAAGGTCGGCTAAATAATAAAACCTTGCCTTGTAAGTTGTCTCGAATATTTCAGGTTTGAACATATCGTACAATTTATCATATATATTCGGGTAGTTTCTGAAAATGTGAATATGATATTCAAATTCTTTGCTACCAAGCAAAATTAAATAAAAATAAATAAGAAAATGTTTTTATAGAAATATGGATTATAGTATATTTGTATAGCTCGTGTTATGTTTATATCAACTTCATTACCAAGTAACTCACAAACCAAATTAAAACATCATTCTAGTATTTATTTTTATGACTAAATATTTAAAGAGCATTGAATTTATTTTTTGTTTGTTAGACTTCTCTTGTGTTTGTTTAGAAGAGGGTCAAAATTAAATCAATTAAAAATCATTATTACCCACATTAACTCGGTACTCATGTTTTTACATTCAACTTGGATTTTCAAATATATTCACTTCTTGGGTATTGCAATAAAATTGAACAGTATTTTTTTTACAATTAATTAAGGTTTTTAGTTGAGATGAAAAAAAGTTAATGGCACGAGCGGGATTCGAACCCACGATCTTCGGCTAGATACGCCGCTGCTCTACCACTTGAGCTATCGTGATCTCAATCCACTCGGACATCAACTTCCTATCTCAACCCCACCTTTTGAGTTTTACCTCCTTTTTGCCATTTTTCAATGTCATGTAATCGGATTGGATTCTCGACGACAAATGAAATGGCCACGGAGAGCTTTAGTGAAGTTTTCTTCATTTTAATTCATTAAATGCACTAATTTCGTGGTCCGCTTGACCAATTAATACATTACAATTAATTAAGGTTTTTAATTGAAATGAAAGACGAGGTCACGATAGCTCAAGCGGTAGAGCAACGGCGTATCTAGCCGAAGATCGTGGGTTCGAATCCCGCTCGTGCCATTAACTTTTTTTCATCTCAACTAAAAACAATTATTCAGATATCGTGAGATACGGTCGGGTCTCACGATATCTGAATAACTATCGGTCACTAATCTCTACACACTCAACTAAAAACCTTAATTAATTGTAATGTATTAATTGGTCAAGTGGACCACAAAATTAGTGAATTTAACTTTTTTTTTTTTTAATCTCACAATCAGGAAAAAATATGTTCTCTTGAAAAGCCAAGATGATGCTTTAATTTTTATGCGAGTGTATAATAAACACCATTATAAATGAAAATTTAAATAAAAAAATTTTCCAGTCTAATCAAGTATTGCAACTGAATATTAAGACATACATACATGTTGTGTTTTTGAATAAGCTCAAAAATTCCTTGCAAGGACAAAAGTGTAATAGCGCCTCCTATAAGCAAATTCAAATTTATAAACTGTGATTATGAATGTATATCATTACCGAAATACACACCTGATTCCAGTGACGACATAAAGAAATCAGTAAGGAAAACTGGCTTAATTAATAGTGGCATTATTTTTTCAAGGAGGGTCACCAGTAGAAGCTGTTTGGTCCTTGGTGGGAGTTCGACAACCATCATCTTTTCCCAGACACTCCTTACAGTTTCGCTCATCTTTTTTGAATTTAAAATTCCTACTGTTTAAGTGAGGAAAAACCTTATAAATATATATGTTACACGTAGTTTAAGATAGGGCATTTAAAAAAAAATTTAAAAATACTTTTTGTTTTGCAGAAATAATTTTTTGGCATCTCCTGGTTTTTTTGACTGGGCTTGAAAAGATTTATCACCGTTATGGAATTCCTGACCTCATTGCCTGTAAGAGGAGAATTTAAAGCAATATCCAATGCTTTCCATATATTCAAGTTCATATCTTCATAAATCATATATTCCTGAAGTATGGAAGCTGAGGAATTTACAAATTCACTATCACCGTACACCAATGCTTTTATTATTTCCTATAACAGAAAAACATCACTTTTTGTTGTAAATTATAATTTCCACACAAATACAAAGTTGAAATTCTAATCTTAATGTTCAGCCTAGTATCTCAAGTGTTAACAATTTAATATTGGGTTGTCCGGAAAATAATGCAGGATTTTGGTATTAAACAAAAAAAAAGAAACTAGTTACTTTAAAGCAATGTTCTTTAATCAAAATAATTTCCCATACTCTCAATACATTTCTCCCAACGTGTTGGTAACTTATTAATTCCGTCTGAGTAGAATTCAGAATTTTTAGAATTGATAAAGTCAATAAATGCATTTTCCAGTTCCGTTTGATTTTTGAATATTATGTGTTGTAAGTAGTGGTCCAGGTGTCTAAAAAAATGGTAGTCAGTAGGCGAGAGGTCCGGAGAGTAGGGTGGGTGAGGCAAAGTTTCATAGCCAAGCTCCAATAATTTTTGTGACGTTACACGTGACACATGTGGTCGAGCGTTGTCATGCAACAAAATGGGCCCTTTCCGATTGACCAAAGAGGGCTTCATTACTGCCAATTTCTGATGCATGGTATTAATTTGGTTACAGTATGATTCAGCATTGATGGTTTCGCCAGGATTTAAGAAGCTGTAGTGTATTAAACCAAATGAAGCCCACCATACCGTAACCATTACCTTTTTTTGATGAGTTGGGGGCTTTGGAGCTTCTCCTTTGTCGAGCCACTGTCCAGAACGTCTAGTGTTATCGTAGAGAATCCACTTTTCGTCACATGTAACAATTCTGGCCAGAAATGGGTCATTTTTGTTTCGACAAAGAAGTGATGCACAAACATCAAAGCGCTGATTTTTTTGGCGATCGTTTAATGAGTGTGGAACCCAATTTTCGAGTTTTTTCACTTTTCCAATCGCCTTGAGGTGGTCAGCGACGGTCGTTTTACTGACTTTGAGTTGCTCTGCAAGTTCTCGAACAGTTGTTTTGGGGTTTTCTTCCACCACTGATCGCAGAACATCATCATTAAGAGAGGAAGGCCTTCCACGACCTTCTTCATCTTCAAGGCTGAAATCTCCCTCCCGAAATTTTTTAAACCACCTTTGCACAGTGCACTCATTAACACAACCTTCGCCCCAGACTTGGTTAATGTTTCTAGCCGTTTGGGCTCCGCTTCGGCCGAGTTTAAACTCGTAAAAGAAAATCGTACGAAATTCTCGCTTTGACATTATAAGGATGACTGAATTATTTCCAAGTAGCGGAATGCTACAGAGGTAAACAAACAATATCATTTGGAAGAGGATTAATAAGTGTTGACATTCATACAAATGAGTAATCCTGTAAACGTAAACAGAATATTTTATATAGATTTTTTTTAATGAAAACTTAAAATCCTGCATTATTTTCCGGACAACCCAATACAAAGTGATTGTAGAGTTCAACTATGTTCAAATCAACAACCATCAATGTTAAATTTTAAAATAATAATAAAACAAATACTCACTGCATATTTTTCATCTGGAAAATTAGGTTTTTCTTGAAGAAATTCTCTCTCTGATGGCAAAATATCAATCAAGAGTTTAAAGGCAGCTAATGAACAACATCCTTTCTTCTTTAATGTTGAATTCAATAAATCTTTTCCTTCTTTGTAGGTAATTAACAACCATTCTTTATAGCTTACATTGTCTACAAGGAGAAATGATTATAATAACATGTTCACAAATGTCTTCAACGCATAACTGTACCTTTGAATTCTGAATATCTCCGGATTAATAATGTTATAATTTCTCCTAATGTCACAATTTCACCTTCAGAGACATTTTCCAAGTTCTGAAACTTAACAAAAATATGTTTGGATGTCACTTAAAATGACATAGTAATAATATGAATATGAATAGCCTTTTTTATTAAAAATTCAACAGAGCTACAGTGGTCCAAACAAACTGCAATGATACGGCAACAAGCAGTAAAATTCTTGTTTATTAGGGAATGAATGTAATATGTATAGACACGCCAAATCAGATGATACAAACCTATATGTTGGTAGATAATCTGGAAATTTTGAAAATGCTGGATAAGAAAGAAAGTGAAGTTTGGCTGTTTCTGTTCATATTGGTCTGCCTATCTTTGCTGTTTCACCTTCTTACCATCTTCTGTGATGGGTTTTAACAAAAATTATTTTTTTAAACTGAAAACATTTGTATTAACAGACAAAAACAGTGTAGATGGCAGAGCAACAACGCAGACTACACAAACGACCAAATCACAACTTCATCACTCAACTTAAATCTCAAAATTTAAGGGTGACAACCCCATTCCCACCTACAAAAAAAAAGTTGGAGTAGCAATGCCATAATAATACAAGAACTGACCATTAATATCATTTAAAAGAGCTGATGGAGCAATATCAAATACCTCATCAGCCTTCAAATTCAAATATACTGTAAAATAAAAACATTCTTTGAAGTGTAGGTATTTGTGAACAAAAACCAGTGAGGTAATTGAGAGAATTCTATTTTACTTATAGAATATTTTCGAAACAACAGCTTCATGAATATCATCTCTTAACAGACACGTCATCAAAAAGAAGTGGTAAAAAATGTACGAAAATTCCAAACCCACTAAAGGCAAATATTATGCAGATATACAATCGTCCCTCCAACTAAAACTATGATTTAATAGCATAAACAGACCTAGGAGATTCTTCACTTCCATATGCAGATATACAATAGTCCCTCTAACTAAAACCGTGATTTAATAGCATAAACAGACCTAGGAGATTCTTCACTTCCATGTGCAGATTGCGTCTTAATCATAACAGACTACCCCATCACCTCTATAAGATAGGAGTGAAAAAGAGTGAATATTGTGAGTGTGATGGCTCCAGCTTCTACTAGCATGCGCGCTTTGCTCCATAGGTAGAGAGAGGCTCTATGCCATTTTAATTTCGAAAAGAATCCCACTTCCGACGAACATAGTCCAAGTTCTGAGATTAGGCGATTTGGAAGTTTTAGATGCCGTATACAATATTCTGACCAGCAACGACCTGGATATTTAAAGATAAGAAAAAATAGCAGCTGAGATTGGATGGGGGGGTCGTTGGGCCGGGGGCAGTCGTCTTCGGGTGTCGTTTGGGCACGGTATGGTGGGAACTTGGGCACGTTTAGCCACGGGTTGGGGAGGATGTAGACTTTTCCACAGGTGTACAATTGCAAATGGTTTTTATCTACATCCTCCTAAAACACCCGGGGAAAAAAATTTAAATATACTGTAAAATAAAAAAGGCGAGGTCATTAAGAGAATTCTGTTTTACGTATAGAATGTTTTCGACACTTTTACTTGAGTCCTCTTTCTAACGATGTGCAACATCTGATATACAAGAAGAATGGTATTCTAGACCGTAATAACTGCAAAGCTATCACCTTAGTTCCTACAGCATAATACAAAGCTTTCTGCAGCATCTTGAACACTAAACTCAATTCATACGTTGATGTACCAGTGAGGCAATACCAGTGTGGATTCACTAAGATAAATCCACTGTTGAATTGTTCACCTTGAGGTAAATTTTGAAGATGAACAAATTCAATTGCCATATTCATCTACTGTTTGTTGCATATGAAAGTGGGTATAGGGAAAAGTTATATCGCACACCCACTAGAAAAGTGTCACAACTCAACAAAAGAAAATTTTACATGGAAGAGTACTTTTTTTACTTATGAATTAAATATACGCTTTTACAGTTATTGGCAATAAAAACTGTCATGATCCATTAATATTGTCTTTCATTTCTCCATGACTTAAGGGAAAACATAACTTTAAAAACCCAGCTGTACTACCTACCCCTTTTTGAGTTGTGACATTTTTCACACATATATTGGCTCTCAGTAATTTAATCAATTTGCTCTAACGATAATGGTGGTCAATGAATAACTGTAATTTTTTGTGATGGTAACAGACAATATACAAACCTAACAAACGAGCATAAATATCCATGAAATAAGTATTACTAAGATTATTTTTGACCCCAATGTGCTTTCCTCCTGGAGTCAGAACTAATTAGTTGTTTAAAATACAAAATTAATTATTGAAAAAAGGTTTTATTGAGTATTAAAAATATTGTAATTAAATCATAAAAAAATTTTGAAACTATAATTCCAATTAACATAAACCTTAACTTTCAGAAATGTAGGGTGTCTTTTTTAGATGGCCCGGCTGAATTTCTTTTGAACCAATAATGCTATCAAAAAAAGAAGAAATACGTGTTTTTGCCTTCTTTTTTATTAGAGAAAAATTATACAGGATACCTCCGGAGTAACTCGATGAGGAATTGAATATTTTACTGTATTAAACTCTGATTGACCAAATTACTTCTTTCAATTAATTATTCTTTTTATCTAAGGTTGTTGGTTCAGATGAAAAATTAGTGTCACGTGTAGGATTCAAACCCACGACGTTCGGCTCTTACCACTTGAGCTATCATGATTTTGATCCTCTCGGACACCAAAACCTCATCTCAACCTACAACCTATTGAATTTTCCCTCTTTTTGCCATATTTTCAAATGTCGTGTAATCAGGATTCGATTCTCAGTAACTTATGAGGTGGCCACAGGGAGCTGTTAGTGAATTAATTACTTTTTTTAATTATTAAATTAATCCATATTTGCTTAATGGTCATTATTGACATATTCACATTGTCATTTTTACATATTAACATGTAACATTAATTTTTCATCTCAACTAAAAACCTTAGATAAAAAGAATAATTAACTGGAATAATTTTATGAATTAAGACCACATGTTAAAAGAAAACATTGTTAAACAGTATTATAATTAAGAATGTTATTAAAATAAAATAAATTAAACCAAAAAAATTCACGAACACTCTAGAGTAAGGTATGGGCTTGAAGAAAAAAGCAAATTCAGTTGTCAAGCTTTAGACTTTTTTTTTAAACAATGGATACCAGAACTGGAAAAGTTCTCCCTGAGCATTGCAGGGAACCTAACCACCCCAAAACTGATATAACTCGAAATGTGCCACTTTTTCTGATAAATACTCACACCGATGCTTTAAAGCTCGACGCAGGGCTATGATATACCAATTTTCATGAATGGGGACAGTACCGCCAATTCAAAAGTGACACGTTGTGCCTAGCAGCTAAGAGTCCACCTACAGTTGTGTCATTTTTCCTTTATCATCACACAACCGAATTCTTAACAAAAACTAATTGATCCGGTTTCTATAATTTTTCGACTTGTGTCACTTTTCTTGTGGGTGTACGATATACAGTAGTGAAACAGCAATGCTGGTTGAGGGTGCAAGGAGTCCTGCCAGAAAAATTTCAATGCGAGACCTAAAACATCACGAGATACGTACATACACTAGCCTGCAAGTTGATTAAACTTGTAGAAAATAAGTCAGAGGCAACAAACACAATATATTCAAAAAGCACACAAATGCCGATGACATATATAGATCATTAGTGGTGATGACAAACGCATTCACTTCGTTACAGATGTCAACAAAAAAGACTTGAAATTAATGAAGACAACGAAATATACAAAAATGTATAACCACATACTAGCCCAATTGTACAAACCGACAAACACAACTTTGAAAAAAGTAATAAGTATTAATATCTAGGAATGGTAATAACAGTATATATGACATAAAATACAAAGTAACACTGCATCACTGCAAATGTTAATAATGCACTTCTGAAATGCGTGAAGAGCTGCTAGCTACCTAGATAAACTAAGCTGCCCCTCTACCAAGTTTTTATATGGACTGTCATGACATATTGAACAAAAACTAGAAAAGAAACTTTTAGTGGTTGAAAGAAGAGTGCTAAGCAAGATTTACAACCCAGATAAAGAGAATAATCAATGGAGGATAAGACATAACCATGAACCCATTGGCGTAGGTGTCATCAAGCACATTTGTTAGATGGATGGGATATGTATTAAGGTTGAACGAAAATACATGTCCAAAGAAAGTATCCAGTGAACAAGCCGGAAGGAGTAAATCAGTAGACAAAAACTAAGGATGGATCGTATAAATGCCAAAATTGGTCGAAATGGTGGGCACTCGCTCGAGACGGACAATGGAGGAAGATTCTTGAGGTATAGAATTCAGTAATGGATTGTAGTGCTTGGTATGATGATAAAACCAATAATCCTTTACAATAAAAGGTGTTCTTTTACAAACATAAATTGTTTAATGAGTTACTTGAAATCAAATTATCCGAATAAATAACAATTACCTCTTTAAAAGAGGAAGGGATGAAATTTAATATCTGGCCTTCCTCCTTTTTCAACTCTTCAAGACAACATTTCAATGTTTTACTCATGACTAAAAACTGGAACCTTTCACAACAAAACCACGCGGGTTGTGAACAACTACATAAGTATAACCTCCGTTGTTCCTTGGCCAATGTTCATGCCTCATGGCCTTACGGCTTAGACATAGTTACAAATAAAAAGACTGTCTGATTTTTTTTCTATATAGTATGTATTTACTACCAAATAAATATATTTATTGTTACGAACTTACTACAAAAATGACTGAATCGATACCAAGTGATTCATACAAATTTCTGAACAATAAAATAGTAAAGTATCGATTATTTTTACAAGTTGTGCTACGCGGCCGCGCGCATGGATGATTTTACTACCAACAGGAAATGAGAATATACATTTGAAAAAAATCTTTTAAATTAAATTTTAAAAATTAATCTTTTTTTATACATAGATATTCTGTGGTGCCACTCTGCTGACGGAAAAATCTCCATGCAAGCGGGTTACAATGTCTATTTTCTTTCAAAGAAATGTATTATGTTTGGGGAATATATTTTAACATAACATACATATAACACACACACACACATAACATATTTTACATTATCATTGCCTCCCAACAACGTCGCTCTCCCCAAAAAAATCGGCAGTCTCTACTCTCTTCCCTTCACTCTTCTAGCCCGGGAAGTAATCAGTTTTACGACGATATTTGAAAATGATATACGCACTGTAATACCTTAATAATAAGTACCTTAATAAATTCATAGAAATTAAAAAATTACTTAAAAATAACCCAGGTTTCTCATCCTTTCAGCGAAGAAAAGAAAACAAGCAGTTGCAGTTATAAAGATGACTACATTCAAAAATTATCATTAATTAACGATCACTAAACAGCATACAAATAAAATCCTACAGCAGACATTTCAACACAAAGAAATAAATACGCCCACGTATAAATCTTTCCAGAATAATTCACCTGTACCAAATTATATGGAGCTGGCAAAACCCACAAAGGCAGATATCCTTCAAGTCAAATAATTTCCTTCATAAATTTGCCAATATACTCAATAATATTGTAGACACCACTTGCATCATAAAAGACTCATTTCATTTCAAAAACACAATAAACCAAATCATCATACCACAAACTACACAATTATATATTTAGACGTCTCATCGATTTTCACATACATCCCACCAATAAGCCAACATTATCAAAGGCAAATGGCACGACATAACAACACACACAAATCTCTCACAAACATCCTTCATAACAACGTTATGACACTGCTGCACAAATGAATTTTTCACATACACTAACCATTTGTGAAACAACTATTTGGCATAGCCATGGGCAGCAATCTAGTCCCTATACTATATGTATTACTCAACACTGTTATTACTCAAACATTTCTTTTTCACCAAATTCATCTATGACATTTTAACAGCAGTACTGTCAGATTAAATACAAACAACATTAAACACATTTAACATCTTTCATCCTCGCTTACAATTTACTCATGAAGTTGAAACAGAAAACAAAATACCGTTCCTAGACACAATCATAATAAGACAAACAGTTGGCATATTAATTGCAGAATGGTACCAAAAACCAACAAACACTGATCGCTACCTAAATTATACATCACACCACCCCCTAAACACAATATTAAACACGGCTAAACCACCAAAGCTGGTGGTCTAGCTACGCTCTACTTAGTCTAGTACTTAGTCAAGTTTACATGTCTCCCTACTGGACAATTGGCATTAAATGTAACAAACTGTTGACACGGCAAATGTACTTAAAAAAAAGTCTAAAAGATTGTTCAATCTCTAAATCATATCTCTAAGTCATGAATCTTTTCACAGAAGAAATATTCATACATACATACAAATCTTACATAACAACTACCCTGAAAATATAATCAGCAGAATCATATACAATTGTAACCATGCACTACATAAAACAACATCCTCCACAGTACCCATACATCATTAACCCAATCATACAGAGACAAACCAATATACATGTCCATTCCTTAATTAAGTTAAACACTTTAACGTTTTATTAGATGAAGACTGAATAATACATGGATAAAGTTGCACATTTGGTGATTAATGTTGTCACCAAATGCTTTGCCTTTCTCTTTGGTATACAAGGAGCCAGAATACAGTGTTACATTCAGAAGATGTGTTGATCAGGGTGTATATCACACTTTGTTGTTTTTTTTAAATATATATATATATTAAATATCAGGCGATCAACCACTTAATATTTGGTCACTTTCCACCTTAAAAGCTTTGAAGCTGGGAGGCCAGGACCCCACAACAGCGGAAACCAGAGCCCCAGCAGTATCACGTGCCCCCAGAACACCCTTTCATATTAGATTTTATTTACGAAAAATTGTTCAGAAGTGTGTGCATGTGTGTGGGGCCGTCCACACTCCTCCCTGACTGAGGGACACAGGGGGGCTTCACAATGACCCAAGGATCCCAGGGGCACATACCCCACCCCGCCCATGACACCACCCGACAGGCACCCAAACTGCATCCCAAGACACCTCCCAACATCTGAGAAAAATTTCAGATTTTTGCAAAAAATTAATATTCTTTTGTATTAAATTATTTTATCATTTTATCTTCATATTACAAAAATTAGTTTTTGTTTTTTTTAGGAAAGTTAGTTTGTCTATTTGGTCAGAGTCATCACCAAGCGAGTCTTTGATGTTGGTTGGAATTTCCAGCCGATGTTTTTCTCCTTCATATTTTTGCACTTTGTTGTTTTTAACTGTTATCCTTTCTGTACAAACATCACAAAGTGTAGTATCTTTTTCTTTTTTTGCTATGAGATAAAAATGAGTAAGCCTATAACGACCAATTCTCAGCCTAGCAAGGACAACTTCTTCGTGCCTGGAACCCCTATGAGATAAGGCCCAAGGCTTTACATAGTATTTTATCTCCATAAGTTTGACATTAGAAATCGTTAACTATTCCTTTTGACATAGTTGCCAAGTCTTTCTTTTGTGCCAAGCTGTCATATCGGATTTGGGTGTTTTTGTAATTTTATCTCCATTAAGTGCACCCTGCTTTGCCAAATGGTCCACCTTCTCATTACCAAATATTCCGCAGTGTCCAGGAATCCAAATGAATACTACACTATTTCCTTGATTTTGCAGTGATTCAATGGCAAATAGGATGTACACTAAAGTACATACCCTAACCATCCCCACTGCGCTCTTTAAGAGCTGTTTGTTTCCTTGTTACATGCTTAAAGCATACCTAAGTCCCGGTTCATGAAGGAAGTTGATTAGTTGAATTGAATCTCGTTACGGTTACATTGTACGTCCCAAAACACTTCCGGAAAATGCAGCACCACATTTTGTTTTGTTAGTTGGTGTTTCTCTGCTTCTTGGCAGATGCAGAATCTGCACTTGCCATGTTGGGTTATGACAATCTTATTTAGATGTCCATTTAGTTTGCAGTGTTTTGTTAGGATTCGCTTTTTCCCTGCTTTCTTTGATTTTGTGAGATCAAACACGACCGGAATAAAAAATCGATCAGTGGAAACAGCTAAATACCATATTTTATCATTATGCAGAAAACTAATTTTTTTTAAACTTCCGTTTTAGACCATAGTCCTGAGAGGCTTAGACAATACTAAATATGTATACAAGGCACGATTTAAAAAATTGTCCTACTGTCCAAACGTTGAATTGTTAAATGCATGTTTTTAATATTTTCACTTTTATTAATTTTTAAAACTAAAAGTCTTTTATTGAAAATTGGCTTACTGGAAACGATTTGTAATAGCAGGCGTTCGTGTAAAGCCTCCATGTTGAATTTTTCTCGGAGAAATACGAGTAGGGAAATTTTACACCCGATCTCCGTAAAAAGGGAAATTTTCTTATAAACTGTAGTTCTTTACGGAAACACTGGTTGGAAGTAGGATGGCATCTTCTATGGATCTTACGAATTTGTCGTAAGAGGACGCAGGACTTATGTGAAACTGGATTGGATCTTAAAGCGTGGCTAATCAAGGTACAAAGAGGTTTGTGTTCAATTTGCTATAAGTTTTTTCTTCCACAAGTCCGCCCCCGTTCGACAGTCGGATTCGGCTTTCAGTCGGCACGGCACGAATCGGCCGACTTCTCGCCCCACGGTTCCCCGACTCCTTTCCATTCCAACCTAGCGATAAGCGAGTCGTCCTCACTTGTCTCCAGAATTCCGACCCTTCGACAGCCCTTTTTCATGACTCATGTAAATTGTATTGTAGGAAAATGAGCAGTTCAGAGGAGGTGTCGTGGATATCATGGTTTTGTGGCCTTAGGGGCAACGAGTTCTTCTGCGAAGTAAGTATTATTTGTTTACCCCGTTGAAATATTCTCGTCAACGTCAAAACGTCTATTTCTTAATTTGTAAATATAATTTCAACATAGAAAAGCCTCATTGGGCTTTGTAGGGCAGTTAACTTTCGAAATTGCAGAAAAGAAGGCTTCTATGTATTACTTATTTATTATATCTATGCATATTTATTAAAAGCACTATTAACTAGTATTTGTTATAGATTTAGTATTATTATCACTTTTTTTTTAAATATTAAAAGTTATACAACTTTTCTTTGTACAATTAACATGACTGTTCCACATGGTAATTGTACATCATACAGTGGTACTTAGCACTATCTTCAAGAGACCTAGGTTATTAGATCATTGTATCCGGATTTATATATTTTTTTAAAATTACCTACGTAATTGAGAAAAATGGTTAGGATAGAAGAAAAAGGCCGTTTATTACATATCAATAAAACTTTAAATTATGTGTTACACAAATGCAGTATGTATTATTACATAAACAATAACTTGTCGAAATACAGGTGCCTTTTTGTAGACGGCCCGGCTGAATTTCTCTTGAACCAATGACAGTACATAAAAAATACAAAAAAATCCGTGTTTTACCTTTTTTTGGAGGAAAATTATTCAGGGTACCTCATGGCCAGTTCAACTTCAAAATTTCAAACACAACCCTATACATCTGAAACAATTTTAAAGGTTTTTTTTTTACGATGAAAACGATGCAGTCAAATTTTAAATTGGTCAAAAAATGACAAAGTTATGGCAAAAAGAAACCGACAGTGTAATTTCGATGAGGAGTTTAATATTTTACTGTATGTCCTCGAAAATCTGAATTGTTGGAAGGGTTTTAGGTTAATGTGAACTACCTGATGATGACAAGAGTACGAAATTTTCGGATTTTTATCTGCCCTCGTTCGAAAATTCCAACGGTTTAGTATGCCATTAGAGGTTTACTTGGATCCGTCAGTCCATAGGATTTATGGAAAAACGTTTTCTTTAGCTGCCCATTTGTGCAAGGAACCTTTGATACCGTCATAATCAGAGTCCTGAAATCCCTGGACAAGAGCGATACTGCCTAAAATTGCAAGTACAGAAAACATCTCTAATTTTATTTTTTGAAAAACCTAAAACCTTCCAACATTTTGGATAGAGGAATTTGGATTTTTGCGAATGTCCAGTAAAATTAATTAATCTTTTGACTTAAGGTCTTCGTTCAAAAGAAAAAGTTAATCAGGTAAATACGCCTCTGCTCTAACATTATCGTGATTTCGATCCACTCGGATGCCAACTCCCAACTTTTCGAATTTTCCGTCCTTTTTGCCATTTTTCAAGGGGGTTCAGTGGGTTCGAATCCCGCTCTTGATATTAACTTTTTCAGTTCAACCAAGACCTTACATAAAAAGATTAATTAATTGAAAGAAGTAATTTGGTCAATTAGACCACTAAATATAAAGGGTACAGTAAAAAAATATTCAGCTCCTCATCGAAATTACACTGCCGGTTTCTTGGTGATTCTGTGAACGACCTGATGATGACAAGAGTACGAAATTCTCGGATTAATCAGTCAATAGGATGTATGGAAGATGTTTTCTTTAGTCTCCCAAATCGACATTTGTGCAAGGAACATTGGACGCCTGTCCCGAAGTCGTTTGTTGTTTGCCACATCTAATATACAGATGAAGTATGTTTTGATATATCCAATGCTTTGGCAGCATATGCATTGTAAGATTTGTTTTTGTTCGAATGGCCAATCAATCGTGATTTTTGTATAAAGTAGTGTAGTTATGACATAGATTTTTTATATACAGGGTGTCCTTTTTAGACACACAAAAAGTGTTTAATAATTTTTAGTCTAGTTTTAAATTTTGACCTTTTTTGCAGCAAAATTATAAAGGGTATGCCAGGCCCAGTTAAACTTCAAAATTTCAAATATATATCTATATATCCTGTGTTACCGGTTCCTCGCCGGACCGCTGGCAATTCACCTGCTCGCCGGGTACCTGGGGCTCAATGGAGATTTTTTCCGTGGTCGCTTTGTCTCCAAAAGTGAAATAATCAGGCGCCACAGTTTTTTATTTTTTTCCCTTCTTTTAGGAAAACAGTGAAACCCTGGGGGTGAAATAACAAGATAACAAATTTAAAAAAATAAAACACAACAAGAAAGTAAAATATCAATGTCCTCTGTATTGTGAATAAAATGTAAAACAAAAAAAAGAAATAAAACAAGTCTCCTCAAAATTTAAAAAAAAAAAAAAACTGTCCAGAAACCAATCTTATCATATAAATTCTCGAACCTCGTTTATGTTCTTTTTCTTGTCATTCCAGAGCTGTTCTCCCCTCGCACACGTGAACCCTCCACTCCACGATGATGAGAAAAGTCCCAAAATAATAAAATAATACACTGTCACGTTCCTTTTTTTACTTTTTCGCCTGGCTTGTCCACACAGACCATTCTCAGCTTGAGTCCTTATTCACACCGGTCGAGCCCCACTACTCGCCAGCGTCCCCACTGAGCCCTGGCTGGGCCTCCTTCGGCTTCCAAATGCCACCCGCGCGTCTTCGGCCTCTTCCAGGCCTCGCTCAACCTTGCCGAGGGCACCCTCGTCTCTGCCCGAGTCTGGTCACCCCAGTGCAAAAAAAAGTTTTTTTTCTCTCTCATTTTTGCTTATAACAGACACATCATTTTCAAGGATTTTTTATGATAAAAAAAAAAAAAAATGGTGCAATCGGATGTATTGGTCAAAAGGATTTGAAAGTATGTATTTTCCTCAGTTCTCATAACCAATTATACATTTTATTAGGTTTTGTGGTCCGCTTGACCAAATAAATTCTTTTTCCAATTATGGTTTTGGTTGAGATAAAAAGTCAGTGTCACAAGCAGGATTCGAACCCATGACCTTCGACTAAATACACCACTGCTCTACCACTTGAGCTATTGTGACTTCGATCCACTCCGGTCACCAACTTGCCATCTCAATCGCACCTTTTGAATTTTCCCTCCTTTTTGCCAATTTTGAGAGTGGATCAGTCACGATAGCTCAAGTGGTAGAGCAGCGGCGTATTTAGCCGAAGGTCGTGGGTTTGAATCCCACTTGTGACACTGACTTTTTTATCTAAAGCAAAACCTTAATTAATTGGAAAAAACTAATTACACATGTTAACATGATTACAAATAATATAAATGTCAATATATTAATATAGGTTAGCATATCGATGGTTTGATTTATTGGATTAAAAGTGTTTGTGGAAATCTTACTTAGCTAGAAATTAAGTAATTATAATATCTGTGGAATGCTTACATCACGAACCGTTTGGAGTTGACCTGTCAAGCCGTAAAATGATGGTTCGAAAGTGTGGTTAGGGCAATAAAGTAATAAAACTATCATCTTTCCATTGTACATTGGGGTCGACCACTACCCTCTCTTCAAATGAGACTTTCAGTGGTGGTGGCCCAAAACTTCTGTTGACCGTGTGGCGCTCCCAGGGCTTGGGCTATGTCACAGATATTACGTCTGTTGGTCAAAACTGTTTTTTTCCTCATGTTTGAACATATAATGCTAACATTAATTCTATTAAAAATACTGACGTGGAAAAATATCACTTTATCTTTAAAATAGATCTTGTATGCTACTTCTTTTTTATTATACAATCAAGTTTCAATGTACTACTATTATAGATTATTTCTTTGTACTGACAGATGTACTCTTTTAAACTCTTCACTGATATTTTTTTCAGGTGGATGAAGATTATATACAAGATAAATTTAATTTGACAGGTCTTAATGAACAAGTTCCACATTACCGTCATGCACTGGATATGATATTAGATTTGGAACCAGGTAAAAACTTACTAAATTTACACTTTTTACTTTAAACCATTTTTACTGTTGTACAAAGCACAGTCAGATTATTAATCTTCGACATTTAATTTTGACCCTTAGATGATGATGTTGATGATGCTAATACCCAATCAGATTTAATTGAACAAGCTGCAGAAATGTTGTATGGGCTTATTCATGCCAGGTACATATTAACAAATCGTGGAATAGGACAGATGATAGAAAAATATCAGTCGGGAGATTTTGGTAATTGCCCAAGAGTATACTGCGAATCACAACCTCTGCTGCCTATAGGTGACTTTTGGCAGTTTGAATTTTTGTGTGTATGATTTGAATTTCGTTTAATATCGCGCTTTTCAGGTTTATCTGATGTTCCCGGAGAGGCTATGGTGAAATCTTACTGCCCAAAATGCATGGATGTGTACACACCAAAATCATCACGCCACCACCACACTGATGGGGCTTATTTTGGCACTGGCTTTCCTCATATGTTATTTATGGTTCACCCTGAATACAGGCCAAAGCGACCAAGCAACCAATTTATTGCAAGGTATGTTACATGTAACAGTATTTTAATTTTAATTTCTTAATTATTGCTTGATTTTCAGGTTATATGGCTTTAAAATCCATCCTTTAGCTTACCAAATTCAACATCAGGCATCAGCAGCAGCTAATCTTAAGCCTCCTTTGCGATTGACGTACAACAATGGGGGGAAACGTTGACAATGTTAGATGGATAATGTGCCAGTCCTAATCAATATGTCATTCCTGAATGTAGCTTCTTTTTGGCCTGTTAAACAAAAAACATCGTATGGCAAAACTAAATTCTTGTATTTATTAATTTAAATTGCAGATTATTAACTCACATTTTACAGGATATGTGTATGTATTTTATTAAAATATCGTTATATTTAGTTGATTGAAGGAGAAATAAAAACTAGAGGTTTGTTTATGGGGGGGAGGCAGATTTTTGTTATAACTAGGTAGTATGACAAGATTTCTCAAAATTATTTTTAAGAAACTTCCCAACTAAAAAAAAATTTCATTCATATTTTTAAAAAAAGTACAATCTGAATAAATTATTAGATGATGTAGGACGTTATGAAGGAGTAGAGTTGCAAGCCTTCCCTCATCAGCATTAATTATTTCAAGAAAAAGAACCTTTTTTTAATCCTTAGAAATATAATATGACAGTTTCAGTGTTTTAAAATTATATGATTTTTATCTTTACTATTGCCTTGCATCTAAACGATCAGTCATACAATCAATTTTGATGCAATTTAATTTTAGGGGAAAGTACTGATTGAGGTGAAATTTAATTTATACTTTTATAAGTGTTTTGTTTTAAATCAACAAAATATCACTTTCATTTGTACAGTATAATAAATAAAACAATAGAAGCAATGTTTGTTTGGTATATGTTATTATTTCATTTACTGCACCAACATTACATTTACATTACTTTTCCCTAGTGAAGTAGTTATTATTCAACTTAACCAAGAAAAGTACAGTTCAAATACAAATGATCTTTACAAGTCAAGTTTGACACAGTAGGTAAAAACCACTGCAAGAAAATGAAGTTTTATATCAGTAGTAGGCATTAACAAAGTTAGACACAATGATCTCCGATGTAGTTTGTGATCAGCCTCCATACTAGAAATTTATGTAGAAAAGGTGATCCGTGATGAGGCCAAATTAGTAAACAAAATACATAAAACAAATTAGTAAAATAAATAGTAAATTTGCCTCATCCCTCATCTTTTTTACGTGAATTGTTAGCCATAATCCAAATTGAAACTGAATTAATTTGTATTCACATCCATGGTCATTATAAATTGTAATGTTAATTCTTTTTTGTTACTATTATTGCCTCATTATTCAAAAATAGTGACTTTACAAAACTAGTAAAAGGGAAGGTTTATTGTCAAGTTCAAATTAAAAATTTAGACTTTAATGTTGTATCAGTAGAAAACAGTCCAACATAAAGCTCATTGCATATATGGTATTCTTATTTACTATGTATGTACTCATTTCTTTTATACATACTAGTTTTATTACCCGGCATTGCCAGGGGGATAATAAAAAGTGTTATTTCTCTTTTTTGTAAATCCTAATGCCCATTTTATACTCTCTAAACCTACCCGGCACTAATAAAAACAAAGAGTGAAAGTTTCATCGAAATCGGTTTTATAGTTTTTGTTTTTATGATTAACTCACAAACATTCATGTTTATTTATATTAAGAAAGAACATACACATATTTTTTAATATCATAAAATCCTTTATAACCCACAAAACATATTTTTATGATATATACAAACCCCTTAATTTGGTGAATGAATGTTCAAAAAAATTCGAAGAAAACCATAACCCACAATACTTTTTTCTCTCAATTAATTTCACTTAGTGCCAATGATCTGTTAATTGTATAAAATTTAATAAGACGACCCAACAGACAGATTTAAACAATTTGTAAATTAGCATGGAAAAAGTACAAAATAATTTGAATTCACCTCAGGTGGCCAAAACAGTAGTAGTGTATTTACCCATTCATGTTTTTGTGCGCATAAAGGTGGCTCTAGACATGCAGGATTTGCCGAATCTTGACGTGGCAATGGGTGTTATTGGCTAATTGGTTTCCTTGTCTGCTTCAAAATATACAAATATTCATGAAGTAGCCGAACTCAAATCGTACACATATTCAGGAATCAACTGTACAGTATGGATATCAAAACGATTACTAACTAGTACAGATGTATTAATAAGAAATGGATTAGCCCAAAATAAGTCAGAGTTCCTCGATCTGTACCAAGCTGAACCAATAAATTGGAACACTTTTCTACCGAATCATAAAAATTGAAACGAGGTTTTCGATGCATGGAAGAGGATCGAAAGTAAGATGGGGCAACATGACTGAGTTTGTAGCCAGTATACAAAACATTAACCGCAGTTGCAGCAACGGCAATTTCATGGTTGGTAGTAAGACTTGCATGGCAGTTGGCAAAATGTGTTTGCTGTTTGTGCACAAACTGGCTGGTTGTATGAACCCTGCATGTGTGTATAGTGTATACATAGGCACACTATTTGGCAAATGCCAACACGACCACATCTGAAGACTTGGCAAGCGTTCGGCATTTGGTGAATACCACATGTCTGGAGCCACCTTAATGCAAATATCAGTTTTTCTTTCATGAAGAGTTCAGTTCACTAAGGCTTACTTTCTGCTAGGTGCATCATTGGCCACAACGGCAAGGGGTTGATACAGTGCTCATTACCGTTAGTCCTGGGTTCGAATCCAGTAGCCCTTCAGTGCAACCTAACATACTTAAAAAAAAAATTCAACCAGCACCTCGAGGGTTCTTACAACCTCATAAAAAAGCCTTAAGGCTCTTCCCTCAAACTTTTTCATTGACTAACTACATCCCTTAAAATTCAACTTGCCATTCATGCAAATGTACAAAACTGGGGCTTGCTATAGTATTTATTTCATTAGGCTTGAATAAAACCGTTATTTTCCTTAATTAAACTGACCTATAATTAAGTTGAGAGTAAGAATTCTATAAGTACTACTTACAAATAATACTTTCATCATAATTATGATATTTTTGTTTTCCATTCGGGATCGTTTTTATTTTTTTAGGACTATATAGTAGTTATGATAAATTAATTATAAGACAATAAATATAAATTATCCAGGTGTCATTAGCTATTAAATCACCCATTAAAATAATAATTATACACATTAAAAACATCACTATATTCAGAAGTTAAATATAAAATAAATTTAAGGTTTACATTTGAGAAAGTATAATTATTTCATGGGATAACACATGGCAAATTAAAAATGTCGCTGATAGACAGACCTCAACAAAAATAGTTTTTTCCTCAACATTCAGATTGACAAATGAAACCAGTTGGCTATTGGACGACAGTATTAATAATAATACATTCCTTTGTAAAAATATTTTATTTAATCACAAACTGTACAATGTAAATAAACATACAATCAAAATTATTTTACAATTCTTGTTCTTTTCAACTTGATAAAATGCACAGATTCGCCTCAAGTAAGAAAAAACGTAAGGGATGGAGCCTGTTGTTTTAAATAATATTTGTATATATCTTCAAATTAATGCCTATGTCTATGCCTGTAAACATAAAAAGAAAGTTTTAACTAGGAAAGAGATATTAAAAGAAAATATATTTGTCTACCTAGATCTGCTCCTAGACCTTGATCTATGCCTCCGCTTCTCTTCGCCATGCCGATATCTACCTCGGTCATGGCTGTGGTGCTTCCACCGCTTGTCTCTATCATTGCTATGTCTTTCTGGACTATGGCCCCTTCTCCTGTCATCTCTTAGTCTCCCATCGTCCTCGATTCGGCGGTCCTTGAGAGGATTGTAATGCCTAGTTTTATCTACTTCATTGTATTCTGTGTCTGTGGAGCGCCTCACTGCAGTAGATTTCTGTGTACCGATACCACTAGGGAAGCGAAGCGCCATGTTCCTCTCAATTTTTTGCTAAAAACAAGTTTTGTCTAGGTATGTTTTTTCGGAGTATTCAAGCCTACTCACTTGTATTGGTACGGGTATTCTTGGGAATAATGTCGAAAACCACTCCAATTTACAAAGGAACGTTTTCAGGATGTTGCCTATAGTCATGACTTGTCCTCCTCCTGCTTTTACATCCAGTTCCTAAATACATAAGAAGCACATTCATTCTAAAATATTTTAAAGAAAGACAAGAGCCGAGTGAGAAATAATTTTTGTAACGAATGGAAATTTAATTGCTTATGAAATACCTGAACAAAGATATTTCAATACAGACTAAAGTTTCCTTCCTCATTTCTATTACATTGTAAATTCACACCTTACCTCGCTGTCTTCTAGATATTCATCATACCAATCCCAAAGGTCAGGCGGTGGCTGAGTGTACCTAAAAATTAATTTAATTACATTAGAAAATTTATTTGACATAATGAGAATATTTTAACGCATACCTTATATACATAAAGCCCAAGGCCCTTATATAAGGTGAATCTGGGTGTGTTATAAGGCCGTTGAGTTGTTTACGAGTCAGTTTCAAAGTAAACAATTTAAACAAAAGGCAATATGCTGTTGAAACAATCCCTCCTGCTCCAACACCTCGCACCTAGATAGTACATTATAGAGTTATTACTACAGAATAGACCTAATTTATAAACATGTACAAATCTTAAACATGGGATAAAAAAAGACAATGGATAAAACAAAATAACATGCACACAAATTTTAAAAAAAATTATGAGAGAATTATAACATAATACAAAAAACTTAAGTATACAACTTTGTTAAGTTCTTCTGTATAAATTTCAACGCACACAACTAAGAGTTTATATGTCAATTTTTGAAGGATTGTTGGTGAATATGGTATGTTGGGTGTAATAAATAAACCAGAAAGAAAAATGTGTAAGTTTTATGTGAAAAACTTTTTTTATTAATTTGAACAGAAGGATCTTCAGTGAGGTCACAACAGAAATGATATTTATTTAAGTTTTTGCCGAGCTTTCGACGATTATATCATCGCCAGGGCCTAATATTTGGGAAATTATCGCATTTAGAAACATGTTATTTCATTTAAACAAAACAAAATTAAAAACAATTATTTTTCTTACTTCAACTCGACATCTTGAGAGCAGAGAATCATCGAAAGCTCGGCAAAAACTTTAAAAAAATTGTCCTTTCTGTTGTGACCTCACCGAAGATCCTTCTGTTTAAATTGTTCAACAAACAGGTAGATACATCATCTCATCTTTAATTTTTTTTATCAAACTTCATCCGGGCGTGTGGGCAGCATATCAACAGCTTTTTTTTTTTTTGTGAGTTTTCTCACTACTCCGCCAATAGTTGGCAGGGAGATACATGTATTCTCTAGTTAGACTCTTTCCAACCAGATCCTGCCAAAAACTCAACAAGCTAATCCCGTCCGCATCCTCAGTACTCATCTAAATTTAATGTAGTCAGCAGGTGGCCACTCTACCACTGGCGCGCCTGGAATCTAGAATTTTTTTTTAGAAGCATTCAACTCAAAATGTAAGTAAATTTTTTTTTCTATTTTATTTACTTTTGAATACTCTTGATTGACTTTTGATTTCAACCTATATTTCTTACCAGTTGTTTATCTTGTAAAGTATTACTTTCAATGTACCTTCACATGGACATTGATTAGGTTGGATTTTTGCAATTGTTTGTTTTTATCTTTTTTCACTGTGTTAATTTTTATTTAGTTTCCAATGTGTGATATTATTTCAAAGAAAGAGTAAAGACTGCTTTTGTAAGGCAAGGTTCCTTTATTTTCTACAAATATTATTAGTTAAAAATATTTCTAGTTCATTTTTTTTTTTGTATTGTTTCCGATATGGTACTATTTTTTAAAAAAGGCTATCATTTTATGTTAAAGTGCCTCTATTATGCCAAGGTAATCTAATCTAGTTCATTCTAGTTCCAATGTTTTTATTTACCCAAGAAAAAAGAAGACTGTAAGCATAAGAATTATAGTCAGTGCCTTTTTTTATGTATCTATATTTTTTAAATAATAAAATAAAAAGAGTTTAAAACGTTTGAATTAATTTATTTTAATCATTCTAAAACACGCAATTGGAATCAAGGAAAATGATAAAGGTTGCAAAAATTCATGGATGGCCCGATTGCCGCCTATGCGCCCAGAAGTGTGACATGGAAGATGCGCCCAGAGAAGGTTAATACATTTATTTAAAACTAGTCAAATGAGACCATCTATTAATTTTACAATGACATAACTTAGAAAATAATTAATACTCTTTAGTGTCACTAGAGTATTCATTAGTGTCACAGTTTATCTAGTTGAGTTTCTACCCAACTAATTCACTCTTATGGCTTACGATGTGCTAACTATGAAAATTATGCCTGAAGTCATGCTCTCTGGGATTTTGGCATGCACAGAAGGTCATTTTGTTTGTTCAATTCAAGTCATTTAATTTATATTTTCTCAATAAAAAAAAAGAGTAGTGACTTTATTGAAAAACGAACCAAACCCATCATTTTAAATTGATTTTCCTTTTAGTATTAAAATATCCATCGAGATCATTATAAATACAATCTAAATTGTCATAATATTAATAATATTTTCTATCAGAACATAGTTTCAGATTTATATACATGACAAGTAGAGATGAATAACCATGTCCAAATCTTATTTAAAATAGGTAAAATTCGATGGAATTATGAAGGCCTTTAAAAGTTGTGAAGCTGCATCTCCATTGCGCGAAAATCAACACGAGAATCATACATAAAATTGCTGTCTCGCATTAACCATTTCCACGAGACGAAACGAGACGAGCCATCAGTTTGTGCAAATCAAGCATGCCATCTACACTTACTGCAGCATCAGCGTTTGATATCATGGCGATACTTTATGTTAAGAATAAAAAGAAAAACAAAAGAAGAAAACATTTTCTTCCATGCATCTATCCTGTTGTTATTATGGTCATTTTTATCTTTAGCATCCCACAAAAATCGACAGGTCTGATAAAGTTGGATAAGTTGAATGCAAGCTCGAGATAGTGCGTTTAAACGGAGAGAACAGCCAACTCGAGGCACTTTGATGCACACTAAAAACCGATCTTCTCACCCCAAAACATCCTCGCACCAAAAGTTTTGGAGTCCGGGCTAGATATCAACAACTTGTGATTTTCATACAATGGAAACCCAGCTTGAGAGTTGAGATATGACACACAAAATATAAAAACCAATAGACAGAAAGTAAAATTTAATGAGGTGGAATCAACTAGGCAAACCCGATCATGAAAATATTAATTTTGTATGTCAAACTGTACCCAGATATGTATTAAAAGTTAAAAGTATTGCAATTCTGTTAAATTGGGACACAAAATTAATGAAGGTTTTGAAAATGTTTCATTTTCACAGGTGCTTGTCTTGTAAACGAAGCTAAATCCTCAAATCTAATTTATGGATTATAATAAATATTTTTGATTGTTATCTTTTATGCAAAACATTGTAGTTTATATTGAATTTTATAAGAGTGAAGACCTGCAAAACTAAAAATATGTCCAACTAGATTTTTGACAAATTTATTTGTACGAATTTAAACTTAGGCAAAGTGTGGCCCAAACATCAATACAGTTTGGGTGGAGGGGAAGCATTAGCGAATACATTGTGTAGCGATGGTTTCAGAGATTTTGATCTCGAAGACAGGGAATTCCATTGTGGACGACGACCAATTCAAAACATTGATTGAAGAAAATTCGCGTTAAGACAACAGGGAAATTGCAAAGAGCTTAGTGTTGGCCACTTAACAGTTGTTTGCCATCAGGAGTAAATTGGTAAAGTAAAGAAGCTCGACAAGTGGGTACCACACAAACTAACCAAAGTCCAAAGAAATCGATGCTTTGAAATTTCCACGTCTTTTCTGTTGCACCATCAAAATGATCTATTTCTTGATCAAATCATCACATGCGATGAGAAATGGATTCTGTATGATAACAGGAGTGTACTCACTACTACTGTGTACAGGTCACTGATTGAACAAGGATGAAACGCCAAAACACTTCCCGATTCTAAATTTGCACTCAAAAAAAGGTTATGTTGATTGTTTGGTACTGTACTGCTGGTATTGTCAGCTATAATTTCCTGAATTATAACACAGCAGAAAAATATTGCCAAATTGACGAAATGCATGGGTAACTGCAACTTTTTCCAGTATTGGTAAACCGTAAGAAGACAATTCATGCCAACAATATGCCAGTGGAAACTTAACGACTTAGGATATGATACCAAACCACACCCTCGATATTCACCCGACCTCTCACCTTCCACTTTTTTAGGCATTTTCAACACTTTTTGAGGGGTAAAATTTTTAGGTGAAGCCTAAAACACCAACCAAGACTTTACTGAGAGTTGAAATATTTTTGTGACAGAATAAAAGCGCTTACTACACATTGGCAAAGATGCAGATTGTGATGGAAAATATTTAGAATTATTTTATTTTATAAAAATTAAAAATAGTTTTAAATGCCTTTTCAAAACCTGCATTATTTTTGCACAAACCCAATACATGAGCACAAACTAAACTTCTACATATATTACCTGACCAATTAGAAAATTGCTTCAAATTGTTCACAAATAAAAGTTAGGATTCATATAAAAAATAGCTGGTATGGGAAAAATAAGTATCAGCTTAACAACACATTTGATACAGTACTCATAATAAATTATATTAATCCATTTATGTTCAGAGGGTTAATAGACCATATTAACTATTTCAATTAATTATTTATTTTTTTATATAACGTCTTGGTTGAGATGAAAAAGTTAGTGTCATGTGCGGGATTCGAACCCACGACCTTTGGCTAGCCGTAAAAACACAAGACCAATTTTGCACAATCCAACATGAAATTGATACTAAATCACGAAGGATATACCATAATTAAAAAGAAAGACAATGAAACATTAATCAGGGAAAAATCAAACTGATTGTTAAATGATTTTTTTTAAATTATGACCAATTTGGACAGTCCAATGTTGTATTGACCCCGAACAATGTGAATCGATCATAGTCAAAAAATAGGGTGAAAATTTTCTACAAAACAAGTTTATTATGGTTAATAATTTTTAATTAAGACCAGTTTTGGCCAGTACAACATTCTACTGATGCTAGATTCATTCAGCTCAATACGCCGCTGCTCTAACCAAATCGTCACATAAAAAGAAAAATTAATTGAAATAATTAATACAGTCAATAAGACCACTAAACATAAATGGTTTAATATAATAAGTAAAGAAATAATGATTTCACTGACAGTTCGCCGTGGCCATTTTCATAAGTAGCTGAAAATCAAATTTTGATTACACGACATTTGAAAAATGGCAAAAAGAGAGAAAATTCGAAAGGTTGTCGGATGAGATGGGGAGTTGGTGTCCGAGTGGATCGAATTCAGAAAAAGTGGTTAGAGCAGCAGCATATTGAGACGAAGGCCGTGGGTTCAAATCCTGCTAGTGACACTAAATTTTTCATCTCAACCAAGACCTTACATAAAAAGAATAATTATTGAAATAATTAATATGGTCAATTAGACCACTAAACATAAATGGATTAATATAATAAGTAAAGAAGTAATGACTCCGCTAACAGTTCGCCATGGCTATTTTCATATCGCTGAAAATCGAATTTTGATTACATGACATTTGAAAAATGGAAAAAAGAGGTAAAATACAAAAGTTTGTCGGTTGAGATGGGGAGTTGGTGTCCGAGTGGATCAAAGTCAGAAAAGGTTAAGTGGTTAGAGCAGCGGCGTATTGAGCTGAAGGCCGTGGGTTCAAATCCCGCTCATGACACTAAATTTTTCATCTCAACCAAGACCTTACATAAAAAGAATAATTAATCAAAATAATAAATTATTAGATCATTTTACATTAAAGATACTCACACCTCCACACATTCCGGTCTGGCCTGCAGTCTTCCTGCTTCCTTTCTCCCATGGCTCCAAATGTGCGACCTTGTAATATATCTCATCAATGACTTCGTGATAAGTCTTAAGCCCATACAAATTAACTAGAAAAAAAACAATTCGTCAAGACGGTATTGTTTTATGCCATAAGCTAAAACGATTTACCTTTAAAGTAATGTGAGGATTGTATATTAGTTAGTATAAGAGGATTGAGATTCATCGTCCTCTCGTTGCCCCAGAGTGGCAGAATGTTGCTCTTTTTCTGCCCGGTACCCGAATTGACATATTTCGGCTCCTCTTCCTCCTCGTAATCTACAAAAGTGGGAAAAATCTTTAGTTTCATACCAAACGTATGGTAAACGATAGCACTCACTTTCGTCATAGTAGTTTGTAGGTTTCATTTCTTTTACGGAATGGGGATTTTAAACGAGTTCCATGAAAACGGCTAGCCCTCTTTCCGTATGAACGCGTTTACGGCACGTAGCACCAGACACAACCGTAAAAACTTCAACGAAAAAAAAATCTCCGTAAACCGAGATGTCAGAACAACAACTAACTAACCTAAAAACCCCAATGCTTACCAAACTAAACTACAGGCGTATAAATCAAACGAACCGAAATTTACCCAATGCCTTCTAATAGACCCGTCCATATAATGTAGAGCTGTCATCTGAAACAATAACCAAGTACTTTAATAATCCTGTATTAAAAAATAAAATAAAAACTGTCTTAGAAACCATTTCAATTCGAATTTAATAAAAAGAGGCATCAAAGCGAACAGACGTATGCATACCAGTACATTAGTCTTATGTAGTAGGTATAATAATTTGCTTCAAAGCTTATTGACGATTTGCTTTTAATTTTATATTTTGTTAATTTGTGGCCTTTGTAAAGTACACTTGATGACAGAATCGATAGTAAAATTGAAAAAACTCTGAAATGTCGAGTCGATGTGCTTACAGGAGTTGAGGAGTAGCTCGTAGGTAACGGTAACAGCATATCAACCTGGTCGAAGGAAATTCGCTTATCTTCCAGAATTCGGTCAGAGCTGTTTAATTTTGTTTCATCGGAACCTTCGTCCAGTTAAATGTCCAATTTCACGAATGTTTCCGATTTTGAATTGATGCGAAGGCGAGAACTCCAACGACGCACTTAACTATTTCAGCTGTATAAAAAAAAATGATTCTCTATACTGCCTTCGGTAAAGTAAAATCGTCGGCTTTTTGGAATTCCAACTCGCTATTGGGGGCCTCGAAACGACCCCATAAACGCCTGGGCACGAATTGACGTTTTAGTCATGGATTTCGATGCGGACGTTATCAATTGGACGGCCGACGACGTTTCTGGATGGCTCTCCAACAAAGGCTTCACCAAATACAGTGGCATCTTCAAAGACAACAAAATCGACGGGAAGGCACTTCTGCTCATCGATGAAAACGACTTGAAATCACCGCCTTTAAACATAAAAGTATGCCGTTTCCTCTAGCTTTTCGATTTGATTTTGTAATGCATATTTAAGAACTGACCGTTTTATAGATCCTTGGAGATGTGAAACGTTTAAATTTAGACATCAAGCAGTTGAAAGTAGAATCGTCACAGACCCTGATTGACAGTGGCTATGATCCACAGACCCTACTTCATGGCACCAGCTCCAAATTATTTCACACGTACTACCATCAAAGATTTGAAGTAAGTGCTTTTCAACTTATTTTTTTCATATTCTCCTTTCTCATATACTTAACACGTTCGGCCTGGCATTGGCCAAACCAGGCGAAACAAAGGTTCGGCCAGTCAGACCTCAATATGCCACTTGGCACAGTCACTCCCTTACTTTTCTTTGCACTATGGTGGGGGGTCATATTGTTGGATTCTCTTTTACTTCGGGGTTTAGGTACTGGATTGCCAACGATATAGTCCATTTCTAGCTCAGATATTCCATTGTAAAGTTATTGAGTTTTTATTTTTAAAAACAGATAAGTTTAAGGATATTTATTGATATGTACTTTTATTTTAACTATATATTTTATCAGTACATCGAAAAGGTAAAAAAAAATCTTTCAACAATCAACATTTTTTAAGAATTCTTTGTATGTAAGGTCTTGGTTGAAATGAAAAAGTCAGTGTCATGAGCAGGATTTGGACCTACGACCTTCGACTCAATACGCCATTGCTCTAACCACTTGAGATATCGTGACTGATCCACTCGGATACCAACTTTCTTTCTCAACCAACCTTTCGAATTTTCCCTCTTTTTTGCCATTAACTTAAAACCTCTGGAGTTTTATGAACTTTTATAATGATTTATAATGGGCCAATTGAAAACGTACAGCAAGATTAGGTGGACCAGGATCAAAAGGGGGCGATAAGACTGCTCACAGACTACTATCACGACTTCGATCCACTCAGACACCAACTCCCCATCTCAACCTACAACCTTTCAAATTTTCCTATCCTTCCCCCACATACAAGTCGCTGATTTGTGAGGGGAGGGGTGTGAGTTTGTGCTGCCTTTTTTTTTCAGAAATGGGAGCCGGGTAGTTGGCCTCCTCAATTTATGCTAATATTAACATTGCTGGTTTTGCCTCAGTTCCATTCAGACCCTTCTTGATTAGATGTGTGTGTTTATATATATATTTTTTTTTTCCCATGCCCTAAATAAGATTTTTCTTGAAAGCAATACTCCTTCTCTTTCGCCACAGACCTTTTTTTTCCCAGAAATCTAGTCTTTTTTCAGTGTCAGATGTTCCCTCAATGATTTATTAAACTGAATTCTCATTTTATATTGTTGTTCTAATCTGTACAGCGTTCTCAAATATTCAGGATGCCTTCATGGAGCTGTTTTTGCTGATAACTTAGAAGTTATTCAGAAATTTGAGATGCAGTCTGGTGTGATGTAGGTTTCAGAAAAAACATGAAACGTTGGCACGATAAAGAAAATGTTTTTCTGAAACCTACATCACACCAGGCCGCATCTCACGATTTCTGAATAATTATCAATTAACGGTCACTAATCACCATGCATAACTGAGAAGGTTGTATTTCTCTGATATATTTGGTCTTTCACATCAGGGACTTTGCAGTAAGAATCCGACTTCCTCAGCTCATCCTCACTCATTTCTTCAGTACTTTTGTTGGATTCGTCCTGTTATATAACTTTCATTCATCATTGGTGTGTTGGAAGAGGCGTAGTAGTTGTTGTACGACATCTTCACTAACATCTGGGCAGGCTGTCAGTCATCGTAGGATAGGCAGACGGAAAGTCCAACGGATCTGCCACAAGACAAGTGAGGAAAAAGAGACAGATAACTGGTCACAGCTGGCAGTTGGGAATGTGAAATTTGGTATAAACAAACTGATTCACAAAGTCACAAAACCCACTTTGTTGCAGTTCAGACATCTTTGTCTGATAATCTATTTACCTTTTTTTTAACAGAATGATTTTTTAATATTTTATAAAATAAAATAACTGCCTGCACATTCTTACTTGTTGAAAATTGGTCATGGAATCATAATGAAGAATCTGGCAACCTATGAACGAATTACGTGGAAGACCTTGAACTACATACTTATTTTTTTAATATGTTGTTTAGTGTAACATTTCATTCCAATGCATTAATCATACTGTTAAAACTTCTTGCAGGATCCCATTCACTTTAGGTACTGCAATTCAGATAGTCTAATCGATGATCGACATGTCCATTCAAGCAGATCTTCAGAAGATAGCCATGCGACAACACTTCGTCCTGAGTTGTGGAAAGCTTTCATTGCTTTGACGTACTGTTTCGTTGTTACATGGATCACTGCATTTGTGATGGTGATTGTTCATGAAAGGGTCCCAGACATGAAAAAATACCCCCCTCTACCCGACATTTTTCTTGATAATGTACCTCATATACCCTGGGCTTTCCACATGTGCGAGTGGACTGGAACTCTCCTTCTCTTTATATGGATCGGAGTCCTTATTTTTCATAAGCACAGGTAAAAAATAAACATTATTTACATACATATTGATCGTACTGATCCTAGCTTAATCATAACAAAATCTCAGCGTTATTTCTCATCATTCATCTTCCAGACAGTTATCCAAGAAGATGTATGGTTTACCACTGACATATGTTAAATGTTGGTAATATTTTTCAGGTTTATATTGCTGAGAAGATTTTTTGCATTGTCTGGAACTGTCTTCCTTCTCCGGTGCATAACCATGTTAATAACATCCCTTTCAGTTCCTGGTACACATTTGGAATGTAATCCAAGACCTAGTGCATACAGGTTTGCTGAAATAAAGTATTTTTAAAAAATATATGAGTAACACCGTACCATTGTCATGATCGCTACATGTGGATGCTGTAGTCTTTAGTAGGATTTATACTTACAATTGTATTGGCTCCATATCGAGGCAGCATGATATAAGTACAAACATTATAAGAGAGAATTAGAATGAGTAATTTTTATATCACTCTCTTACACTCTCTTATAATGTTTATACTTATATTATGTGCCTCCATGATTAAGGATACGTGGCCACTATGATCGTGAATAGTAACAAGTGATCATGACAATGGAATGGTTTTACATATGTATACGTACAGTTGAACTTTCCAAAACAGACGCTTCTAATAATTCATACCCAGACAATTTCATTTCCCCTGGCATTATTATTTTTCTTTATAAGAAAAGTATTTTGTAATTACAGCAGACTTTCATTGCCACAGGGGATACGTAGCAAGCATCAATGTAGATAACGAGAACTGCGGATAGTAAGGAAACGTGTGTGTGGTGATTAGTGACTGTTAATCGATATTTATTTAGAAATCGTGAGATGTGGTCTGGTTGATGTAGGTTTCGGAAAAACATTTTCTTTATTGTGCCAACGTTTCGTAGTACGTTTTTGAGTATAAATACTTTGATTGAATATATAAAATATATTTTGTCAATTCTCAGTTCAGTCAGTCCTCAGATTGGGAGTGTGACAACATGATTTGAAAATTTTTATCAGAGAACAGTAAAAAATTTTCTCAATTGATAAATTGAAAAATTCCAAGCTCTCTGTGGTTGAAAACCTTTATTCAGCTTGGTAAATTACGTCCATGTTGGTGTGTTTTAATGTTATTATGTTTCAATTACAGTTTTAAAACCAAAAGGGACTAAAATAAAATATATGTTTCAATTACAGTTTTAAAACCATGTTGATGACATTCCCCTCAACATATAAAGGGGGTGGAAAAATAATATATATGTATCATCGGCATAGTCCAGGTATAAATACTTTTATTTAAAAACATGGAAATTACTGATGGGTGTGCCTTCAGATTGGAAATTATACCATGAGATTTCTCTATGTTTAGTTTCTGATGAAGGGTCAGGAGCCCGAAACGTCCATGTTATTTACTAAATTGAATAAAGGTTTTCAACCTCGGAGAACTTGGAATTTTTCAACCTATAAATAGAGAAGATACGAACCGTGGAGTTGGTAATATATAAAATAAGATGAGGAAAATTTTCTTACAAATCCAAGAGAAATATTAGTGTCTCTATGGATCCATTCATTTGTTTGAATCATTAATTAATAATAAATCATTATATTCACTTAATGTGCCTAATAATTTTTCATGTTGACCCTTCTAATAAGTGGACAAAATCCCATTCCAGAGTAGTGTCTGCATACGAGAAGTTCGACTGTACATATTTTATCTATATGGGGTGTTAACCCGAATCCTGTACCACTCCAGGACATTTTCTCCAATTCCAAAATTTATTACATTTGTGTGATACAATTTAAAATCGATATGAAACCTTGGGACAACAAATTTAGACAATTTTGATGCAAAACAACTGAAATATTAAACCGTTAATTATTATTATTTAATTTTTATAAAAAGCCAAACAAGGTTTCTGTCTGATAATAATTATACAACTATTTCTATTATTTTTTAAATTTATTATTATTATTATTATTATTATTTTTAATGTAGGGAAGATGGTAGTTCTGATATATTATCTAAGATGCATGCTGCCTATGAAATTTGGAAAGGAGCAGGAATGTCAATACAAGGTGTCAGGACATGCGGAGATTATATGTTCAGTGGCCATACTGTTGCGCTTACGATGCTAAATTTCTTTATTACCGAATGTATATATTTTTTATGTATTTGTTCTTCAGAAATGAAAGAAAAGTGATTAAATTAATTTTCAGATTCTCCGAGAGACATTTATCTTTTACACACATTCACCTGGCTGCTGAACATGTTCGGCATATTCTTCATCCTCTCAGGACATGAGCACTATTCTATAGATGTTTTCATCGCGTTTTACATAACGTCCCGCCTCTTTCTTTATTACCACACTTTGGCAAACAACCAATCGCTAATGCAGAGGGACCAGGGTAGGACTCGCATCTGGTTTCCACTGTTCAGTTTCTTCGAATCTGATGTAGATGGCATCGTGCCAAATGAATATGAGACTGGATTAGAGATAATAAACAATATAATTAATTTCTTTGTTTCCAGTGCAAAGTATGTGATGCTTGTTTTCCAGTCGAACCTAACAATAAAGCGTGGTTTGACGACACGTAATAGCCCCTCTACAAATAGTATTAAAAAACATAAAAAGAAATGATGGTTAAAACATAACCGTAATAAACAAAATGCCACTATGCGATACATGTGATATTCTATATTAAGCTTTGAAGATGTATTTTTGATCTAAGCTAAAATGAAGTATTTGTTAAGCTTAAATTATTTTATACTGGTTATGTATAATCACAAACACATTTAACATTTGAAACTTTGGTAATAAACATTATTGTAGAGGCAAAAGAAAAAATTGTCCTCTTATTGAATGTTATAATACCTCAATTCTTTAGATATTTTTTATAATTATTAGTATTATTAAGGCCTCGGTACTTTTTGTTCTTGAAACTTCCCAATGAAAGAAAGATACAAGCTTATTCCATATTTCAGCTGTTTTTTGTATACTGCTTGTTCTTCCAACTTGAATGTTTTTAATTCAGTACTTTCTCTTCCCACATGTGTTTCTATGTGTTAATTAAGTTAATTACACCCTTACAAATAAAACTCATGTTTGTAATCAAAAGTAAGGATTAGAAATTTTATGACAATTAGAATGGTGACAAAAATATAACATGTTGAACGAACAGTTAAATGTTTCTCTCTTTAATGTTTATATATTATGAGTTTTTAGTTATGAATTTTGTGGAAAAATATTATTGTTAATGTTTATTGATTATTTAAAATTTATATATTATTTCTGAAATGTATATAAAAATTATATTTATGATTATTTAAAGTATTATTTTTGTCTTAACAATTTTTTTATAATCCTAAAGTTTAAATACAATTTAAGTTATGGATGAATTATGTATTTCCTCAGCTACATGGTTCTCAATCATAATGGCTTCCTATCCAACATTAGCATTTACAACCAAAAAAAGCCAAATAGAAAACTGTCTACCACCAAAATTGAAAACGTTTATTAAAAACCATTATGTTTAGTGGTCTGATTGACCAAATTACTTCTTTCAATTAATTATTCTTTTTACGTAAAGTCTTGGTTGAAATGAAAAAGCTAGCATCACGAGTGGAGTTTGAATCCCGCTTGTGACATTGGCTTTTTCATTTCAACCAAGACCTTACATTAAAAAAATTAATTGAAAGAAGTTAATAAAAAGGACGGTAACTTGTTAAATATATTTCAGTTTTTATGCAAAGAAGGTTGTGAAGAAAACTTAGTGTCACAAACGAGTCTCGTGCCCATGAACCACCTCGGTGCTCTACCACTTGACCTATCAACTTCGGTCCACAAATCACAATTTGTACATCTCAACCATTATTTAAATTTTCCCTTTTTACCGCCAATATTCAAACTTTTTGAACTTGAAAATTCCAGGGATCATGGGTTCAAGTCCTGCTTGCAACACTTATTTTTCTTCCCAACCTTCTTTGCATAAACATGGGAAAAGTAATAAAAACTTGTTTTTGTCTTTGCCCATCAACATTAGCCAAACTGATAAAAATAATCATCAACTAATGGTCACTAAACACCACACATAATTCAAGGAAATTACCCTTACATAAAAAAAATCTACATTGTTAATTTTAGTCAAAATGCAGCTATGATGCTACAATGTTTGAACATATACTTTAGCCATAAGTCACCAAAGAAATATGCATACAATTAAAAAAGATAATGAAACCTTGAACAATACATATAGAACATGTTTGTTCACCTCAATTTCCTATTCCATAATTTTTATTATTCATCTTAAAAGACTCCTATCGAGGCTCAAGTTTATGTTATTTTAAATCAAATAAGTATAAACCTTTGCTGGCTAATTTTAAGAGAAGCAACCTCATATATAATATAACTAATTAAGGTTTTTAGTTGAGATAAAAAAGTCAATGGCACGAGCGGGATTCGAACCCACGATCTTCGGCTTGATACGCCGCTGCTCTACCACTTGAGCTATCGTGACTTCGATCCACTCGGACGCCGACTTCTCATCTCAACCGCACCTTTGAATTTTCCCTCCTTTTTGCGATTTTTCATATATAATTTCTCAACATGAAGGTCCAACAGGTATCGATATCAATGTCGATACTTCGATAAGCATCAAAAGTATCTGAAAGAAAGGTTATAGGTATGCGGCAGCTGTACCATAACACGTGCTGTTAAGTCAAACCGTATTTGCTATTTGAATATTTTTATTTTAAATGAATTAAATGGTAGTTGTAAATGACCGATATGATTTTTAATTTGCTTGTTATATAAACGGGTATTTCGAGACGTTTTGTTTACGTGTATCTAATTTATTTAATTAGAAAAATGAATACGGGAGATGAAACATTCGAAACTTCTAACACGAAAAAACCTCACAGGGAGAGACATGCAGGTAATTGCTAGTTGTATAATTTTTTACAATTTGTACAAAAACATTCTGATAGTGTTCTAGCAGATCAATGAATGTGTTACTTTACATGCATTATCAATCCGAAATTTATTACAGGACGAAAAGCAGAGAAAAAGAAACACAAACTTGACCCAAGCAGTCAGTCTGACAAGCAGAAAAATCCAAAAGCTTTTGCTGTCGGATCTGCTGTACAGGCTGCAAGGAAATTTAGAAGGTATTTGTTTTTGAATAAGGCACATTCACTATATAATTTCAATTAATAATTCTTTTGATCTAAGGTCTTGGTTGAGATAAAAAAGTTAAGTGTCATGAGCGGGATTCGAACCCACGACCTTCGGCTAAATACGCCGCTGTTCTAACCACTTGAGCTATCGCGACTTCGATCCACTCGGACAACTCTTCGTCTCAACTTATAACCGTTCAAATTTTCCCTCTTTTTGCCATATTTTTGAAATGAGTAATTTTTCATCTCGAACATCTTAGATAAAATGAAGAATTAATTGAAATAATAAGGTCAATTATCGCTAAACATATATGGATTAATCATATAACATTAATTGTAACAGGACACAGGATTTGAAACAACGGAAGGAACACATTCCTGTGGTGGATCGAACACCTCTTGAACCTCCACCCATATTAATAGCGATAGTTGGACCACCAAAGGTTGGGAAAAGTTTATTAATAAAGTCCTTAATAAAATCCTACACCCGACAGCCTCTTACATCCATGAAAGGGCCTGTGACTCTCGTAACTGGTGAGTTTTGTGTTATAGTGCAAGTGTATGTGTAAATGTAATATATTTAAGTGTGACTATGTGGAAGATTTTACCAAAAATATAAACTTAAATTTTTAAACATGTACAAAAGCGCCGCTCATGTTTTGCTAATCAGCCCTTATGCAGTGAAATTTAATTAAACTTTTGTCCCCTCTCTTAATTGTACCAACTTGGAGTATCATATCTTAAAAAATTTAGTTCAAACAGCAAGAAGAAAAATCATAAAATTGTGAATATTCAAAATAATCAAGTTAAATAATTTCAGTTGATTTTTTTTTTTTTTTTTTTTTAAGCTAGTACTTGGAGTAGTTTGCTGCTAAATGGTTGAATAGCTTTATTTTTTATTTTGTATATATATTTTTTATTTAATTCTCATTGACATAAGATGGCCTTACATGAAACTACATTCCAGTGTTGAGGATGAGATATCAGAAAGAAAATTCTGGGACAATGTTGGGAATCAAATCCATGATCACATGGACATGACTAGCCGTGATCCCCTGAATTACTCTATTATTATTATTATTGTGTTCAGTAATATAACTTTTGACATTGCAAACATGGATCCATATTTTCTGACCAAACCTCAGATATGCCTAACAGATCCATGCTCTTCTAAAGTTTGAAAGCATTGTAGTTCTAAGAGGTGTTTCTTCTGCATACTGCAATCTTTACCTCAGTTTCTCTCTTTGTTCAGTATCATTTGCCATTTGTTGTTAGCATCAGTTAAACCCTTCAGAAGTTACAGCATTTTTGGTAGTTAAGAATTGTGAGAATTGCGGGACCCCTTAAAACCAATTAAGCCTCCTCTAGTAAATGTGTGGCCAGGGGGTTTATATTTCACCTGTTCCCATTGTAATAACAGTTGTCTCTCTCATGCATCCAAATCTGGTGCTTGCGCATTTGTTGTTTGGTATAACATCATGCTTCAAACCCAAACTCAAACTGTCAGTCGTCAGTTCGATCTAAGACCAGTGGTTTTAGACCGTCAAAACAGTCCAAGAGTTTTACTAGGTTCGTGGGTCAGAGTCATGTACAGATGTTTCCCAGTGCTTTCTCTCTTGTTAAATTTCTACTCAACTTGGGACGGGATTTATATGTGAAATAAAATTATAAATATGTTCGTGTTCGGTTTTTGTTTATTTTTTTTTTTTCCAAATATCCAAGTAAAAAAACGTAAAATCAAAAAACATTTAGTTATACTTTTTTAAAGAATTTATAATACACAAATTTCTGTAAAAATGTATAAAAAGAAAGAATATTACAAGTTAATAAAATAGAAAATAAACCTTTCATTTATTTGAAATAACATACATTTCCAAATTTTCTTAAATAAAATAGTACCTTTCTAGTGCTAAAAAAAATCTATAAAAATAAAATTTAAAAAATTAAAGAATTTTACAAGTTTAATGTGTTTAGTGAAATTATAAATGATGAAAAAAATTCAGTTGAATTTATTGGCCATGTTCATTATTCTATCAAGAACTCTCCATATTTTCTTCTCATTGTTGGCGATGTCCTTCAGTATACTTTTAGCTTCGTGTCCATATGTAGTTGCAATTTGTTCATAGAATCCCATGTTCTTCGTTCTTCTCATGTAGAAATGTGTGGTGATTAGTGACTGTTAATCGATATTTATTTAGAAATCGTGAGATGCGGTCTGGTGTGATGTAGGTTTCAGAAAAACATTTTCTTTATTGTGTCAATGTTTCGATCTTTTATTGAGATCATCTTCAGGGCTCAATAAAAGATCGAAACGTTGGCACGATAAAGAAAATGTTTTTCTGAAACCTACATCACACCAGACCACATCTCACGATTTCTAAATAAATCAACATATTTTGTTGAATGATGTTCAATAATAAAAAAAAGTCCAATGTGGTGTATTTATTTATTAGAGGAGGATCAAAAAATTGATAAATCCTAGAAGGGAGGAATATTCAATATCATTTTTAATAATTGTGAATAAAACTAATAAGTTATTGCGAATCAATCTTCTATGTTATGTTATTGATATGAAATTTGTTATTAGGGCTACAAACAATTTTGAGCACATAATTTAATGTTTAATTTAACTCAGGTTTCACCGCTGTTCACCAGGAATTACAAAGTAATAGACACAGATATATATCAACAGAAAGTCCTTTTCCAATTTCAAACCTTTCTAACCACCTGAACTACCAAAGTCTGATATTGGAAAAAAGTGTGTTCTTTTGGAGATAGGTCACAAATAAATAATAAGTAGCAATGTTTGAAATTCATGTCATGAGATGTCAAGTCATAACAAATTAAAGTATGAGAACGTGCTTTACATAACCTGTGATGGCCATGTGGTTTGAAGCCACTTCGAACTTTTCGAAGCTTCAACCACATTTTTAGACGTGATACAACAGTTGGAAAAAACTGTCCCTCCACCTTTTGCTATTTTTGACCACTCTTCTTCCTATTTATGCAAGTAAGAATTGTATATTGATCTTGGTATAAGTGTTCTGAACATGCACTTCCAAGTTATAATCAGTATATAAGTTTAAGGATCACATCTAGTATATTGTGCCTACCATTCCGATCCCAAGTTCCCCTAAACTGATTGGGATAGTATGTGGATCAGTTAGACTGATTTATGACATTTTTTCTTGATATACTTCAACATATATATAGATGCTCCAACACACATTTGTTCATTGTTTTATTGTATTAGGTGGTAGTTTTTATATTAAGAAACCATTGAAACATTACATACGAAGTCACGATACCTCAAGTGGTTAGAGCAGTGGCGTATTAAGCCGAGTCGTGGGTTTGAATCCCGCTCATGACACTAACTTTTTTATTTCCAAATCATAAAAAAATTAATTAATTGAAAGAATTAATTTGGTCACTAGACCACTAAATATAATGGATTACATACAAATTTAACTAAGACAATGATAATAATTTTATTCTTGAAATTAAATGTTTTGTATATCAAATTTATCTGTTGTGTATTATAGTACTATATGCACAAACCATTGTATTTTTAAGGGAAGAAAAGAAGAATTACATTGATAGAATGCAACAATGATATCAACTGTATGGTTGATATAGCCAAAGTTGCTGACCTGGTTCTTTTACTCATAGATGCTTCATTCGGCTTTGAAATGGAGATTTTTGAGTTTCTTAACATCTGTCAGGTAATTTTTGTGCTATAGGTTTATTATATTATCATTGTTTTTGTTTTTTCAATTTTATTTTTTCAAGGTTCATGGAATGCCAAAAATAATGGGTGTCTTGACACATTTGGACATGATAAAGCAAACAAAGAAACTACAGAAAGTGAAAAAGTTTCTGAAACATAGGTTCTGGAAAGAGGTTTATCCAGGGGCGAAACTGTTTTACCTGTCAAATCTGATGTATGGAGCCTATCTAAAAAATGAGGTTAAAAACCTTGCCAGATTCATATCTGTTATGAAATTTAGACCTCTTGTATGGCAAACTTCTCATCCTTACATTCTAGGTTATTTTTTCTTTCTTTTTGATCTTTATTTATTTTTTAACTGTTTTTCGTGAGCATTAAACAATTTTGCCACATTATAGCTGACAGAATGGAAGATACCACTCCACCTGAGTATATACAGTTGAACCCCAAAACAGACCGTACTGTCTGCTTTTATGGGTATATGAGAGGCATTCCAATAAACAAAGATAGCTTCATCCATATACCAGGTAATTGTACCAAGAAATTTATATTAGAAGTTAGGTTTAATTTGTTTAAAACTTTAAAAATGATTCCAAACCTTCATTACATTAAATAAAATGTTAATGTTTGTATTTCCTATTCAACTTATTTATCTATTAATTTATGATTTTAGGAAGTGGAGATTATTTGATTAATGATATAACATTTCTTCCTGATCCTTGCCCTTTACCAGAGCATTTAAAAAAACGTAACTTACTCGAAAAAGAACGTGTTATATATGCACCATTTTCTGGAGTTGGTGGTATTGTTTACGATAAAGATGCTGTGTACGTTGAATTGCCTGGGACAGAAATCACAGAGGTGACAAATAATTTTTATAATTTTGAACAATTGATTAATTCACTCGTAAATTTAAAAAATAAATATTTCATCTTTTAGTCAAAACCCAATAATGAGTTAGTTACTAATTTGATGAAAACCAAAGAATCAGTTGATTACAAACTAGCCAGTAGCCGTGTTCAGCTTTTCTCAGGGGGTGAAGCCTTAACTGCATCTGAGTTCCAACAGTATGAATTTAAAACTGACAAAATACTAACTCCATAAAATTGTAAGCTGTTAATTTGTTTTATTTTAAGAGATAACAAGAGTGAGGTTCAAATAAATTCTCCTCGCCAATATGTAGTTAAAGAGGGTTCAGACGGAAGAAAGAGAAGAAAGGTGATATTTAATTCTTCTGATAAGATAGAACAAGACGCTGATGAAAATGAGGATTTAATTGACACTAATGAAGGAGATATAGAACAAAGGTAATTAAATATGTTTTCTGTAGTAATGTACCAAGAAATAAATAGGTTTGGATATGTTCATACTATTATAATATAGTATATACATATGTATATACAGAATGTCAATATAAGAACTTTAAAAGTAGGAGAAAAACATTGAATGTATAAACCAAGTTTTTATGATATTGCTTTATTTAACATGTTTCCATTATATTTTTTGGTTGTGATGCACTACTACAAAGTTGGTGTTCTGCATTAATTTTTATAAAATAATGTTTTATAGCATAAAACCAAATACTAATCATTATAGTTGAGAGTGTTTAATTGATAATTAAAATAATGGCTTTATTTTATAATTTTCTTCTCTCATCAAAGTTTATATATTGTTTTACCAATTAAAAACTAATTTTCACAATTCAACAAATAAATTTCATTAATTAATTAACATTAATAAAAACACTTCCTCTGATGATTATAAGGAATATAACAAATTACAAGAAAAATTACTTTGAAGTAACAATTTAATAATTAATAATTGTTTGTTTGTTTATTCTTAAAGGAATCAGGATTGGTCCGAATGTTCATCATCAGAAGAAGATGAATCAACGGACAATAAAAAATCAAATACTCATTACCCTTGGTCACAAGGAAGAGACAGTTTGATAAATGAAAATGATTGTAAGGGCAGTGATGATGAGGATGATGATAACAATGCTGAGGTGAATGATAGTGAAGAAGAAGATTTGAGTGGTGATAACAGCGATGTGGAAACAGAGGATGACGACCAAAGTCTAGATAATACAGATTTGAAATGGAAGAGTAATTTAGCAGAAAAAGCAGCTAAAACATTTTTTGATGGAAACTCAAAAATAAATTTATGGAAGCTAGTTTATTGTAATTTTCATTTTATTATATTAATGTTTTTATTTATTCGTTGATTTTTTTAAATTATGAGCACTTCACTTTATCAAAACTATTGTAGGTGAGGATATTTATAAAAATGAAGGGAAAAAAGAGGATGAAAACGTGATAGGAGAATTGTTCAAGATTGTAAAAAAAGATAATGAAAAGATAGAGGAGAAACATGTACTTGATGGGCTTGATTGTTCTAAACATCCTATTTTGTCACCTAAAGACTGGGACGTTGATATGGTATTTTCATTTGAACATAAGAATTGACAAAATACAGTCATATTTTTATCAGGTTTCAGAGTCAATAAGGCATTGCTTTGTAACGGGAAAATGGAAAGATGATGCTGATGAGTTACTGAAACTGGACGACTTAAGTTCAAAGGATGAAGATGTTTTTGGTGACTTTGAAGACTTAGAAACTGGAGAAAAATTTAAAGGAGGTAAGCAAAATTGACTCAAATATCCATTCTTCATTAGCACAAATTATTTTAATTCTGTGTGTTAAGAGGAACAACAGCTGAGCAAAGAACAATTACTAGAGAAGAAAACAAAATTGAAAGAAAAATTTAATGAACAGTATGACACTAAGGATTTCAGTGAAGATTATTTTGAAGAATTGAAAATGCAAGCGAATCGACAAGCTGAGGTAACAAAAGATATTTACATACATTAAATTAAAATTACTAAACGTGTGGTCTAGTTGAACAGAAGGCAATTTGAAGACATAGATGATGCTATAAGAGTACAAATTGAAGGGTTTAGAGCAGGCATGTATGTAAGAATAGAAATAAAAAATATGCCATGTGAAATGGTAGACAATTTTGATCCAACCTATCCAGTCGTCCTAGGTGGGTTACAACCTGGTGAACAAAACGTTGGATATGTCAAGGTAAACTCAAGATGAATTTATCCGTTTTACCCTTGAAAATAAACGTTAAAAAAATACTAATTTGTTGATTACATATAGGTACTTCTGAAGAAGCACAGATGGTATAACAGAATTCTGAAAACAAAAGATCCTATGATTATTTCAATGGGGTGGAGAAGATTTCAGACGATCGCAGTTTTTTCAAAACAAGAGGATAATTTTAGGCACAGGATGTTAAAATACACTCCGGAGCATGTTGCATGCATGGCTCATTTTTGGGGGCCGATAACACGAGCAAGCACTGGTTTTCTTGCCCTTTTGAGTGCTGGTCTTGCCGAGGTACAGCTGAAGTTAATTATCATGCTTGATTTATTTATAAGTTGTCCTTACTATTACGTAAACAATTTATCATTTCTAACAGTAAATATATTCACACAACTTGTTATATATGTATAATGACAAGTTTATGTAGTTCTTCACTTTCTTTTTTTCACATTAGTTCTTAACTTTAACAATCATAACTGGTTTTTGTTGGTTAAATCGTAAAATTTGTTGAGGTCTGCAAGATGATTGTGTGCACCTATAGCTTGATTATCTTCGATAATAAAAAATAAATAAAAATAATAACAGATCAACTACTGAAGATGGCAAAAAAATTTGGACAAACAAAACAAGCATGCGTAGGCAACCAAGATGAGTGGATATAATCATATTAAATAAAATTGTTGAATTAAATGTAATTGTAGGTGGAACCTGGTTTTAGAATAGTAGCAACTGGATCAGTAGTAGATACTAATCAATCTACAGTCGTAACTAAAAAGTTGAAACTGACAGGGACACCAATGAAAATTTATAAAAAAACTGCCTTTATTAACGGTATGTTCAACTCCACCCTCGAAGTTGCTAAGTTTGAAGGAGCTAAGATTAAAACAGTATCAGGGATCAGGGGGCAGATAAAAAAGCCCCTCACCAAACCTGAAGGTGCTTTTAGAGCGACATTTGAAGACAAAATTCGTCTTAGTGGTAAGACTCCTTAAAACAAGTTTCTTTATATCATAACCAAAATATTGGGTATTTGCTTTTGTAGTTTGCAATAAATTAAACCTTTTTAATATTTTTTTCAGATATTGTTTTTTGTCGAACATGGTACCAAGTTGAAGTTCCTAAATTGTATGTCCCAATCACTTCTCTTCTTTTACCCATCTCTGAAAAGAATACTTGGAAGGGCATGCGGACATTGGGAATGCTTAAACGTGAAAAAGGAATTAGGAACCAGGCAGAGATAGACAGCATGTATACGGTGAGTTAAAACGAATGTCATGATCCTTCTGGCAAAAATAAATAACAAACTGTTTCAACTATAGGAGATAACACGAGTGGAAAAAACTCCCCGTCCTCTGGCCATACCGAGGGCTCTGGAGAAAGAATTGCCGTATAAGTACAAGACTAAAGTTCAAGTGAAAAATACACCAGGAGTACCGTTTATGAACAAAGTTAAGAAGGTGGTTGTCAGGGATGATCACGAAGCCAGAGTCGCTTCACTTATTAAGAAACTCTCTGTTAACTATGATGTGAAAAAGGAGAAGCTTAAACAGGATATGAAACAGAGGATGATTGAATTTAAAAAGTCCAAGCAAAACCTTGAAATGAGAAAACAAAAGAAGCATAGAGAAATTAAAAAAGCCGTATACAGAACATTGAGCAAACTGGAAACTAAAAAAACAACAAAAACACCAAAATCAAAGAAAAAATAATTATTAAACAGGATATAATTGTAAATATGTATATCAGTTTTCCTTTAAAAAGTTAAATTAATGTATTGATGCATGTTTTTACAGTAATTATTAAACTATTTTTAAAGAAATTTGGCTTTATTTGTTATTTAATAATTATAAGTAGGGAAATGCTCTTTTTCACCAATACTGATACAAATTTTTGGCTCTAATTATTCAAAGTGATGTCAACAGTAATATTGGAGATCTTGTTTTGGTGATGGACTTTTGTTGATTTAAACTTTGCACATATAACAATGAAAAGTTGGCATGTTTGTGTCTTTAGTTGACATAGAAAAAGTTGATTTTGTTCATTAATTTAATAAAAAGTAAATGAGAATTGCCAATTCTTTAATGCTTTGCAACCATCAGGTATGATTTTCATGTAGTTAATGCATACCAGTTGAATATTCCTGTTTGCACTTGCATATTGGGTTTTGTTTAATTAAAAGTGTCGTTTCCGAGCGAAGTCCTCAAGTCTTGTTAAAACTTGTAACACGTAATGGACAATAAATTTAACTAGTTTCATTTTTTTCAGTCCACACCTCTCCAGACTGAGGCTGCAGTGACCCAAGGCTTCCAGAGAGGTGTGCACCACCAACCCCCCCCCCTGCCAACGCACTGCAATAATCAATTCCTCCCATACTCAGCTGGCTAGAATAATGTAACTTTTGTGCAATAATCCAGTGACTTGTAAGAAGGGGAACAGCTTGTCTAAATTTGAGAGTTGGTCCTCAAGAATCAATGACAATTTGCTGGCCAGGCGGTGTAATAATATACTATTTTGGGCAAAGTACTAGGGTTAAAGCTGCTTAAATTATTTATACAAAAAATTAAGTTTATTAATCCAGTCTCACAGAATTCTATTAGTCTATTTGTAGTCTTTCGACAGATACCCAGAATTTCCCAAAACCTATCCGGTAAATCGTATTTGACTCGTAGAGGTGCATATTTTCTACAGAACACAAGCAAATGTTTTACAGTTACTACCTCTCTTCATGTCAATTATTGAGGTGGTTCCCTCGCCATTAGGTGCCCATGTGTAATCCTACAATGTCAGATTCACAACCTAGCAAGTACTGTTTCTTCCTTTCTTTCTTTTTACATTGCTGTTTTCCATTGTCCAGTATTAGCTTTGATTTCTCTCAATTTGTTCTCCTTTGTGTTGTACCAGATTTCTTGCCAGCTATTTCCTACAGTTTCTTTTAAATGATTAGTAATATTCTCATGGGGAACTTTTTCTATTGGAAGTCCTTCTTTATCGCCCATTTTGGCACCACTAACAGTCTGTTCATTTTTGACTATGCCACTGTGCCCAGTACCCATAAAAAGCTTACCTCCATTACTTTAGACAATTTTCTTATAGCTATTAAAATTTCTTGAATTATTGGACTGATTGTGAAAAGGTCACTAAGAGAAAGAAGAGCACTGAGAGAATCAAAACAGATTACTACCTTGTAAGTACATAGGAGAAAAATGCTGAAGGCTTTATATTAGCAACTCTGCAGTAAAGTTACTGCAGAGGAGACAATGAAAACGTTATTTTTTATTATAAAGGCAAATAATGTATTTTAAATGTAATGATATAAGTTAATAGTCATGGTTAACTAAAAGTAACTTATGTATGATGACCCCTGCAAGGTGCAAAGAGGCATAAAAAAATGTCTGTATGTTGAGATTCAAACAAAACCTTCGACAATGAGGCAAATTAAGACAATAACTTTATTAAAAATTGCCTTGTAAAATCCATAAAAGTTTTTAACAACTTCATATGGACCCTAAGTTTTACAAAGTCAAATTCCAGTAACAGTAAAAGGTGTATGATATTTTTACTATTTTTCTTTCCCTTATTCCTTTATCTATCTATTTTTATTCACTTATTTATTTATAATTTGTTGGTCATGAGGAGCAATCAAGAATGAGGTAGGTTATGTTATTTTACACACACCATACATTTTGTAGATTGTTTTTGTTATATTGTCTTTACACATTTAGTATAAGTTTTGCCTTTTATTGTTTATATTTCTTTCTAATGCTAACATTTTATTTAGGCATGTTTACTCGTCACTTAGGATTCCTTTTAGCCTTTTTGGAAAGTTGAATACTTCTCCGGCTGTTTTTAAATTATGACATTCAGTTAATATACGTTCCTCAGTCAGAGATACGCTGGATGTGTTGCATTGTGGAGGTGTTCCTCTGTTCATGAGGTGGCTTCGTATCCAATGTGTCTGATCCGTAGCCTGGTCAGAGTTTCATAGTTTATCGTCTATGATTTTGTGGCAGGCTTGTTCCCAATCTATCCATATTTTATGTTTTAGGTGGGATTCTACCTACGTGGGTATGCTGTCACTGGAATTCCTTGTGTTGTTGCTCTTTTCGCTTGAATATTGCCTTCAATATCAGTGGCCGGGCACCCACAGATGGATTATTCATTCTGATATTTCAATTTTTTGGATTTGTATGAGGATGCCCTGGATTAGTGGGTTTTCAGTGGTTTTACGGTTTTTAGTTTTATGGCTAATACTGCAGACAAGTTATCACTACAGATAACTCACTTTTTTATCTGTAAAGGTTGTGCTTTTTTTTATTGCTAATAATTCTGTAATAAAGTTGTTACATATTGATCGTAGTTTAAAATTGTATAGTTGATTGCCATGAAAAACTCCAGCACCAACTCCATTGTTGGATTTGGATCCAATCGTCCTAGTTTTAATAAGCATTTATGTAAAAATGGCATTGTTACATACAGTAATAAAATTATAATTTGGGTCAATTTTGGAATTTGTCCACTCGTATGAAGTGAGTGATCCTGGGCAAACTGCGAATTAAGGAAGTCAGTAAGACGTAAATTGTAGATTTTTGATTAATTTTTTTTGTTTGTTTGTATCTTGTTCCTCTCTTCAGCAAGAACATATCGTTTTTGTCCACTGTGTGAGAGATAATAATATAATAAAACTCGGACGTTAAATTTCCGTTTAAATTTGAAAATGGGTGAAGATAAGGCTGATGTTAATCAATAGTTCGTGTATTTGAAGATCTAGTAGAAAAGTGAATCTCAACATCTGAGCGATGACGGATCAGCTGAGCCTCCCGACTTCAGACATGTTCTCCTTCTCGCACTGTACTCCTCTCAACTGTTTCGGTTCTGTATTCCAGGGGATTCAGCAAATTCCAGAGTTTGGAAAATTCAAATATTCAATCATATGTATTGCTTTTTAAACGGCGGAATATTCGTTGGAGCGAGTTGTAAATTTTCTTTTAGCCCTCACCCTTCACGATTCCTTTTAGCGAGGCTTTTATCCCGTACTTTGTCGACACCGTACCACTCTATTATTAGAAATCCATCCGTAAATTCACCCTTTTGTACGAATGTATTTCGGAATGAATGCGCGCAAAACGGCAGAGATCGACTTTTAAAATGAATCTATCTTGAGTCTGCAGCGGAAGTGTGAATTATGACCTTACAACAGACGACCACAAACACAACGAATCCTGAAAATGGAACACAATTAGAAAATCACGTAAGTCCTATCATGACTTTTTTTAAAGTTTTTATGTCCGTTGTTGTGAAAATCACATTACTACGGATTAACAGCCGTGCTATTATAAAAGTTAATTATTTGATTTGGAATATACATTGAAATCATATCTAAATGTCGGCTGCTGTATATATATTTAAAGAATTGACGGTGAAGATTGTAAACATTTGACATTGATATTTGTCATTTAGACCTTCTGATATGCATAATGATTCAGGTCTTTTTATTTCAACTCTAACATACCTATGTTCAATTGCAAAATCATGTAAAATTATAGGTATTTTTTTGTTTTTAAACCGCTTTCTTTATTTTCCCTTTGACCTATACTTACTCTGGTTAGTTCAGCTTTTACTTAGGCCCTTTATCTACATGAATTTTATACCTGTATATACACTGATGGACAAAATAAACGCACCACCCATAAATTTTAATGTATTTAGGTTTATCAATATTTCGCGTACCAAAAATAAGTTTGGTTGTGAACGGAGTGAATTACAACAATTTCACACAAAACCACAAGAATAGCACCTGAAGAAGATGACCCGAATAAAGGTCGAAATGTTAGCAAAAAAAGGAAAAAGATGTTTTTCTAAGCTACCTCATTCTTGACTACTCCTCATGAATCCAACAAATTAAAAAAAAACTTTTTTACCCCCTTTAATATCGAGTATTTCCAGCTCTGGTATGAATCACATTCGTTAAACACCTTTCCATTCTTTGAAAAAGATTTCTGATAAGTCCTTAGTAATTCTCTCCCATTCATCATCAACAGACGTTTCCAACTCTTCTAGGGTGTTAAGACTTGGGTTTCGCCATCGTACATGTCGCTTAAGTTGGTTCAAAATGGTTCAAATCTGGTCTTCGAGCTGGCCACACCATCCCTAACCACCCCAAACTACCTCATTCTTGACTGCTCCTCATGAATCCAACAAATTGTAAAAAAACAACTTTTTTACCCCCTTTAATATCAAGTATTTCAAGCTCTTGATGAATCACATTCGTTAAATGCCTTTCCATTCTTTGGAGAAGATTTCTGATAAAATGTTCAGTAATTCTTTCCCATTTATCATCAACAGATGTTTCCAACTCTTCTAGGGTGTTAGGACCTGGGTTGTGTGTTGCTTAAGTTGGTCTCAAATGTGTTTGATTGGGTTGAAATCTTGACTTAAAACTGGCCACACCAAGCATTCAACTCCAACCTCATTTAAAGTCATCCAGAACACGTGCTCTATTTGGCTGGCATTATTGGGGCAAATATCACTACATGTTCTTCGATTATGTCTTGCAAGTACCTCTGTGAAGTTATAGCACTCGCACAACCAATTCGGTGCGGACCAGGAAATGCCACCCCAGGGGCATACCTCTCTCCTGAACGTCTCCATATTAAATTACGCTAAAGATTCATCTGTAAAGAGAACACTTCCCATTCTTTCAATGTCCTATTCACATGTTCCCGCCTGGCCATTTTGTGAGCTGTGGTAAGAAGAGGTCAACGTGCCGGGTGCCATGGCTATTTTCATTATTCTTTTTAAAATCCTGGAGGAAATTAAAATATTCGAACTTGTCATCAGATTTCTTATCTCATGTCCCATAATGCTGAGGTTCATAAAGCCTGATGATGGATGAGTCTATCCTCCCTCTTCCTAGGTCGATCCTGGCTTGGCCTTCTAGTTTGAAGCCCTGTTTCTCTGAAGTGCCGAAGAACTCTTCTTATTGTAGAGTGATTTACACTCAAGTCTCCTGGCGACATCTCGCTGGCTAAATCTTTCCTCTAATAATGTAACCTTGTCATTATCATACTCACTCAAATGCCTGACTGGAGCCATTGGAAAAGGTTTAAGAATAAGAATATTATCAAATGAAATTAACAAAGGAAAAAGATTAGCTGAAATATACAGGCGTAGCACAATGGAAGAGCATAATGCTACTTTTTGTGTAAATGGGATTAATCAGTACAAAAAACTAAACAAAGGAAGTAAACAAAACATTGTTTTACTCTTTACTTTGATTACGATAGCTCCTAATTACCTGTATCTAATGTGGAAAGATAATGGATTTAATTGTAAACTAAATAAATTGAGTGTTAATAAATTAGTCCATCAGTGTATAATCCACATTTGAATAGGTACATAATTTTGATAAATAAATAAGTTTGAAATAAATTTAGTTACTTCTGCACTGTTCATCTTTTGTGCTGTTTGTGATCATTTGTAGTTCGTGTTTTGTTTATTAAGTAGAAGAAAATAAATTTTATTCTGGGGCTTTAGGCCTCCTTGAATAACAAAAGAGTACAAAAATTGGCACAATTTGAATCAAAATTATATAAATATTTAAATGTAATAGGAAAAAACAATAAATGAGACATACTAAATTAAATAAAAAGGGGAAAATTAACCATCCTCAGTGTTAACGAGTAAGAACAGGGGGTAGTCAAAAAGACAGGATTTAAAGGTGGAAAGGGTTAAGGCACAGTGAATTAAATTAGGTAGAGAATTCCAGAGATAGTAGGAATGGATAAGGAATGAACGATCAAAAGTGGTGGATTTGTAAGAGAGTGGGTAGGCATCAAAAGGGCAGGAACGAGTGTTTAAATGTTAACAGATTATAAATATAGGAAGGAGATTGGGAAGAAATTTTTTGATGGAAGAAGGGGCCAAGAAAGTATGGCCTTAGATAGGAGAGGTACAGCTATTTCAGTTCACAATACATATTAGAGACACATGAGATCTCTTTGGGAAGCTAAATATGAACCTAAGAAAGCAATTTCTTTTGAGTCTGTTAACAAACTCTTAATGAGTCTTACTTAGACCAAACACCAATAATCAAAATGGGGAAGCACAAGGGAAGAGACCAGGAGTTTGCGGGTGCTGATTGGGAAGAGTTGGCTAGCATGACGGAATTAAAAGAAGGTGGAGAAACTTCAGAACAGAAATTTGGGGTTTCCAGGATAGGGTTTGAACAAGGATGATCCAAGATTTTTGACAGATGGATAAAAGGAGATCGGTTGGTTGTTAATGCAGAGTGAAGGAATAGGAGGTAAGGATGAAGAATCCAAACGCTATAGCCTAGAACTTATTTATGTTGAGAAAAAGCCATTTTCAACAGCCCAAGCATTAAGATCCTCTTGGATTTGTGTTATTGAGATTTGAAGGTCATGAGGTGAAAAGGAAAGATTTGGAAATAATCTATGTAGAGGTGGTAGGTGCAATATTTGAGATATCATTAATATAACAATAAAAGAGGGAGGCAGATAAACTGGAGCTTTGAGGAAGACCAGTTTGGTCATTTAATATAAGATCTGCTTGTTGTAAAACAGGTGGACTATTTAAGATTGCAAAATGTTGAAATTTGTGACTCACCCATAAGAGCAGCAGGGAAATGACAAACTTCAATATTATTCTTCCATGATAATAACTGTTACATTTAAATTGAAAATTTATTTAAACATCATAATAAGTTAATGTCATTTATTGATTGTAGTAACCCTGTAGGACCTCCCTATATATGTAAAAATTATTTATTTTCTATAAACATTAATTAATTTAATTTTTTTATTTATTTTAGATGTATGTCCATTCAAGCAAGAGTCAAGAATCATGCCGTAGTGAGTCACAGACGTCAAGTCATACGTCCACAAATGTAGAAATATGTCGGATCTGTCACTGTGAAGGTGATGCAGAGGGTGGCCTTATCGCACCATGCTACTGTGCTGGCTCTCTTCGTTATGTTCACCAGGCCTGCCTCCAGCAGTGGATCAAATCTTCCAATATCCGCTGTTGTGAGCTCTGCAAGTTCCAGTTCATAATGCATACCAAGACGAAGCCGTTCATGGAGGTTGTTTTATCATTTTAGAAGGCTAATACATATGAAATAGTTTAATAGCATGCATAAAAATATTAATACATCATTTAAGGTATAAACTTCTAAACAATTATTTAAGAATGAATATAAATGTTTTTATTCCTTTTTTACTTATTTTTCAAAATGTCAATGATCTGGCATTGAATATTACCCAGGAAAAAATGTATAAATGTAACAACTGTAGAGGAATAGAGAATTTTTTCCCCTTAACAGTAGAGAGCTTGATGTTATTTTGATGTAGCTTTCTTTAAACATGAAATTATATACTTTTTAATTTTTCATCATTTAACCAGCTTTTGTAATTTGGTCATTACCAGCCTCTCTTTGCCATTGCTGTTGCAAGTTGTTAGCTCGCAGACAATATAGAGAAATCTTACAAGCTTCTGTTTGTTGATGTAAAAAAATAGGAGTTAGTTTTCATTTAAAAAAATATATATTGATTAAAATGTCTTTAAATTTCAATCTTAGTTTAGAAGGGAACATTTTCTCATTTTCAATTTTTAATTTGATACTCATTTCTACAGAAAACATTCTACCAAAATTTGGCATTTATATTTAATTACCAACAATATTTCTTTCACTTATATTTTCTTGATCGTTGTAGATCTTTGTATGTATTTGATTTGCATTAAAAAAAAAATCTTAGCACAGTTTAAATTACTGAATTAGTATTTGGATCATCAGTACTGTGAAAATTTGGCCCATTTATTTTTGGTGGTAAAAAAAAAAAATTACAACTAACGTTAAGTGTAATCACATTTTGCAACTACATAGTGAAATAAATACAATATAACATGAAATTAAGGTAGATTATCTTTGCGAATTGTTATAATCATCAATTTCAGTTGTTAAGAATTTATGGTATTTAGTGTTTTATGTTTCCTTTCTTCCTTTTTACTTGTTATAGTGGGAACCACTTGAAATGACAGGCTTTGAAAGGAGGAAGTTACTGTGTGCAGTTTTATTCCATGCAATAGCTCTCACGTGTGTAATCTGGTCACTTTATGTGCTAATCCATCGTACTGCAGAAGAGATACGTGACGGCATTCTCGAATGGCCATTCTGGACAAAACTAATAGTTGTAGCAATAGGCTTCACAGGTGGTGTTGTTTTCATGTATATCCAATGTAAAGCCTACATGCACATTTGTCAGAGATGGAAAGCCTTCAATAGGTACTTTTTGGCTGTTTGAATTGGACCCTCTTCTCCACTGATTAGAATTTTATTTCTGTTTACAGAGTCATTTACGTTCAGAATGCTCCTGAAAAGAATCCTCTCCAAACACAGACAGTTCCACCGCTTTCGCCCAACATCATCTCAGGCACAAGCCATAAAGCAGAGAATATTAGTAAATTGAAAAACTTTGCTGAAAGTGGAAATTTTAAAGATGAAACAAGTATTGACTTGAAAGGAGTTCGTAATTTACATATATTTTTTAATGATGAGAGTAGTGTTTGTGTTCAAAATGAGCAATTTTGTGGTTCTGATGAAGGTGATGGAACCTTAGAAGCAGTTAATGTCACACCAAATGGAAATCAAAGATGTGAAGATTTATCAACTTCATGGCATATCAAGATAGGTAAAAGCTCTGGTGGTGATCAATCGTACATCCCTGTACAACAAAGGTTGGTCTTAAAACATTTTAAAATTAATCTTATTACTACAATCATTTTAAAACAAAACAAAACCTTAGAACATTTCAATTGATGACGATTGTTGATGATTTGTTTCTTCACTTTGATAATAATTAAACCAATTAATAAATGACAACTTTTCCAGACGATTTCAATGGCCTTATGCACGTAATCACCTTTCAAGAGTCTCTCCATTAATCCCGACAAGGGAATCCTCACAAAACTGCTAACTCAAATAAACAAACAAACAAAAAACAGAAGATTATAAAATATTTACATTTTATTATTTTTATTTTACTTTGCAAATTATGTTTTTAAATTAATAAATGATATCCACTTTTATTGTATTTATTTTCAATTGTATTAACTATACATGTGGATGTCTTAATTGTCAATCGGCTTCATAAAATTCAGAGTTTACATAATAATTAATAAGAAAATACAAAATTAATTAGAAAAAATGTTTATGAATCAATCTAATCAAAAAGGTTGCTGGAACAATTAAATTGTACTCAATTACAAATTTCATATAATTTGGATATGTAATAATCATATAATTATTGAAAAAACATTTTAATTTTAGTTTGTTTATTTTAGTTTTATTTATTTAAATCATGCTTGATCAATAACATTCGTTTAGGATGTTAGAAGTATTTTATTTTACTAATTTTATTGAAACGGTTTATTAGTTCTCTAAACGGTCACTCTTGTTTTTTGTTCATTGCATAATTAATTTGGCTCTCAGACAATTGAGGGGAAATCTGACAAACACCAAAATCTTTAGTCTCTTTTTAATTTAGAAAATAGTCTTTTTCCCTACTCTTTGGTATAGGTAATAATAATAGGTAGCAATAGGGGGAGGTAAGAGATTATTTTAATATATATTCTTTTTTTAAATTAAATAAATAAACCTATAGAAATGATGAATTATGGAGTGTGTGGTGTTCAATCCTTTTTAAAAAAAGGATTAAATAAACCTAGGTAAAAGATATTTATCATTAATAAATAAATGTCACTATTAGACAAAATTAGTTTTTGTTTTTTAAATTTTTACATTGCAGTTAAATCAAAATTATATACATCCATTGTATTTTGTGGTCCAATTGACCCAATAACTTCTTTCAATTAATTAATCTTTATGTAAGGTATGGTTGAAATGGAAAAAAAAGGGAAAATTGAAAGGTAGGTTGAGATGGGTGTCCGAGTGGATCGAAGTCACAATAACTCAAGTGGTAGAGCAGTGGCATATTTAGCCAAAGGTCGTGGGTTCGAATCCCACTCGTGACACTAACTTTTTCTTTTCAACCAATACCTTACACAAAGATTAATCAATTGAAAAAAATTATATACATTTTTAATAGCATTTATATTTTGCACATAACAAAGAATCTCAAATTAGTCTTTTCAAATATAGTCACTTACACATTTGACATACTAAACTCAGTAACATACATTTTTATTCAAGTCTACCTGCAGAATAATAATGAAGTGTTTGTAGATACTTTTTTTAGACAGTTTTTATTATATATTGGAATATAATGGTTCAGTAACAAAGTAGAAAAAGGATTAAATAATAATCCGTTTTGGAAACCTATGTATAAACTTCAAAATTACAGCCATTTTTCGTGGTATTAAAATGAAAATAACTATTTTTCTTCATTTTTTTTGTCCTTAATTTTTGTATTTTTTTATGAATTGCTTTATTTTTTAAATTATTTCCACATGTTCAAATGTACTTATGATGTTTTGACATCCGTTTTCAAGTAATGGTTTGTTTCTTTATTGCTCAAAAATGTACTTTAAAATTCTTTTGTATTTGAGCAGTAAAGAAATGAACAATCTACTTAAAAAAAGGTATTGTTATACATTTGAACATACTTTTAAAACACCAAGAAAAAAGGCCTAAAAATTAAAAAAAGAAATAATAATTTGATTAAGGTTTATGATTATTAAGTTCAAATAAGTCCTAATTATCCATGACTCAAAAATCACTTTTGTTAGTCCTCAGCATTACCTTAAGATTTTCTAATTAAAATTAATACCTTAGCTTCTTGAAAATCAATATTCACATTAATTTATAATATGTAATGATAATACTTGATAATAATGAAATTTGTAGAAATGAAATAATAGGGAAAGCAAATAATTTTTTTATAAAGCAATTAACATGCCATTAAATATTGATCCAATATAAAGTCAGAGTCATATTTATAGCAAGTTTTTTCTATAATTTTTTTAAATGTTTAACATAAAGACAAGAAAAAGTAAAAGTTCTTTGTATCTTTTTTTTTTATATTTATATAATGGTTTTTGTTTTGTTAAGGAGTGCCGAAGAACCAGGAAAATCTTCAATTTCTGAGTATGGTGATTCAAGCGCAGACGATGGCATTACGTATAAAGCTGGGGATGCGCCTTGCGGAAGTAAGAATGATTCGGTTTTGAAGTTGCAAACCAAGAAGGCAGAGATAGTAATAAAATTCAAGCAGAGTTCGATGGATGACATAAACGAGGAGGTGCAGAATAAAGACAGAAAGGATACTTCCGTAAACATTAAAATTGACGACAATGACAATGATCCTATCGTCATAGATGTGGTCACTAAAGGCCAGACTGAGACTAGTAGTAGTAAAGATCCGGTTAAAATATCTTTTGGTTTCAAACAAAACGACGAAGAAAGAGTTGGCGACAAAACCGATTGCTGCAATAGCAACTCTACAAATAAACTGTTTCAGACAGCTTACTTGGACGATTCTTGTGCTGAAACAGATGCAGCGTCGCATTTGCCACTTCTTCCAAATAAATGTCCACAAGGAAAAAATTGACCATAAGACTGATTTTTATTGTACAATTTCAATTTATTGAATAACTAAAGGTAATAAAATTATATTACCATTTAAACATGATGGTAGCAACTGAAGAATTCTTTGTTTTAAAATATTACATATTTTTTCAGTCGAAGAGAGATTAAGTTGTTTTAATTAAGGGGATTGTTAAAGTTTACACATTATTTATAAACCATTTAATGCAATAAAGCATATGGTCTATTACTGTTGGTAGAAACAAATTTTAAAGAAAAGTAGAAGTAGTCTTTTATAGATTTTAGTAATTCATAAAAATAACCCAAAAAAGCGAGTAAAAATTGTGTTCACTATTATAAAGACTGAAAAAAATATTTCACCTTGCGTATCTATCATAAATTATTATGAAATTTAATGCTTCCTAGCAACCTGCTCTCAATTTGTTATTCCACTTTTTTGAATATTGAAAGTACAGTTCCAACTGTATGTATTGTTTGTTTAAATTAGTGAACTTTTTTTTTTTTTAATCTGCAATAAAAACAGAGATAAAAAATGTACAGAAGTTATTTACTACAATTTGTAATGTACTATCGTATTTACACATTTTACAGCTACAATGTAAATTAATATTTATGTTAATAGAAATTATAGTTTCTTTTATAAATATACTTTATCAGCACAAACACTATAATGGAATATAAATTATTTTTGCTCATAAATAATAATTTAAAATAAGAGTATAATCAATTAAACTGTAAATTGACTGATGTATGTACTAAGGTCAATAATCATTATTAATTGAGTTATATGAATGATATTCGAAATGGGGAAAAAAAAGAAAAAAAAAAGATGGTAGTGTTTAATAGACCTTACCACTATTTTTATATATAGATCTGTTAAATAATGCTTTTCAAAGTGTAGTTATATTTTTGCAGGTTAGCAGTAAAAACAATAATGGTAGTGTAATAAATAAAACAGTGAAATATATCAAATGAGAAAATTTAAACAATGCAAACACTTTACAGGAAACTTTTGTTTTTACAATTCAATAAATGTTATCATTTCTCATGTTTAATTTTTTACCTCTTTAGTTTGCAATAGTTCTGAATAAGTTCTGCATTTAAAAATTATAGTATAATATACCATAATAATATATTATACTATAAAATAATACTCTTTAACAGTGTCATCAGATAATTTTAAAATAGTTAACTATTAAACGCTTTTACAGTTTCAGTTTTATTTGGTTAAAAAATCTGTTGTGTTCTCAGTACTAGTCATGCATCTGCCTATCTTCACTGTTTTGGCCTGTCAGGCGTGTTTCAGCATCCCACCATCTTCAGAGATGGATTAGTGTTCTTGTTTAGTAGGGTGCTGGGGTCATTCGGGCAGTAGTGACTTACATACCAGCCCAAACCTGAATATATTCACGCACTTTCCTTTCTCCGCTCGAATATAATAATTTTTGAATTGCTATCTCTTGATTTTTTTAAATGAAACTTTTCTAAGTTCTCTTGTAGAGCGAGCACAAGGTTCTCTTTCTTTGTCTCAAGCTACATATGCCGTAACAAGAGTCATCAAATTTTACAAGAAATTTGACCATCAAAACAAATGGTAAATCGAAGAAAACATTCTGGCTCAGTTCATTTCTTGCTGATCTATTTTTCATAAAATAGCTGACTCCCCAAATGCTGTCAAATCATAAAATGTAGTAGATCACTACACAATGTATATATTTTGTACAGGGAGTAATAAAAAAAAATTAATTATAATAATTAAATACAGAAATAACAATAATGGTACATCTAGAAACTTTAAAAATGTTCAAATATTCCTGGCCTCAAACTATGGGAATTTTTATGTGAATGGAATAGACATGCTACCTGAAAGATGGCAAAAAGTAATTTAAACAATGGATAATACATCTCCGAATAGTTAAAAACATCCCATGCATAAAAAAAATATATACTACAAAAAAGTACTTATTTTCTTGCCAACCCAATAACTGCATATTCCCGTTAATTAGTGGGTGTTATGAACATACAATTGAGGGCAAGCAAAAATATTGAAACTGAATATTTCATAATTCGTGAGATTTATTGATTTAAAATGTTTACAATTAATAACATAATTAATTTTTCAAGGCAACAGATTGCAAAATTGAATAACAGCTCATTTAAAAAATAATTATCCTTCAAATTGCAGCAGTTTTGAATATTTAATATTCGGCAGCTTTTGTATAAAATTTAAAAAATAATAATATACTTTTAATAGCAATATAAAGCAAATTTTGATTATGCGTTCAAATCCACTGGCTTTTTTTTTAATGCTTTCAGCTCACAATTGAAACCAACGCTTTCTTGTAATTGCCAGAAGTATCATCCTAAAAATTGATATGATTGTATAACAGTACATATTTATGTTAATCAACTATATAAATTTAGACTTACAATGATCCAGCTTTCAAGGGACTTGCCATACTTTTCCTCAAACACTTTTTTAATATCTCCTAAATCAATTTCCGATCTTGTTACAATGATTCTTATAAGCGTTTTGTCATTGGTACCTAAGCCTTTCATACTTTTGTACAGTCTTTCGGCAAGAAAACCAACTTTACTTTTGACACATTTGACTAAAAAATTATTAATACACATAACACAGTTTATGTATGTTTAATGTCAATGATACATTCATTACATTTTAATCATAAAAATTAGTATGAAATTTGAAAAGGAGAACTTAATTTTTTTTGTGAGTGACTCGATGAAACAGTAACAAAAATTGGCTTTTTACGATTAATAGAAACTTTTTTTGGCAGGGGGCCACAATAAATTTGGCACATAATAAAGGAAAAAGATTTTAGTGTTTCCATTCCACCTTACCAGTTTCTCTTGACAATAAACCTTTAATGAACTTATCATTTCAAAAATCATATAATAATAATTACTTACTAATTCCAAGAAGGCCATCCTTAACATTCCCAGAGAATTCTTTTTCAACTGCCACTTCAATATCATTTCCTGATATTACCTCATATCTTTGGAATACTTTTCTTAAATGTTGGTAACTCCTAGTAACAAGGATTTTATTAAAAACTGACTCATCGGTTCCCCATTTTTTTGCTTCTCCGGCTGCATGAAGAGCCTCAGCATCAGTATTTACAAGGGCGTCATCCACATTATCATTTTCATCACGATTTCCCTATCAGAAGAAGAAAAAAAATAGAAAACAACTTATTTTGAAAAATGTCTATTTCTTACCAAGGACATAGAGACACAGAGGTGCTTGAAATGTCCAGATGTGTCTCCTTTCAGGGCACTTTCCATCGACTTTCCATATTCTGATAAAACATGACAACAATAACTATTTCGTAATATAGAAATGAATAAAGTTTCTTACTCTGTTCATAATATCCAGCAATTGTTTTGATGCCAAAGTTGCTAAGTGTACATAAGATCTCGATGATGGCATCCTCATCAGTTCCCAAGCCAGAGATGGCTTTATGCATTTCATCAGCATAGAATTCGGGCAAAGGTGTCAACAAGGCAATGATCACATCTTCAAATTTACCTCCAAGCTTTTTTTTGAGATGAGAAACAAGATCCTGAAATTATGACAATTTGTGATTATTATTAACATTTAAACTTCATTATCTAAATTTGTCTCTTATCTAGTCACGTCTTTGAAAGAAAAACACTCTGCTCATGACCCTGGCTGTTTGCCAGCTGATAAGGGAGAAGAATAAGCTCATTCATTCTTTCAAACCAGATACACAAATTTATATTACCCTCTGCTAGTATAAAGATCCATATTTTCACTTAAATTGATGCATATGGTCAATACGATATAAAAAGTTGGGAATTTGGAATGGAAAATTGAAAGAAAAGTAATTCTCGCCATAAAACATCCCCCAAATGTTGAGTTCATGGAAAAGGGGTCATAATCACTTTAGAATATTTATTTTCAAATAAAATTCCAAGCACTATACTGCCATTCGAACCCAGAACCTCTGGTGTGGGAAATAAGTCAGACACCCCCTAACCACCAGGGACCTTATGGTAAATTATTATACACATTATTCAATTTAATTAAGTCCAAACTTACAATAAATTAAAAAATAATAATTTATATTAAATATTCACAAACAATAAGGGTGTCCGTAGTATTGCTCGAGAGGCACAAAAAGTAAAAAGTAAATTGTTTTTCATACAAAATAAATTAGAAAGAGAATAGAAACACATACTAAATCAAAGGATCAGGTCTCTTCGATCACCCGATTTTATTGACATAATTAACTCGGTGAGATTTCTTCATGGTGTCATAAACAGATGTTTGGTCAAATACCCTGGTCGGTTCGATCTGTTATGAAAATATAACATGACAAAAACTGTGTCTGTCTTATGAACATAAGAAACATGTCTAAAAAAATTCATCAACTTCAGACCAGTATGTACGTAAATTATGTCATGATCGTGTGGAGTTTACTTTTTAAAAATAAACTATTTGTTTGTTACAATAATAAAATAGTTTGTTCAAGGTTTCAAGAGAAACCTTTTCTTTTACACAATCCAGATGACTCTCTTAAATTAAAAATAGAATTAGCAACCATTCCGATTACTGCTAATAATGTATTCCCTCTTCAGAATTTCCAGTTTTTATAGAGGAGCAAAAGGAAGGAGTTTATTTTTTCATGTGCACATAATGAAGAGGAGGTAAGTCTGGTATGCTATCTATGACCCTATATGCTTTAAACATTTTTTTTCTCGCTATCTTTGTCACTGACTCTCTCATATTTTGTTTCCTGTTTTCTTAGTTTGCTGCTTCTTGAAGGTATCTCAGGCTGTCAAAAGACTATTAAAAGAACAAGGAAAACCATAAACGCATAACACTTCAAGCTTCCTCCAGAACCACCGCTAAGAGCTAGACAGTGCCTAGAGGAACCCCCGTAATGCCAAGGCGAAGAGCCGGCAGTCAACTCACCTGAAAAATATGCTGTGCCCCTCCCCAGAGAGAAAGGAGAAAGCCACGACAGGTGTTGTGATAATGGATATTCCTACGACCCCGATATCCTGTCACTTTATTATGTGGCCCATTCAATAGTACAAGTAAATGAAGGGTACACCCAAAAAAATTGGTCTTTTCACATGCTTCAGTACAAAAAAAAACACAATATATACTTGAAAAATAATGTCATAATAAAAAAAACCTCAATGTTCTAATGGTACAACAAACAAAAAAATCTGTTTGATCTGGATGTGCCACAAAGGTTTGCTTCTTTCAATGTCTCAAGCAGAAGAGAGCTACCTAGTACTTCCACTGTCAGGAAGGGGTTTCATCTGATGATGCCCGAGGTTCCGCAATTACACGATAACCTCCCACACCAAGTCTGGTCACATTTACTCCCCAATAGAAGTCAATATTCCAATAGTAGAATAGTAGTCAATATTCCTCCAGGTGGGTTTACACCCTCAATTCAGGATAATAAGTTACTTTCACTCTCCAAACAACACACCAGAGTACTCGATATTCCTCGTGGTGGAAATTGGTAGATTTTGAGATTACCTGTTGCATACAAACCAACTTCCTCTCATAATATTAGTAGTTTAGGTGCATTGAAGTTGAGAGCTTTTGTGTTCTGCCAGATGTTCTATTTATCCACAATATGATATGCATTGGTTTTACATAAAAATTAAGATAATAAAATAAATAATAATAAATACAATTTTTAAAAAAATTGGAAGGTCATGAGCCAGCTTTGGCCTATTTGACCTTTATTCCGTTCTTTATTTATTCATTATTATATCATTATTATTTTTACTTATGCACATACTTATTTTTTTTTTTCACATCGTGGGGTGAGGCCAGCAGAGCAAATGGAGCCATGTCACTGAGATGTTAATTATTGTACTGTATACATATTTTTTGTAGATGGTTTTGCATTGATAAATTTCTGCAATATACTTTTGTAAAAATAAGAGAGAAAAAAATGTGCACATCTTGCATATTGACATATGTACTGCTTAAATTCAATAAAATATTCTATTATATTATATTATTATTTATTTTATAGAATAGTAACAACTCACGCCTCCATGAAGGGTCGTCTTGTAAGCTTCGATGATTTCAAGCCGTTGAACGCTGGTTCTTTTCGTGATGACATCGATGATGTCCTGTTCGGTGCCGTTGCCTTTTACAACATTGACCAGGGTAGCTGCATCTTTCTGAGCGTCGAAATTTTTCGCCGGGAAAACCGTAGGCGTGCACTGAACATAAAAATAGATTGTACAATCGGATCGGGCTTTTATTTAAAATGAAACCAACTTGAAAAGGGGTGTGTTTTGGCTGGGACATCTTTATTGAGGACGACACGATCTATTCGAGTCAAAAGGGCGTTTGCCGTTTGGTTCGGTGGTTTAGTAATACTGATGTTATGCGACCTCGGTCGATTGCACAGCAAGCGCTATGACTCAATATGTATTACAAACCAGTTTTGTTTATCTTATTGTCTGCAGTCTGACACAATCTCTATTCTTGTCGAAACCATTCCCCTCCACGGATACTTGACATGTTTTTCTAATCATAAATATCTCATATATAAATCGATTAAGAGTAGTATCGAGAAATAAAATAATAATAATAATTTAATACTTTAATTGCTATGCCATCGTTGGTAATCCCAACACTAATGTACTATACATGCAGCTTCCTACAAAAAATACCCGCCCGTTTTATCCGAAATTTTTAATTTTATAATTTTGTGTGCAGTGATACAAATGTAAAAGGCGAATCTCCATAGCATTTTTTCAACCGCATTTAAACAACCGTAATTGAGAAGATTGGGTAATAAAAACATGTAAATAACAACTAACAAAAAGAAAATTTTTTAGTATAGCAGTCATAATTGATCCTATTAATTATACTTTTTATCTAAGGTCTTGGTGGAGTTGAAAAAGTTAACGCACAAGCGGGATTTGAACCCGCGACGTTCGGCTCGTTTGAAGTAACTTGCTTGACTGCTAATTTTTTCATCACAACCAAGAACCTCCATAAAAAGTAGAATTAATTTATGTACACTGAACATTGTTGTGAAAAATAAGTTCTCAATAGATATACAGTTCGAGGTCAAAAATCAAAATTGTATACTACAAACAAAAGGGGCATCCGACAGCTTGGACATTTCAGCCCCCATCAACCTGCACACAATAACAAACCAATTCAATTGGGGTTTATGGGATACTATTATAAATATAATGCCATCAACCCAAGTCACTTACACAGCTCGAGGGGGGATGCTATTCCACCATCAGCCCCACCCCATTCACTCTATTAAATACGCTTACTCATACAAAACACATCTTGACGGCTATATACAATAAAAAATTCCAAATTCCTCTAAAAAACGGAACAGAGGACCCTGAAACTAGTTACCATGTTCGAGAACCATTCTTAAATCTGGCAGCATGCCTACACGCTCTCTGTATGGAGGCATGACACACCTCTATTATGCAGGACACACCGAGCAGCCTTTCTCTGCATAAGGGACACCTGCGCGGGCTTTGACTCAAAAGCAGGTGCCCGTGTGTCAACTGCCATAGCCAATCCTCAATCGGGTGAGGATGATGCCTCGTCTCCTGCTCAGATTTTCTGAGTGTATCTTACAATTAAAATATTAATAATATTTTCGACTTGCAGAGAAAAATAATATACACTGTTGGACAAATTTAACTTACCACTCAATTTATTTAGTTTAAAATTAAATCAGTTTCAATATTAAATACAGGTAATTAGGTGCTATCACAGTCAAAATAAACAGCAAATAATGTTTACTTCCTTCATTTACTTTTGTACTGATTAATCCCATTTGTACAAAAAACAAGCATTATACCTTTCTTTTCTGCTACGACTAAAGATCACTTTCATCCATCATTTCCCATTGTTGATTTCATTTGATATTCTTAAACCCTTTTCAAAAGGTCCAGTCAAGCATTTGAGTACGATGGTGTCAGGGTCATAATATTACTAGAGGAAGGATAGAGCGAGTGTGAAGTAGAAAACAAGGATAGGGTCGGCCTAGGGTCTCCAGATGAGAGAGAGACAATAGATTCATCTGTCATCCGGCTCTACAAAACCGCATTACAGGAATGAGATAAGACATAAAATTTTCAATTTCCTCCCAAACTGTAAGAAGAAGACTCCATAAAAATAACCTCAGGGCCTGGCACACGGCTTATGGACTTCTCCTAACTACAGCTCAGAAAATGGGCAGGCTTTACTTCACATGGGAACATATGAATAGAGCAGGAAGATTGGGGAAGTGTTCTCTTTGTAGACGAGATGAAAGTTTGCGTCAGATGGGCATAATTTCATATGTAGATGCTCAGTTGAAAGGTGCGCCCAATGCCGTATGGCTCCTCAGGTGGCGGTTCTGGGGTGGTATTTCCTTGGATACCCACACCGAATTGGTTATTGTGCAAGGAAATATCTCTAACTTCACAGAAGTACTTACAAGACATAATCGAAGAACATGTAGTGCTATTTGCCCCCGTAGAGCACGTATTGTGAATGACTACCTAAGTGAAGTTGGAATTGTGTGCTTGGTTTGGCCCACTTGAAGTTCAGATTTGAACACATTTGGGACCAACTTGAGCAACGGCGAATGTGCACATTACCCTCAGTAATTCTTAATTATTGGTGGTTATATGTATATTATATAGACAAGTTTTATGACACATGTTCAGCTAGCCCATAATATTCTGTATATATCTCTAATATATTTTGTTATCACAAGGAGTATTTAAATTACTCCAATTATAAGCATAAAGACTGGATCGAATTTTTTGACAATGAACTGTGATACATTTTGTAAATGATGGCTCTACCCACAGAATTTCTGTGAGCAGAACCGTCATTTACAAAAAGTGAATCCAACTCACCCCACTTACTATTTCTATAGAACTGTGATATGTACAAATTACTCTTGTCTCACAATTATTTCTCTGTTAATAATTATTTATTTGTAAATGTATTTATAATTTGTTGTGCTTTGACTGTTATTAAAAATTATTTTATGAAGACATTACAAGTTGTCATGGGTTTTTTAAATTTTTTCCCCTATTTAATTTTCTTCTTTTTCAAAAAGCATTAATTATATGTTAGATGATAAAGGTGAAAAATGAAACTCCCTGGAACTAATGTTTAAATTGTAAATCTTCAATTCTTCTGGCAATAAAGATTAATATTATATTTGTATTATTGGCAGTGAATGTATTTATTAGCACAAATGAGTAGTTTGAGGGGAGTACTGAGTACTCCATCAACCCTCAATTGTAATAGTTATGTGTAAAGGCTAATGAATATCAACTTCTCCACCAACCTGGGTGAATATGAAAGAATACATTTGAGAATGAATAAAAGAGAGAGTGTGTCTAGGTTTCAAAACAGCATATCTTAGGGGTTGAAACGACCAACCAGTCGACACCCCATAGCACCTAACTTCTCCGATGCGTTAAACCAAATCACCAAAGTGGGTACATGTAAGGAAAGAGCACAGCATACAAAAATCAATCAAACAAATTAATTGTATGTTTAAAATGTAAAATAATAAATGAATAATTATTTATTTACAGCTATTCTGTTATATATTTGTACATTTTTGCATTATGCAAGATGAATCCTTTGTTGACTTTTTCTAAAAAAAAAAAAAAAACAATATTAAAAGTTAGAAATAAATTATGTAAGGATGTGTCATTTACAAATGTACCATTATGCTCGATTCCTTAATTCATTTGATTGATCCCAGCATAAAATTCATCATCCCATTGGTTATGGCTTAGCAAATGATCAGTGTCTTCGCTGTAAGTTCTTTGAGGAAAATGAATTCCATCCCCTAGACTGGAAAGAAATTAAAAGTTTAATATACACCCAAAAATATATTCTATTTATCTCTTCTCGTGCATAGTCAATTTGATTCAATCCTAATAACGTCAAATTATTTGCTTTTTAAAAATATAAGTGCTTAAAAGTTAAAATGAATTTATTCTAAACTTGTGTAGAAACAAAGTGTTATTTATGTAATGAAGCCTATTTATTGTATTTTGCTATGAAATAAAATTTTTAAACTAACATTATTGTAATGTTTCTGTTATTAACGAAAGTAAGCAATAATATTAAAAGAATTTCCACTCATCCTAAATATAAAAAAATATATTTTATACTACCATTCAATGTGAACAGTAATCTTTAATTATTAATGTTGCATTCTGAATTTAAAATAAGAACTTTTATGTATAAAGGAAAGGCATGATGTTCAAATAGTATGACAATGATAAAATCGCAAGTCGTAAATGAAAACGAACATGAAATATAGAATAAATGGACTGATAGATGAACAGTACCCATCAACCTGCCAATAACATTCGGTTCTTTCTCATTCCATCTGTTGAATTTTTTTTTTTCTCAAGATTTCCTGTATTCTAAAAATATCACTGATGGATTTAATTATTTATTAAGTTAGTTTTTTTAAAATAATCTAAATTAATATGGAATTAGTATAAGATTGAAAGTGAGCATGTTGTAAATTTTAAAAACGTTCCTTCTTTACCAAAACACCTAAATAAAATATAAATTTTGTCTCGGTCTCATTGGAAAAAGTTAAAATTTAGTAAAAATTTATTATATAAGTATTTATCGTATAAATTGTTATTTAACTATTTTTCATATTAATTTAGTTGTTAACGACAGTGAGAGTGAGTGAGAGATAGATAGAAAGATTCTATTTTCTTTATTTTTCAGATTGGAGACATCAGCTTTATTTCTTATATTTTAAAAAATAGCTGTTTCAAATTAAAATATGATTATGAAATAAAACGTTATATTTTTCATTCTCACTACTAATGATGCCAGAATGAAATACATCAAAGAATAATTTTGGTCCTAGTGATTTCCAATTAAATTATATGTTTATTGAATGATATCATATTCAATTTATATGCAAATAAAGTGTGGAGCAATTTTAACTATCTAAAAGTAGAATATTTCTCAAACATTTGATCTGATTTACTTGTCTTCTAAAAGAAAATCTTCTTCATAATAAAATGTCAAAATAGACACTTGTCTAGGGAAAAGCATACTAAAATGATCTGTGACAATCAAACTGCAGACAATATGGACTAATTGTCAGAAATGTAGCATATTTTACATTAAATATTATAAATATATGTTTAAACCAACCTGTGGTTCAAGAGTTTATACAGGACTGTTGTTACAGTTTTGGTTTTTTAAAATATATTTTGTTTTTAATTTGGAATAGAAAAAAATGAGTATACATAAAAAAGTTTTTTCTAATTAAAATGTCATTCTTTAAAGTTTATTATTATAGGAGTACATCAAATTAAATGTTTTATTATGTCACTGAATAATAACAATTATTATGCACAATTTTATAGATTTATTGAATTGCAGTAAGATTAAAAAAAATTAAATGGTTAGCACTCATTCTTTCTCTCCCATCTAGTTCAAATTAGGAAAGACCTTTACTTTGTGAAACAAGTCTTAATTACAAAATAAATCCATGAATCAATAACAAATAACAAATGCTATGCACCCACCATCATATGCATTCATACCAATTCATACCATAGCAATTAATTTAATGGACCAAATTTGTTTGTTATTCTTTTTTTTAAGTTTGTATAAGTATTGACTCCACCAACAAATTATAGCTCTTTGTTATATAATTAAAATAACAAGACTGAAATTTGTAACCAACAATCAAAAGCAATTTTATTGAAAAAATTAAAATACAAATCCATATGAATGACAATTTACAAAATAAAATTAACAATGCTTTTTGAAAAATATTACCAACAAATAAAAATATAAATTGTTTACTAAATTCTAATTACAAACTAAGTAAAAGAAGATTAGCTTGAAATGCAACATCAAAAGGGGAAAAATCAAAACTGCAACATTAAACAAATGTTTTGTGTCTAATTATTTAATAACTTGGGTTTTCTCTACCTGGGTATTAAAAAAAAAAAATATTGCAAACTCAATGTGTATAAAATTATACGTTTATAGTCAGTCTTCCATAATTAATTTTTTTATTGCACTTAATTTTACTAATTTAGACATTTTACAATATTACTTCCTCTAGTAAAGTACAAAGTAAAAATAAGACTTAAAAATTCAAATAAAAAAAAGTAAAAAAATAAAAATAAAATAAAAGATGTATGGGTAGAAAAAACATGTCGTTCAAAATGTTCGTCTGAAAAAAAAGAGTCTTGCATGTGGCATTTGGTCCCAAATGAAAAGTCTTTTCGTTTCATTGCAGTTAAGGCACAACACAAGTGACTGGTAACTGCTCTCTTATGAGCGAGTCTCGCCCAACTTCAATGTCCATTCTGACAGGGAAACTGACGCCATCACCCAAACTAAAACATTTCCCAAAATCTTTTAGAAAATTAGGCTAGCATAAATGGCAAACAAAAATTAAAGGTAAAAATAAAATTAAAAATAAAATAAATAAATAAAATAAAAGAAAGAAATATTCTTTTTCTTCTTCTTATTTTCACGGTGTATTTAATTTTTTAAGTTATACTAAAATAGCGGGTACATCTTTTTATTTTTGACATTTGGGCAAATAAAAAATGTACATTCTATTTAATATTCACTTAATTAATAGATAAATGTATATAATAATTCTTTGCAATTCCACAAATTATGCAGTATGATGGGTGAATTCAGTACAAAAAATAGTTCATAAAATTTTCTTTTTCAGTAAAAAAATATGAAATATATTCTGATATTTTGAAGATATTGTTTCAAAAATCTCTAATAAAGTTTTATGTGAATTTATATTGACTATAAAAATATGAAAACTACACAAAGTTATACTGTAATTACCTATTATCTATAAACAAAAAGACAACTAGTTTGAGATTTTTTCATAATAGCATTTTTACTATAAAAAAGTTATATCACTTTAGTCCATTTTTGACTCATATATCTTTTATCATAGCAGAAATTAGTCCTTATGGTCAGAGTGGATTGTTTTCAGCCATTTGATGCATACTGATCATCTCTAATCAGCCATTTAATTTCAGTCAAATTTTAGTTTTTGTGATAATACTATACAAATTGGTTGTTTCAGTCTTTTTGATCTGATAAGTGGAAAAAAATACATATATTTCACTGATTTGAGTGTGTAAAAATGTGATTTTATCTCATTAATTGATGAATAGTTTAAAGGCCTAAACTAGAAATAGTGGACTTGGAAATTTTTATCAAAGCTTTTGAGAAAAATACAATTTGATTGAAAAGTTAACATGGTAAGCAAAACCAAACGGCGCATTAAGATTAAAAAAATTCACTCTCCATTTTTTAAATAAGTAAATTTTTAAATTATTTTTTAAATAGATATAAACCATAAAGTTAGAACAATCTTATATTAATCTTAATAATTAATTAATCTCATATCAATAACTCATTTGTTGGTGTACTCTTACAATGATGAGTCGCTGTGTCAATGCTCTAACCATTACAGCCGCTGGTATCCATTTTTATTTCTTGTTCTAATAATTTTAAACAATAACGTTTTAAAAATTCTTAGAACATTTATTCTTTTTTAATAGATTGTTTAATATATAAAATTAATTAGCAAAATGAAGAATATAATATGGTTTTATATCATTAGAAGATAATATAAACAGTTCAATTCTTTTATTTGTTATAAAACAATGAAAGCCTCATGTCCTTAATTACCAGATCTTTAAGCTTTCTGTTTTATCGATATTGGCAAATTATTTTATAATAAAAGAAAAGTTGTTTTCAAAGATGTTTGTTGCAAACTATTATTTAATTATTACAACACCAATAAAAATTGAGTCAAATAATTTTAAAAAAAGCAAAGCATTACTAATTTTATAAAATAACATTATACATTTTCTGAAAACAAATTACGCTACAGCTGCGAACAAAATATATACATTTGAATTAAAAAATTCTAATAATAATAGTAGAACGTACCTAGTAAAAACGGGGAGAAACCACAATGCTTTCCTGTCACCAAAGACTTCTTGAAAATTGTTGTATCTTCCTAAGCTGAATCCATTTTTATCTGCACCACTAAGAAATATGGGCGCTCGAAAAGCTTCTATAATTTTAAAAAGTAACATAATAAGACAAAAAAACAAAGTAAAACTAAACCTACCAAGGGTTGTCCTGTTGCGTGATACAAGGTAACAATGGTATATGAACAAAGAGACTAAACTCATAGCAAACATTCCAGCTACAAAAAACAGTATAAGTATATGGAACTTCCTAGTTCCCTCAAAATTCCCCTGCAAATTCTGAAATATTATTTAAGGGTAGTGTTAGTTTAAATTATTTATGAGGCAATTGCATTCGGAGTTTTACTTAAGAAATATTAGTTGAACAATAATACAAAACGATGGAAAACAGAAAATAATTTTGTCTTTCAAACAATATTTCTATAAACTCCAAATGTTGATTTATAAAATTCAATAATCTTATACTTTAATTTATGCCACTTAATTTATTGTGACTGTAGTGTTTAAGCCATAATTGAGATTATTAATGAACATACATTTTTTTTTAAGCACACTGAGTGCAATTAATTGATTGTTTTATTTGTTGTAATTTTTATATTCATCAAGAAGACGTTTACATTGTTATAACCATTATATAATGGTTGTAAACCTCTTGTTATTTTCAAAGTACTAAAAATCTAATCTTGAGAAGCAACCTTTAAAAGATAAATAAACTACAGTAGTATGGAATTCATTAGTTCAATAGACTTAAATCGTAGGCTACTTGATAAATAAAATGTAATCAAGCCATACCGTAGTTATTTTCTTTTAACTTTATATGTATGTAACAACGATCAGCCGTCATAATCAAACCATGTACTACTCACTTTTGTAGTGGCTACAACACGTCATAGAGGCAGTATGAGAGTATCATAAAACATTGTAAAACCAACAGTGAAAAGTGAATTGAAGATTAATGACTTTTAAAATCAATTTAATTCTAGGTAAGTTTCCTACATAAAATAATTTAATGATCATTGTCTGCCACAGAACCATTTTATAAATCTATTTAGAATCATGAGTAGTCACATGTAGTGATTATGACAGTGGTATGGTGTTACATAATTGATTTTGTTGTATGATTCAAAAACGATTTTTACTGTAATGGGATGAAACTATTTTACTTTACTTAAATTGTAGAGTAAATAATTCTCCCATGACTTTCATCATTGCATCCAACAACAAAATAAAACAAATACTATCGCTCAAGATAAATAAATAAAAATTTAAAAATAAATAAAAAACACCTACATTCCAAAACATAATGAAGTACTGAAGAGATGTTAAAACTATGAATATGCAATATAAAAAGGCATATCCCAAGAATAATATGAAAAACTTGTAATTTGTAAATGAGACACAGTTGTTAACCCAAGGGCAGTGGTGATCCATCTTAAGAACACAAACGCGACAGACACTGCAGTGGTGGGCCCTATCAGGTTTCACATGCAAGCACTTTTCACAGTAGCGGACAGCTGAAAATTGTACACTTAAATAATAATACTAACTCTGCGTCAGATGTGAAATTACCTCCATTTATTGTACGGTTTGCCACAGGAAGATGTTGGGCAAATGTGTCGATTATTTGTCGGTATTCTAACTCATTTGAAGTATTGTTTAATCTGTCCAAATCCTCTTTTGACAACATGAACTGAAAAATATCTTTTTTATTTAAGAATTACTAAATGGCGATAAGCATTAGCACATTCAATTCACTACAAGGGAAACCAAAATTTTATTCTGCACACCATAAATAATAGGTTGAAGACCATAACAAAATAAAATAATTTAAAAAAATAAACATTATAAAAATACCTTTTGTGCCCTAACTGTAATGCAAAGATGTTTTTATTAATTTTCTCATATTTCAACCATTCACATATTTAGAAATTGTGTTGGCATTTTTTGTTTAATTTAGAACTTAAGATTTTTCTTGCTTTATAAGCAAATAATACTGTGCTGAACAGTAATTACTAAAACCTAATGTTCAATAATGCCTAATTTTAAAACAAGCTGAATAAACTTTGCCAATACCTCATCGATACATAGCATGCTTTAGAATAGAACAGAAAATATTTTATTTGCAGTTGATTAAAAGGGAAACATCATAACGGAAAACAACAAGGAAAGTTTACAGTGATGAGTGCTGTGTCAACAACTTACCTGTTGTGGCCGACAACACTACCTCCAAACACAAAAGTTTAAAACCTTTTAAGAAAACAATCAAACTCTGATTTTCAGAATTTTATAGGCAATCAATTTCTAAAATTCTTTAAGGCTAGTTGCCTTCGCTTTTATAATTTAACTTATTACACAACGATTATTTAGACATCGTGAGAGGTGGTCTGGTGCGATGTAGGTTTAGAAAAACATTTTCTTTACTGTGCCAATTGATCTTTATTGAGAATTTGAGAGCCTGGGGTATATAAACATTGTTTAAATTATACATATACATGTAAGATGTGAAAAAATGAATTTATACTGTGATTTCACAATATAGAAATTTTAGGTTTAATCAAAATATTTGTACTCAGTTATTTGTGTATTTCTGTGTAGATGTGTCACTGTTGTGTGTCGTGATTAAACCTAAAATTTCTATATGTATTTGTATAATTTAAACAATGTTTATAAATCCCAAGCCCTGAAAATGATCTCAATAAAAATCAAAACATTGGCACGATATATATTTATAAAAAAAAAAGTTTTTCTAAACCTACATCACACCAGACCGCATCTCACAATCTCTAAATAATCATTAATTAACGGTCACTAAATAATACACATTATTAACAACAAAAATCTGTACAATTTAAAGAAAAATTGAAGTATTAAGGAGACTTAACTTTAGGAATTAAACAATTAAAACTAAATCTAGTTAAATACGACCAACTTGGTGAATAAGAAATAATTTTTTTTTTTTATGTATACAAAAATACAAACATTTTTAATAAGTAACTGGTCTAAACGCACAGCTTTAGCTAATTATAAATTAATCCTGTACTGTACAGATGAGATTTTTGTAATATGATTTTTGTTAAAGAATTTAGTACATTTTTTCTTGTATTTTATGACATTCACCTGTTGCACTGCAAACAATACCAAAAGAAATAATAGATTGAGCAAGAGCATAATAAATGAACATACAAAATATTATTAAGTAATCTAAATTTGGACATCATTTTTCTCAGTCGGATTGCTAGTTTTTCAGTATGAGGACGTAAAAATTTAATTTTTTCATAATAAAAAATACCTAAATGTTTTAAACTATTACAAAAAGGTATAGGTTTAAAATTACATGGGTTGCAAATTAGAACGAGAGTGAATACAAATTTTTATGCATTTTAATCATTCTTTCTAAACGAAAAACTCATTAGACCAGTTTTGTTGATGTTTAATAATAAACAATGCTTATCTAATCAACGTTCGATCATTTTCAGGTAAGAATTAATGGAATGATTTAATGTTTCTAGGTTTTTGCCAGACAAAATAATGCATGTGTCACCAGTATAGCGAAACATTTTTCCAGAAATGTAATTCATTGATGTAGATTATGAAAATATATTTATTGTTTATATTATTTCTACATTATTTACTAAATAATTTACTGTAAATTATATTAATTGTGTTAATAATAGAATTTAAACAAAAACTGAGTAATGGTCCTCGATGTTTATATATTTTTAAAAATTAAATATTGATTCGACTGTACATTTCATTTCAAAATGAATTTTCTTGAATTCAATTCATCAAAATATCAAATAAGGGGAGGAGAACATCACCAAACCATATAAAAAGTATAAAAGTGCATATTATTCTTAATTAAAGTATATATTATTATTAATTTTGAATCATAGATTAGATATATATTGTCAGCAGTGCCTTTTCTTTTCTTTTCTCTATAATTTGTAATCTTATCTCGATTTATTTACATTTACTGTTATATTATATGCTCAATTGTATTTCTATTTTCACATGGTGCTGTAAATATCTGATTATATGTATAAGATGATATGTAGTTGAGAACGCTACCCTTCTCAGATGGTCCATTGACCGTGAAATTTTTTTTATGATGATTTGTTGTTGTTGTTTTTATATTATTGTATAATATCACATAGAATTGAATCAATTAATTAATTTTAAATGATAATACAAAATATATGCTTTATAATCTAATTTCCGACAACATTGAATTAAAATGGATGCGTTTCAAGCTTATTGAAAGTTTTTATTGATTATACTTTTTATCTAAGGTCTTGGTTGGGTGGAAAAAGCTACTGTCATGAGCAGAATTCGAACCCACGACCTTCGGCTAGAGAGGTTCGATCTTTTTCATCTCAGCCACCTTAGATAAATGTATAATTAATTAAAATAATTATCGCGGTCAATTATGACTATTAAATACATGGCTTATTGAAATTAATAACAGAAAGTTAAACTTTTGCAATTCAGATAAGATATTTACTCTCTTCTCTTTGAAGATTTAGAAGATAAATTGACTGCTAATACTGGAAAATGCAAAAATTGTTTATAGACAAACTTGCAACAGTTGGTGCAAGTGGTTAGAGCCGAAGGTTGTGGGTTCGAATTCCGCTCGTGACACTAATTTTTTCATCTCAACCAAGACCCTGGATTTAAAAAAAACATTAATTGATAAGGTTTTCCATTTGAAAAGTGTAAGTTTACCAAGAGCTTATTCTAACCCTCTGTAAATCCAAGTTTCATAATCCTATCTATTTTATAACAGCATTGCCAGGCATTAAGGACTTATTAAAACACACAATTACAAAATAAAATATTAGAAGAACTGCGTAAAACTTATCTACCTTTAATTATTTTAAAAAGAAAAACAGGAGTTGGCATTTGATGTGTATCTTTATCTTTAAAATATCGGGCAGCAGAATTATAATAAACCGATGCTATATATGCTAGCTAAGTAAACTAAAAATTATGTACTAAACATGAGCCAACGGTCTACAAAACACTGTTCTTAAGCTTCTTGCGTTGTCTCCACCTGTTACAAAATACCTCGGAGTTTAGTATCATTGTGATAAGCAAATTGGCAAAATAAGCACTCTGTCAGTGACATACGTATAAAAACATTTTATCACTGACTGAAGCACTTGCTTGAATTGCAACCAAATTTAAATTAAATTAAACAGAAATGAATGTTATCAGTATAAATGGAAAATGTAAAACGGTTTCTTAATGCCGTTTTTTATGACAATAGATTTGAGTTAATAAATGCCCTTGGGGCACGTGATTTCAGCACTAGTTAAAAAACAAAAATTATGTGCTGTCTGCATTGTAGGGTGTAATAATCGTCGGTCAATCGGCGAATGTGTCGAATTGTATTAGATTTGTTTTATTTTTTTGTAAATGTTAGAAATCGACGACTGTTTGTTCATTGTTTACTTATTTAAAATACCTTTTTCGGAACTGTGGCGATAGGGGTGAAAATCGTTTGCCAGTACGACCATAGAAAAATAGCAAATAAAACATGGTACACACACAGATATATGGCTTTTTCCACGTATGACACGATTGTAACTAAAACAAAGATTTCGTTTAATAGGGACGGGTTGAAAAGAAAAAAAAATTGTGTCGAATAAAGGAGGGCACTCACCGATGCAAAGTTGTATAACGTAGACGTAGTAGGACCAGCAAATCATGCAAACGAGGAAAAGAACCGGCACCCATTTGACAGAATTTACCCATACTCCACAGAACTCTGATCCCATTTTCGAAAGACAGTCGGTCAATCCTACTTTTTCCTTATCTTGTGCATTTCTGCCGGCCCGGGCCGTGTCTATATCGTGAAGGGCAAATACAATGGCAGCGCGCCGGTACTTCCAGTCGCCTCCTCCAGTTTCCCTTACCGTTCTTTTCACGCCAAGGGACGGTATTCTGTTTGGGAAAGCGAACGACCCATGGGGCCCCCCAGTCAACGATAATTTACGTTCGATATTTTCACTCATTTCAAAGCTTTGTTATAGGTATCGATACATTTGCCTTGATAAGTCGAGTCTTAGTATAAAGTTATCCACATTCATATTCCCAAGAACCCATAACAGTCCACTTGACAGACGTTGGGAGCTGTTCCAGGAACGATGTCGAATGCGGATCGCGATCCTCAAAATGAGACAATTTCGACGACAAAATCAGAAATAATTCGCCGGTTGGGTGGCAACGCTGCTGCCGCGTCCTTATGACCAGCTGGCGAGTGGTGAGCCGTGAGTGTCCGAGTATCTATGAATCTGTATATCAAAAACATACAATTGTCACATTTCCACTTCTGAACAACAGTGTTTTGTCTTCACGAATGGCAATACCGATTAGGAACCTAAGAAACTTCGTCATTAATATTATAAATGTTATAATTTATTTATAAATACACTGACGCATAAAATTCCACCCACTTGTAAAGCTTGATTTGTTTATATTTCTATGTATTAGTCAAAGTTTCACGTTTGTAAACGTTTAATAATTTAGTCTTTGCCTAAAAAAGTAAAAAACAATTTAAATAGTTAAGGGGGACAAAAAACATAAAATTTGTTTATTACATTTTCAATTACATGCCGTTGAAGGTATGTTTTTTCTATGTGAGTGACATGCAGACGGGCGTTATTGCGCAATAGAATAGGATTGTCGCTGATTTCATCGAGGATAGGCAACGCATGATGTTCCAAAATTTCATCCACAATAGCGAGTGGCCATCAAAGACCCTTCACGAACACAACCATTGACTGTGCGACTCCATTGAAATTCGATGAAAAAAAAATATATATCACTGAGTTGAAAAGGGATCTGGGAAAAATTACAAGCTTCTTACCATTCATTACACCTTCTCCACACTCTTTCACGCCCATCTGGAGATCGTAGAGCAAATCTACATTCATCATTAAAACGTACAGCAGACCAATCAATTATCCAAAGACAAGACCGATGGCTGTGTTCTCGAGCAAATGTGAGCCAGGCTGTGTTCTGGAGCTCTTACGGGGAAAAAGCCATCAGTCCATACTGATGTAATCTTCTTCGAGCAGTGTGTTCAGAAATTTGGACACCTCGAACTTGGAGGTGATGAATTGCTTGAACACCAGTAAGGTGCCGGTTTCACAAAATTCTCAGTGTTAAAAAATGGTTATCCTGTGGTTCAGTTACCCTAGGGCGTCCAGAACTGGCCTTTCTATGGTAGGGCCCAGTTTCTCAAAAACGTCAACAGAGTTTCATGTAGAACAACGATGGCAATACCTGATGGAATGTCATTCATCAATAAGTGCCACACCGCGTATAACTGCATTAAGTGGCATTTTTAAGTTTAAAATTTGAAATTTAAAAAAAAACAAAGATGAAAATGAACTTTATTGCTTCAGAATTCAAATGAGACTGAATAAACATTTCAAATTTCGTAAAAAGTCCTTGATCATTGTTTTGGATTAAGGATTAAGGTATTTACTTCCAATTGATATATAACAAATATTTATTAGTAAAAACAATGAGGCAAAATTAAGGGCAGAATTTTCTTTTATATAGAAAATGAAAAAAAAAAAAAAAAATCATTTGGGTGGAATTTTTTGCGTCAGTGTATATTGTAATAAAACAATAATATAAATATAATAGATATATATTTTAAATTATTCTTTTAAACTCTAAAAAATTCCCATCCTTATTATTTCCAATTATTACAATCAATATTAATTTTCATTATTACAGATTGCTTCTCCCCTATTCATGTCAGCACTCCATATATCAAAATACAATTTTCTTATTTCCACTTCTGAACAACAGTGTTTTGTCTTCACGAGAAGCAATACCAACTTGGATCCTTGGGAATTATGTAATATTATACATTTTATAATTTATATATAAATATATTAAATAAAGTAAAAATGTAAATATAAATTTTAAACTATTCTTTTAAACCCTAAATAATTCCAGTCCTTAAGAATTTTCAATAAACCCATTATTACCGATTGCCTATCCCCTATTGATATCAACCGTTCTCCTATTAAGTTTTGTCCTAAGGTCAAAAATATATTAAATTAAAAATATTTTTAACTCCAAGCTTACACGGCATATGTGAACTTTATTATTAAAAAGATCTACTCAAGCACCCATTCTCTTTGACGCCTTAGCTTTTTCACTTCACGGAAAATTAGAGTTCTTATTAAATCCCTAATAATTCCTTTATTCTCTTACTGTAGTGCTATTTTTTCATTTTCCTAAGTATCACAATCTGCTCATCACATTCAAATTGTTCATCATTCCAGCATCCACTGTTGTGATCTTAAATCGAGAGAACATATTTCTTTCTTTCTTAGAATGTCTTTAGCAACCTTAACATTCTAAGCACTTATAAACTTTAGTTTTAATTTATGCATTTAAAATTAAATCAAATGTCCTCAATAAATATCAACTATTTTCCCTCATGCCTTATCCAAACGCACCAATCGCATCCCAAGCCTTCAACACTATTCTAAACTTTTAATCTTATCCGTCAGAATTGCAGGGTCTAGACTATGGATTTTGTTTCCTCAGGATGTACGTTCTGCTTCTTCGCTGACTTGTTTCATGTCCATGGCATTTGAGTTTTTAAAAACGACATGAATCATCTATTTTTCTTTTTCTGCTTTTCTTTTGTAATGTGGTTTCATCATTTCATTATAAATAATTAATATTTAAAAAATATATTATTGTCATGTATATTTCATTATTATCATTTCATTATGTATAGTATTTAGTGACTGTTAATTAATGGTTATTTGGAGAAAATGATTTTATACAATGAGTGCATCCAAAATTTCTATCATTGTATAAACTCATTTTTTCACATTTTACATGTATTTGCATAATTTAAACAATGTTTATAAATCCCAGGCCCTGAAGATGATCGAAATAAAGATTGAAACGTTGGCATGAAAAAGAACATGTTTTTCTAAACCTACATCACACCAAGACCGCATCTCACAATTTCCAAATAATCATTATTTATTTATAATATAATGATTTTACGTTTATAAAACTTAATCTATTTTAATATAAATACATGTAAGGGGGCATAAAGTCCTATTTGTACTTTTAAAATAAAAAATTACTATAAAACAAAAAGTTACAATTTATTTACTGTACCTATAAAATAAATAAATAAAAAATTGTAATAAAACGTTTAAAATCGCTCTATTGAAAAACTGATCTGGTAAAGTGGGTCTGGACTCCAGAGAATAGTAACATTACTCCATTCCATTAGACGCAACACTGTCGATTTTTCGTCAATTTACTTTTAACTGTTAAACCATCATTTTTGACGTTCTTTTTACTTTACTGGTAGAAAAAGACACCACCCTTAATATTTTATTTATCTCTTAGACAATGCTCCATTGATTATCTTACAATATTTGGTCCATTTGAAAGGATTAGAGGTAAATAAAACACAGATAAAATTTCTCACTTGTGTTTACAAAATGGATTTTGTAAAATCTTTGAATAGTCAATCTCTTCTTTGTTGGCTTTTCTATAAAACTTTCTTCTAATGTTCTAGTGGTTTGATTTTGATAATTTGCCTATTGGTCAGCTAAACTGTTCAACAATTAATAGGGATATTGCCAATTTTGAAGAATTTACTTTCCCTAGCATTTTATTTTATTTTTATTATAAATTGCGTTAAAATTTATTAGAAATTATGTTTTTACTGAAGGAAAAACAATGATTTAAGGGATTTTGAAAAATAAAGTAAAAAGGTTTAATTCCAGCATTTTGCTTATTGGGCACATTCATTTTTTAAACAATAATATTTAATAAATAATTATTAAGGTTTAAAATTTTCAGGGAGCATTTTGTATTTTGTCTGCTTTGTCCTCCTTAATCAGTGTTAAAATATGGTCAGATATTTCTTAAAATGGATAGGTTTTTTTAATATAAAAAAGACTAGGACATTTTTCATGTTGAACCGAACTGGGTTACTTATTGGGGTCTATCTTTACTCAGGTAGGTTGAATAACTTAAATACATCATCTTCAGTGAGGAACTCTTGATTGTTCCGAAACGCATTTGAGTGTAATCTATATGAGTCATAACATGAATTGTTCATGGATGCGCAGACCTACACCTGCATCAAATACATTTGGTAAAATATCTTGAGAAAAATAAGCACAAATAAACAATATTCATGTCAAAATAGACATACAAAATTTATTAATTGTACATTTTGTAAGGTAAATAAACAATAAAATCAAATTCCCTTTTATTAAAACAACATATACACATTTTCTAAGATCGAAGGTTCAGCAGAATCTGTTAAGCTGTGGTAACGAGTTGATTGTCTGGTTGAACACTTTCTTCTTTATCTTGCTGAACCATGATTGTTTTCTTCACTGGCTCTTTTAATGGCATCCAGTTTGGTATGATCTTGTCGTGTACCCTCCATCTGCCATACTTATTAGAGATATGCTTCTCAAAAACGATATACTCTAGTACATCCTTGGGCAGTTCTTCATGTCCATGCATCAGCCGTCCAAATCTATCATATATCGCTAGAATCTACAGCAGGCATTAGGAGCATATGGATTTTAGTAATGTTAATTGTTACCTGTCGAGTGTGGAATCTGACAGTAATTTGGCAGAACATGTTTTCTTTCTCAATGACATCTGTGCAACGTATGTGCACTAACTTGGCTGGTTCTATAGACTCCACAAATTTCCAATGTAAAGTTTTGTCTCCTATATTTGATACCACTTCTGGGTACGCTCGTTCAGTAACATACAGTCTTAATTCATCAGGATCTTTACTGTGAAGGAAATTTTTTTTTAAACTAAAAATATTGCATTTTGTTATCTGATTATTTCATCCTGGTACATTTCAATCTGAAATCTTTTAACATTTGGGATAAAGTCTGTGCTTAGAGCCCCCCTGTGTCCTCCCTGAGAAGGGCCGGTGATGTGAAATTTAGAGCTGGTACTTGAGTCCGGGACCATGTATGTTGTTGGTAGAGGTCGGTGAGACTGAGCGACCAATTGACTGAGGTTTAGGGCCGAGGTCAGACATCTTAAGTAGGTAGTCAAGACACAAACAAGCAAGACACTAGTTTAATTAGAGAGGTTGTCTAATTTTTGACAGCAAGTGAGAACAAGCAGACCAAGATACAATGTTAGAATGAATATATACCCAGATTACATTGGATAGCACTATACATTGTTTTTACAAAGTAAACTTAATTTTTGATTATGGTTTTGCAAGCCACTGTGAACTAACCCTCTATACTTCCTACCAGATTGTCCTTGTGGTGACCACCTGCATATACCATGGCATCCACTAGGTGTCACCATTTCAGGAATGGCCTTGGTCTCCACTCTGCAGACAATCAGAGTGGAGCAATTCCATATGTAAGCAGGAGCGCTGCTGACTCCAGACTTGTCTCCCTGATGAGCTCTATATAGTATCCACCAGGTCTTCTATACCAGCTCAACAGCAAGGGCACTCACAGCATCAACCTCACTCTCGCCTTCTCACAGCTGACTCGACTACCGGTCACCTGCTACTCTTGGCTACGTGTTGCCCGAGTCCCTTTTTTGACTACTGACTTAAGATATCTAACCACAGCCCCAAACCTCAGTCTCTCTCAGACTCACGGACCTCTACCAATAATACATACATGGTCCCAGCCTCAACTATCAGCTCTACATTTCACATCACCGGCCCTTCTCAGGGAGGCTCTAAGTCACTAAAGATCTCTTGTCCAAATTGTTTTTATCATTTTAAGCCTGTTGTCTGCTCAGTGCCTTCAGTTTTAATTTTATATCGTTTACATTCACACCACTTTTTGTAATATATTTTTGTTTTTGTTGTCTTTTTGTGTATAGATATATTTTTCAACTTTGTACTTATGTGTGTACATACTTGTGTAGAGTTGAGCTAAATAAATCAGTAATGAGTAGTTGTTTTGTATTTTGGTTATTAGGTTCTAAAATACATAACAAAGACTTTTTTAGTCAAATTTTCAAATAAATACAACTTTGTTCGTGTTATTTCTCTCTCTCTCTCCCACCCTCCCTCCCCCTCTCTCTTTTTTGCTCATAATAGGTGCAGCATAAAAAGAGTAAGATCCATTCAAAGTGAATGATTTTAAATTTGATGCACAATAAAAAATAAATCAGGCTGGTGGAGTCACAAAGTGGTCGAGGCGATAGGCAGGGGAATGCATTTTACCAGTGAAAATCAGTACTGAAAAGGTTAAAAGCAAGTATGTCACGTTAATAGTTGCGAAGTTCAATTTTGTATACAATTAATTAATCTTTTTATGCAAGGTATTGGTTGAAATGAAAAAGTCAGTGTCAAGAGCGGGATTTGAACCCACTACCTTCGGCTGGGTCATTTTAACCAATACGTTACATAAAAAGATTAATTAATTGAAAAAAGTTATTTGGTCAATCGGACCATGAAATATAATGGATTGTATACAATATTTTTCTTCTTTTCAAATATTTGTTTTCTCATTAATTTAAATTATGATACACTTACTTGCACATTGCCTGATGGGATTTGACATAAATAATTTGAGCTTCATTGAGAAAAAAATCTATTTCAAAATCATCATCAAATTTTCTCAGCTTCCTCAGCGCCATCATAGATTTACTCTTTTTCTCCAAGTACTCAATTTTTTGTTTGGCACCCTAGTGAAAGCCTTACTGTAAGAGAATGGACAAATAGGAATAAAACTGACTTTATCAAAACCTGTGTTGTAATAGGTGAGATCTTTCCATCGCCTTCTGGTGGAACATACGGTTCAAAAATTGTTCCTGTCGAACTGATGTAAATGGGACGTTCTTGCCAAGGTCTATCCGGCAAAACACCTCTTTCTTTCAATTTACTTCTGATCTCTTCTCTAGACAGTTCTTCGATGGGTTTTTGAAGCTTTTGAAAATCGATGAGTTTAACTTTCAGAAACTGCAAATCCAGTACAAGCATGAGTCATTTGAATATCATTTTAAATTTAAAACTAGGTCACTACATCGCCAGTTCATTACGACTACATAGGTATTATAGTAATTGTACTGTACATGGGGGATTCCCAGTTGGACCAATCGTGAGACAAAAGGACCGAGCGTAGAACCCTGCTGTACCTCTTATCTTTGACCCTGTAGACCAAAACACCAAACCTTCATATTCTTGTAAATGATGAATTTAACTCCGTGCCATGCATTGTGCTGAACTTTTGACCCCCAACAAGCGTGTATAACACATTCACTCATTGATGGCCGATGCACCAGTATATGTGTTAGAATTCAGCTACTATGTCCTCATGAATTACATAGAAGAGGACTCCGCATTTCCCCACAAATATGGGCTTCAACCCCACCGAATACGAACTACAACATTGCGGAATCATGTCGGTACAACCGGGCTACAAATATTGATCAAACAGGGTAGGGTTTCACAATTCATTGGTCCAACTGGCATACCCTCCTGTCCTTGTATGAAATAGACGATATTCAATGTCTCTAACTCTGTCAATTATACAAAAATGCACAATTTGAATTTTACCTTCTGAGCTCTTAGTTTCTTGAATTTGGGATGCCAGTGCTTTGTAGTACGTATGTGAGTTAGATTTAAAGCACAAGGACCTTCGAGGAGTCTTAGAGTTTGCCCACAAGTGACTTTCTGCAAAAAAGTAAACCGAACAGTCAATTAAGAATAAATAGTTAGAAACTTAATATCACTTGCCTGTATACACTGCCGTAAGCCGATCATGTCGGTTTAATGCAACTTAATTATAATTAAAAATAGTGCGGTAAATAAATCTAAATTTAATCATTCCAAGTCCCCGTGATAACAGGGAGTCACTGCATGTTGCAACCTCCCCAAGTCGCACAACATAAAAATAATAACTAATAAAATTTAATAATGAACCACCCGTATTGATATTATTAAGTAATAATTTCCTTTAAAATACGTTAAAATCACTGAGAAAACAATAAAACAAACAATTACCACTAATTTATAATTCGATTGTAAATTAAGAACGTTCTTTCCCCTCCTTTTTTAAAATTTATTTCTAAAGGTGTTCCGTTATAGGGCCTATTTGGTATTTATTTAACGGGCAGCCACTACTTTTTGTAATTTTTGTATTGTTTTTATATGTAGAAAATTAAGTTAACAATGTAAGCTAATATTAACAATAAAATAATACAATAGAAAATGTACAACAAATAGAAAAGTAACTGTATAAAATTTATTTAAGGTACAAATAGGGCTTTAATCCCCATTATATGTACATATATTAGAAATAAAAACATAGTAAAATAATAATTGATTTTGAATTTTGATCAAATTTGATTGTTTGAAATCTTTCAATCAGCACCTATACTAGAGCCAGAAAGCTTTGCAGTGCAATACATTTCTGCGCCTGAACTGGCTTTGCGAACCAAAGATAGCTAAAAAGCATTAGCGGATTTTGAAAAAGATGACGTGACAAGAGCAAAGCTTGTTCTCAAAAAACACAAATTTTAGACTATTAAATTGATGCGTGATTCTGCACTGGCCTATCCTGTTGGTTTAATAATTATGGAAAATAACATAAAAATAACAATAACTCATATAACAATAATATATTCTTTAAAATATTAATTATTTATAATCGAATGATAAAAACACAATACGAAAAAAAGCAGAAAAAGAAAAAAAGTAAAATCGAAAAAGAAAAGGAAGAAGGAAGAAAAGGAGATGATTCATTTCGTTTTTAAAAACTCAGATCCTATGGACACGAACCAAGCCAGCAAGGAAGCAGAACTACTTCCTGATGATGAATGAAATTGAAACTTTTTGTTATTTTTGTTTTATTGCAATTTTTTATTTATTTATTTTAAAGGTACAAATAGGGCTTTATGCCCCTTACATGTACTTATATTAGAAATAAACTAAGTTTTGTAAATATAATAAAATAATGATTATTTGGAGATCGTGAGATGCAGTCTTGGTGTGATGTAGGTTTAGAAAAAAAATTTCTTTATCATGCCAACGTTTCAATCTTTATTTAGATCATCTTCAGGGCCAGGGATTTATAAACATTGTTTAAATTATACAAATACTTTGTAAGATGTGAAAAAATGAGTTTATACAATGGCAGAAATTTTAGATGCACTCATTGTATAAACTCATTTTCTCCAATTAATCATTAATTAATGGTTACTAAATACCACACATAATAAAAGTTAATGATGAAACCACATTACAAAAGAAAAGCAGAAAGAGAAAAAGATATGATTCATGTCATTTTTAAAAACTCAGATGCTATGGACACGAAACAAGCCAGCGAGGAAGCAGAACTACTTCCTGAGGTTGCAAATTCCATAGTCTTGACCCTGCAATTCTGAAGGATGTGATTGGTGTATTTGGATAAGGAATGAGGGGAAAAATTGATAGATATCGAGGCTATTTATTTGATTTAACTTTAAATGTATAAATTAAAACTAAGTTTATAAGTGTTTAGAATGTTAAAGATACTGAAGACATTAACAAAGAAAGAAATAAGCTCTCTCGGTTTAAGAACATAACTGTATCTAATGCTGGAATGGTAAGCAATTTGAAGGCGATGAGCAGATTGAAGGAAAGTGAAAAAATAGCACTACAGCAATAGAATCAAGGAATTATTATGGATTTAATAAAAACTCTAATTTTCCGTGGAGTGAAAAAGCTAAGGCTTGAAGAGAGTGGGTGCTCGAGTAGATCTTTTTAATAATAAAGCTCACATAGTCATGCAATATAAGCTTAGAGTTAAAAATAATGCCGAGATTTTTAACTTTTGGACAAAAATTAATAGGGAAACTGTTAATATGAATAGGACATAGGCAATTTGTAATAATGGGTTTATTGGAAATTTGGTGAGTGAACAAAATGCCACCCAAGGTAAAACATTTACATTTTCTAAAGTAATGGTGACAATGTGGATTAATTCAAAAGGTTTTGTAGGTGTTTATGTAAAAAATCCATTTTGATGTTTTTTCCTAAATGGCCCTATGACCACATTGATACTAGTTAGGAATCCCTTTAAAAAGATAGTTCCTACTTACAGTAAGTTGTTTTAACATTCTGGATTTCGAGCTTATAGCTCAAAGTGATCTTTTACAATTCATGCCGAGAGATGGTTGTAGAACTCCTTCAACCTGATGATGAGCTATAAGTTCACAATCCGGATGGTTAAAAACAACTTACTATGAGTAGAAACTAGCTTTTTAAAATTATTGAACACCGCACTCACTCCAAAACATTCATCATTTCTATTAGTTAGGAATCGTCAGCATTTTGATGAAATTTCTAAAAGATCATCATAAAGGTTAAAAAAATATAAAAAAAAAAACATATAATTTTCTACAATATTTACAGTGTTTATTTTTACAATCATACAGAAAAAACTGTTATTTTGTCGACCTCTTTGTTAGGGTCAGTAATAAAAATGCAATAGCCATGTACAAAAAATTTGGCTACCCTGTCTATAGGACAGTAATGGAATATTACAGGTGAAGACACTTACTGTAATAAAAACTGGAAAACAAATCAACATCAATAAATTTTTGTTTACAGCCAGTCAAAGCGGAGGATGTCGATTGAGCTTATTTTTTACTCCGGTTAAAACTATTTATCACTTCTCAACTAGATTTCCAAAAAAGAAATTGTGTTCTTGATAAAATACATTTGAAGGGCCACCTACTTTTAAAAACAACCGTTAACATTAACTTTTTTATATAATATAACGTATGTTTTGTCTGTGTACTTTTTTTTATCACCGATAATTGTTTTGCAATTTAAAAAAATATATATAAACTTTTTTTATAAGCCTTAAATTAATCTTTCAATCACTCTTTGATTTCTTCTGTAGGAGTGATTTCTTCTTGTTTTTTCTTCCAAAGCTTGGCTTTTTCTAGAAGTTTTAAGTTAGGCTTGATCGCCTCATCTTCAGGGAATAAATAATCAAACACCTCCTCCCAACCACTTTCAACCTAGAGAAAAAAAAATGTAATAAAATAAAAATACATTAGATTTATAAATATTGAGTGAAAATTGAATTACTCCGTCGGGACTGATGACTTTCTGCCTTTTCCTGACTCTCCTCGGGAGCTTAGCTTCGACTTTGGCAAGACTGATATCATCGCCGTGGTTCTTTTCCATATCCCTCCACGCTTCGAGCAGAAGGACCCTTTCTTCCTTTTCGCCCGATTCTCTCAGGGCAGTGTTGCCCCTTTCATAAATCTTCCTTGCGAGTGATACTGGGTCGAGCCCCTCGTCTTGACTGTGCGTCATCTCAAATTGGACGTAGCTCATCCAGACCTTGATGTGGTGTGTTCTTTCCAAAAGCCTCTCATAAAGCAATCTGGCGTTTTGCGGCTCTCCTATGCTGATTTCAAAGTCAATGTATGCCTTCCATAAAATCTCAGGCATGTCAAGCCTTGCCTGGTTGACAGCTAGCTCGTAAATTGCTCTTGCTCTGTCTAAATCACCAAGCAATGTTTCTAATTCTGCAAACTAAACAAGAAAATTGTTACTTTACAAAATTAATAACAAAATAAACAGATATGGAAAAAAATAAGTTGATCTAAGCTTATATTTATTTATTAGGAAAGAAAAGATATAATTTAATTGAATATAAGAAGTACAAATGTTTTTTGTAAAAAAATAAAACACTTACTCTCATCCAAGTGATGCAATTTTCAGAACCATGTTCTAAAAATTTCTCATACAAAATTCTACATCTGTCAAACTCTCTTAATTGAATTTCTAAATCGATGTACCCCCTGTATAATTTGTCTCTAGGACACATGCCCAAACCCATGCCCTAAAACAAAACCATTGTTAATAAAATTAACTATTTGCTGAATTATGTAAAATTCTTACCAGGCTTTTTCTGGCGGCCGGAAGGTTTTTATGTCTGATTTCAAAGTGGGCGTACAGGAGCCAAATTTTGCTAAAGGTGAAGATCTTGTGAGGAATGAGCTCCAAGCACATGCGGTAAATTTGACGTGTGCGGTTTTCATCCTGAGCTTCCAATTCTTCATAAAGGGCGTAGTTGATCCACAAATATATATAACGCCTCCACATGTCCTTTTCCTTTGAGGGGGGAACGTTTGAAATGGCCCTTTCGTATGTCTCCCGGATGACGTCTGTCTCGCCTTCTTCCTCGACAAGACGCAGGAGGTCGAACCACGAGTCGTAATTGTTCGGATTGGCCTTGACCTCTTCCTCGTACTGGAATTTCCTTTTGCTAACAATAACATCTTCAATTCCAGTCCTATCGCCGTATTTCTTTTCGTGAATTGTGTATGCCTTGTATATGTCAGCGGTTTTGTCTTTCGGCAAATTGTCAAGTGCATACTTATAAATAACTCTCGCTCTGTCATGCTGAAAATTTCATTTTTTTTTAAACAATGGTCTAAAAAGTTGTTATAAATCAGCATACTTCACGTTGGGCCTCTTCAAACTTAGCAAATGCGATGTAGAGCCTTTCATCAATTATATCTTCACCAAAGAACTCAACGGCACGTTCATAAACTTTTCTTGAACCTGATATAAAGCCCTGTCGTTCTTCAAATCTAAAAAAAGTAAAAAAAAAAGTCAATTTATAATTAAATATTTATTAATTAATAAATTACTTGGCAAAACGAATCCAATTTGGAACATCAGGATGAACCATGACAAATCTATTGTATATGGCCCTTGCCCGTTCAATTTCTTTATAGCGCAGTTCAAATTTAATGTATGTCAACCAGGCCTGCTCTTCCGGCTCCCATTCCATCCACCTGTCAAAAACCTGACGAGCACCTTAAAACAAAAAATTAATACAACTCTTTTTAATTTAAAACAATCTCAAACCGGCATACCTGCAATGTTGCCAAGCATTTCTTCCATGTAGGTATACTTGTACCAAAATTGGTTTGCCCTCGGCAGAATCGTGACTGCTCTATCCCACAGATTCCTGGCATGGTTTACTTGACGGTTACGCATTTCAAGCTCGGTGTATTTCAACCAGAGGGTGATATTCCTGTGGTCGACATCAAGCGCTCTTTCGTATATCGACCTCGCCCTGTCGACCTGTTTTTGGCTCTCTTCCCATTGTGCATACTTTATCCAGTTGCTTATTACCATTCTGTTTTTTCTTATATTGTCCTCGAAAGCCTTGCGCTTCCTGTGCTGGTAATCAGCAAGTTCCTCTGGGTCGGAGATTTTCTGCTTGGGTGGCTGAAGAAAAACAAAAGGTTGAGTCAAACAATAAGACATTCAATTCAAGTATACTTACAGGTGGAACGATTTCCAAATCCCTCTCTTTCGCCTCCCTCAGCAGCTGCTCAGCAGTAATCTGAATTTCTGCAGGTGCTTTATTCTTGACCTAGTTAACATAGTACAATAATTTAGTGCTCAATAATATTAACTAAAATCTTTCTAATTTTACTATTAAATTTAAAAAAATACATGCCATGATTGTCTAGTACTTGTATCTGAGTATATAAAACTTTTCAATTGTATTACAACCTTAAAAAAATCCAAGCACCATTTCTTACAAAAAAAGTCTGTAGCTTGGTTGAGTTGAAGTTTGGTTATAACCACCGACACACTCTTCACATTTCACAATGAACAAAAGAGACCTAGCTAAACTGAAAGCCGCAAAAGTGGCTATAGTGCTTAGCAGTAATTAGTCTACACATTTTAGTGTGATTTTTGTCGATGTTTTGGTCTGTCCAATATGTTTCACCCTTTTACTATCATCAACAGAGTGTTTGTGGCCAAATGACAAACAATTAGGCAGACCAGTATGATTGTAAACGGTAAAATTACTGGTTTTTAACGCCAAAAACCTTTTGAAGAAATTTCTCAATTATACATTAATTAAAAATATTTTGAAATTTCTTTTGGGATCTGTAGTCTACAACAGTCGTATCTGATCATTTTAGTCTACATACAGTGTTGTTTTAGTATGTCAGATGCATTTTGGCCTTTCAATATTATCAGTTAATAATTTAACTAGAGTATTGAGAGATAATTTTTCTTTCTTTCTAGGAAATTTTGAAATTGAAAAACAACCATCGACTCGGACAGCCAGGCAGCACTGAAGGTAAGGGCTGCATCAGCTGTAAAGTCCAGAGTCATTTGGGACTGTATTAGAGACCTGTCAGACAGACATTGGGAAAATAACAAAATTACCCTTGCCTGGGTACCAGGGCACCTAGGGCAGAGAGACAATGAAAAGACCGACAAATTGACCAAGGAAAGTTCGTTGAGGACACCTGTTGTGGCTTACCAAACTGCCAAAAACGTTGATCCATTAGACAATGTTCAAGTGACAAGTCCTCCGTTCAATGGGAATGTAGCCCGGGACAGAGGCATGTAAAAAAGTTTATCAAAGAAGCATCACAGAAACTAATGACAGAACACTAAATCTAGGACGTGCTACGACTAGAATAATAGTTGGCCTGCTGGCTGGACACTGCAGATTCCGGAAGAATATGTACACACTCAGAGTGGCAGAAACAAGCCTATGCAGATATTGCCAAGAAGAAGAGGCAAACCAAAACGTGTCCTCTGTTGGTGCGAAGGCTATGTAGGCTGTGATTCCTAATCCTGAGAGAGGAAAAGCCAATGCCTGAAGGATACAAACGGTTCATTGAGGTCTAGTAAAAAGCCTTAAGCTTAATGAGGAAAAAATGGTTATGCACAACAGATCACTGGTGCGTAGGTCGTAAACAGGCCAGCTCCTATATTATACAATCTAATCTATGGGTACTTTTCATACAAACGGTATGTTTTGCAGTGAATATACAGCACAATTAATACATTTTGTTTCAAAGATATTTTTGTATAAGCATGTCAGAAAATAAAAACAGTCACAAATTCAAAATGCACAACAGACCAATAATGATGCTTAGATCGTAAACAGGCCAGCTCTTATATTATACAATCTAATCTAAGGGCACTTTTAAGACAAATGATATATGTTTTGCAGTGCATATACATCAGGATTAATACACTTTTTAAAGATATTACTGTATAAGCATGTTAGAAAATAAAAACAGTAACAAATTTAAGTATAAAACCGTCGCTTTGCAGTTAATCTATGGTTAACGGCTGAAATGTTTTATTGCTATAAGACAAGTTTCTTTATACTGTACAGATGTTAAACTTTACCTTAGCCACTTTGGGCATTTTCTGAGGTTTTTCCATTTTCTTTGGTTGCGTGTTATTCTCTGATGAAGAAAACGTATGTAAACAACGAAGACCAAGCACGGTTGAAACCTTCAAGTGGTTATCGAAGGAATACTAACGTACCTCATACTATCGATGTATAAATGCTATATGACCGATACTTGGTATCGATACATTTTTTACCAATACCTATTGTTTTTAAATATTCTATATGGAAATTAAAATTATCAAAATAAAAAATGGTTTATTTTAAAAAAAATTCGAATACATTTTTAAATATAATTGCTTTAGAATCAATTTTGACATGATTACGAAACTCCTCCCTTCCCGCCACTAGCAGAAAACTCAGTGTAGTGACTAGTGAGTGAAAAGATGTCCTCTTTTATTAACGTCTAACGATGACCTATAACTTTTCTTTTATTCAAGGAGGTGAGATCTTTTGCATACCATCTCGGACACATTGATGGGTATATTTTCTTCCTTGGAGTGTATTTATAAATAAGACTTTGAATTATGTCATTAAAGGTGTACAACAGATAATGATATAATGTCCCAATCGACAGCAATTATTTCTCGAGAAAGGTTCTCAAAATCAAAAATCTTAAATGGGTCGACCTATCAGTCTTATGAGTTAATTCATAGTATTCTTTTATCCAAAATTCTAATGGTGGGTGGTAGCCTTCATCTTAAAAACAGAATCATTAGTATTACACGAAAAAACCAAATCCAAAATACTCCTTGACAATATTGAACATTGTTGACGAGTCATTTATGCATAAGCGTAAAATATCAACAAGTAGTTTATGTAAGTCTAATGCCTATTACGCATTTACGAGTAACTTTCATCAGTGAAGTTAATCCAAAATCCATTTTGTTCTATCCTGAAACATTATCACCACCAAAGAAAAAGTGGTAGTTCTATTTTACTTGCCAAGATAGAAATTCAGCTAAGTGTAAGCAAAGCAACTAGATACTAAAGACAAGTGGTCTAGTACTGGGTTGTCCAGAAAATAATGCAGGTTTATAATTATAAAATAATTTATATATTTTTTAATTGCAAAACAATTATCAGTGATAAAAAAGTAAACAGACAAAACATAAGTTATACTATACAGAAAATTTTACAGGAAATTTTTATGTTAATGATTTTTTTTTAAAAGTAGGTTATCCTTCCTTCAAATGTATATTATCAAGAACACAATTTCTTTTTTGAAAATCCAGTTGTGAGGTGGTATCATTTTTAAACAGGTGTAAAAAATCAGCTCACTCGACATCCTCCGCTTTGACAGGATGGACTAAAGGGACGACAGATTTCTTCAGGACGTCTCGGCTCAATGCTTTTCTCATATCTGTAAACAAAAATTCAATGTGTTTTCATTGTCTTTGGTTTTTTATTTTTATTACCGTAAGCGTCTTCATCTGGCTCTCCGGAATAATATTCCATGACTGTCCTGTAGACAGTGTAGCCTAGTTTTTTGTACATGGCTATTGCATTTTTATTACTGACCCTGACAAAGAGGTCGACAAAATAACAGTTTTTCCTGTAAGATTGTAAAAATAAACATCATAAATATTATAGAAAATTGTCATTATTATCGCTTTTCTACCTTTCTGATATGTCTTCTAAGGATTTCATCAAAATGCCGGCGATTCCTAACCGCCTGTATTTAGGTGATACCGTCAATGCGGTCACGTGGCCGTGCCAAAGTTCGCCTTTTCCTTCTGCCTTTCCCATGACTGAAATGTAAAAAAAAGAGTATTGAAGAAAAAAATTCAAGTTATTTTCAAACAAAAAATTTCTTACTGTAGCCCATCAATTCTCCTGTGGGTGAGACCGCGACTTTAAAAAACTCGGGCCACAGGGCCAAATACTGCATATAAAAAGGCATTCCATACTGATATAATTGGTAGGAAAGTTTTAAAAAAGATCATAAATCATTTCAAATACATGATCAATTTGTTAATGAGGGCTTTGTTACAAAAATTAATGTTTAAAAAAAAAAAGATATACCAAGCAAGCGTGTCAAACCGTAGCTTCCCCGCTTGCATAGTCATGCTAGAGTGTCTATAAAAGGATACTGTTTCCGTCAATGGATCCAGGTTTCTGTAAAAAAAACGATATTTTCGTCAATAAAAAGCCGGTTTTTTCACCCTTTACATCAGAGATATTTCAATATATATATATGAACGTACATTTCATTTATCTGGAGCAGATCCGTACAGGTGAAAGGCCTAAGGGTGACCATTCTCCAATTTATAATATCCCCTGAAACCTGAGAGAAATAGGATGCGTTTCAAAGAAACGTGGTATTTTGGAGGAATATTGACAAACTGAGGTTACTTTTAACCTAAAGGAGGTTATTTTGAACAGAACTTAACATTATTCTGGCGCTAAAATTGAAAAAATGAGTTCTTCACTTTAATCAATTATTAAGCAAAGCAATAAAAGAAGACACGTGGGGTGAAAAGAGGAAGACTAAGTAACGTCTAGTTTATTAATTTGCTATACTATTTATTTGAGCTCAACTATAAGTTGAAAGAAAACAAGAGTTTAATTGAAAGTGTTTTGCCAAGTTATAGGATTTTCCAGGAAAAGGTTTTCATGTTTCCTTTCAATTACCCATCTACATAATAAACTGATTATGTTTGATGGATTATTATTTTGTATGGATGTCAATACTTTTTCATTTTCAATTGTCAATTGATGTCAATTCATTTTCATCTTTCAAACAAAAATACTTGTTTACCTCAGTAGCATTTCGTTCCTTGGGAATAATTTAGTCTTTTCTAATATGTCAATACATGATTTTTGTGTAATTTAACAAGTTTAAATTTGGTTAGAATAATGCCCAAATGGTCATTAATGAAGTCTGCCACGATGGCAGTGTGAGTGAGAGCACCGACCACAGATGTTTTAAAAAATTTAAAGAGGAAGACTTTAACCTTTAAGACAAAGAAGGTCAAGGAAGGATTTCTTCCTTAGATGATGTTCTGTGAGCTTTGTTCGAAGAAAATCCCAGAACAATTGTTCGAGAACTTGCAGAGAATCTTTCAGTTAGCAAATCGACTGTCGCTGACCACCTTAAGGCAACTGAAAAGGTGAAAAAGCTTTAAAGTTGAATGACCTCCAAAAATCAGAATAATACAATTGAAAACATAAAACAAAATGCTTGGCATAATACTGGATAATTTCCAACTTAAATATTTCAAATGGTGCGATTTCATTTTGGTCTGTGAAGTAATGAATAGACAAAAAATTTCTAATCAAAATACCTTGTAGAGCAGTCTGGGAAAAATGGATCCCTGTTAATCCCGACCATATCTGGTTTACAGATGGCTCAAAAACTGAATAAGGGTCAAGAGCTGGCATTTATGGAAAAAAAACCAAGTACTAGAATTTATCTAAGCCTAGGATAATATGCCCCCAAGCGGAAACTGTGGCTATTGGACTATGTGCCAGGGAGATAAAAAGTCTGGGTATTTTAATAAAAGAATAGGACACCCAGATGGCACTGAAGGCAATTTCCAGACCTGAGTCCTTTGAAACTGCATTAGAGCCCTGTCAGATATTGGGAAAAATGCCGTTGTCAGGGTACGAGTTCAAATAGGGCATAGGGGGAAATGAAGAGGCTGACAAATTGGCCAAGAAAAGTTTGATGAGGACACCTGTTGTTCCTAAACCCTTACGTAGTTTACGAAACTGCCAAAACGGTGGATCCATTTGGATGGATAAATAATAAGTCCTCAGCTCAAGGGGAATGTAGCCCAGGACAGAGCATGCAAAAAAGTTTATCAAAGAACCATCACATAAACGACAGAACTACTAAATCTAGGACGTGCTACGACTAGAATAATAGTTGAATTACTGACTGGACACTGCAGGCATATATATAGACTTGAAGTTGCAGAAATAAGCCTGTGCAGTTATTGCCAAGAAAAAGAAAAGAGGAACATGTCCTCTGTTGTTGCGGAGGCCTATGTAGGCTGAGATTATTAATTCTGGGAGAGGGCCATGGCCTGAAGGATACACACAGTTCCTTGAAAAAGCTTTGGGGTCTAGTAAAAAGCCTTAAGCTTAACAAGAAGCTCAAGAATAAAAAAAATGGAAATGCACAACAGACCAATGATGCTTAGATCGTAAACAGGCCAGCTCTTATATTATACAATCTAATCTAAGGGCACTTTTAAGACAAATGATATATGTTTTGCAGTGCATATACATCAGGATTAATACACTTTTTAAAGATATTACTGCATAAGCATGTTAGAAAATAAAAACAGTAACAAATTTAAGTATAAAACCGTCGCTTTGTAGTTAATTTATGGTTAACGGCTAAAATGCTTTTGTTGTTATAAGTCAAGTTTCTTTATACTGTACAGATGTGAAAATTTACCTTAGCTACTTTGGGCATTTTCTGAGGTTTTTCCATTTTATTTGGTTGTGTGTTATTCTCTGATTAAAAGTATGTAAACAAGTGGTTGATGTTTATTAGTTACCGGTCGCTAACCAGTTGCCCAGCGACTTGTCAAACAGAATAACCTTCGAATGATAAGATATCGTTAACCGCACGATTCTCACATTGATTCAAGAATCAAACGATAATTTAATAGAAAAAAATGACAATAAACGATGATGAATCGATTTCTGTATTGTTTATTTCAATGTATTGACGGTTAATCCTGCTTGTTTGATTTAACCTGTTCTTTCCTTGTATTTGTGTATTCAACCTGGCAGTTTTCAACCTTTCGACCCAACGTTCTCACACTTTTGTACAATTCGAAAAGAAAATCCCTGGGGCTTTTTTTCTTTCTTTCATTGTGGTGTTATTTTTTTATAGCGGGATTTGAAAAATTGTAATTTGAATTCAACGGCCTCTTCTTTATATAAAGAAAATTCTGACTGAGGGAACACCAAATTAATTAGGATAAATGGTCAAGTCGAATTTCTTCGAGCTGGAACAGATCATAGAAATGTCTTCGGAGACACATTCTTTTCCATGAACGATTTGAGGGCATTTTAGGTAATTTTATCAAGTTTTTAACAGAGGGCATACTTTAATCATTTAAAACACGATTATTATTAATGCTCTCCACAATCAACTTAAAATATATTTTATACATAATTTAAATATTAATATTAGACTTCTCCCAGTGAACTAGTGTTATTGTCAGTCCAGTTTTGAACCTGTTAGTCCATGATCAGCTTAGTTCTTCCAACCCCCCAAAACAGGAAGTCATGAGCTAAAGCATTTGCTCACTGCCTAAAGACCTGGTTACACAATAAGAGTTGATGATCTGACAGTAGACAAATACTGAACCTTACTTACTGTGAATAGGAACTATCTTTTTTAAAAAAGGATTGAACACCGCACACACTCCATCATTCATCATTTCTAATACTGAACCTATGTACTCACATTACAGTAGCTCGACTTGCCTCCCTGATCGCACAAGTGCGAGCTGCTGGTGTGAAAGTAGACAGCTACTGCATGTGTGTACACACATCTTTTCAGTAGACTTGTGTACTGTTGTTGCAAAATTCAAGACTGATCACAGTTCATACCATAATAAATAACATAATACCTTAGCATTGAACCATTTGATGGCTAGTGTATAAATCTCATTAGTGCCACATTAACTTTTTTGCTTTTCTCAGTTTTCAATAACTCCTGGTTGTCAGTGGGCGGGGTCGTCGGAGAGGCTCTTGCGAGTCAAGAGCACGACCAGTAGATGGCCTTTAGAGAACCTGAGCAGGAGACAAGGGATCATCCTTACCCGACTGAGGATTGGCCATACACGGTTGACACATGGGCACCTGCTTTTGGTGTGGTGGACACCAGAGAAAGGTTGCTCGATTTGTCCCACATAATAGAGGCGTGTCATGCCTTGGCTCCATACAGAGAGCGTATAGGCATGCTGCCGGACTTAAGAAGAGTTCTCGAACATGGTAGCGAGTTTCAGAGTCCCCTGTTCCGCTTTTTAGAGGAAAAAGAAAAAAAAACTCCTGGTTATACATAGAACATAAATTTTTGATCTTTTTTGTTACTTTATTTGTGCCTTGTAAACCCAATGCCATGCGAATGTGGTCAGGCAGGCTCACAGAAATCTATTCTCATAATTAGGATCCAAAATGTTTCACAAGTTGATTTGGTCCTTGTTTAACTCCACAAAATTTATATTTTGTTTGGAAATCCATCTATTCGCCATTGCCTTTTTTTCTTTTTAACTGCTACTAGAAACACAAAAACCCATGCAGCAACGAAGAATGCGGTGTGTGCGAGTAGCTTCACTGCCGTAACTGAATAAGCCAGCTTTGATCCTAGCTTCCACTGTGAAACTAGGCCTCTACTCTTATTTTCCGTTCTTGTACACAAAGTAACAATTGGGAAACATTATAATGTGTTCTGCATGCATGAAAATGACCAAACCACAAGAAGATGTTAAGCTTTAGACTTGACTATACGTGTTGTTTTGATCTGTCACACGCATTTCAGCTTCTTATACCCATCTTTAGCGGTGGGTCTGTACTTGACAGGCCAAAGAAGCAAGGATAGACAGAACAGGTTGATCAGGAACAACTAAACTACAGATTCATCTCTACGTGACCGCGAGATCAAATCTCACAATTTAAAAATGTTGGAAAGTATGGAAATGTACTAATTCTGAAAAAGCATTAATCTTTTTTATATTTTTCTGTAATATCCTCAAAGACAAAAAAAAATAAAAATAAAAAAGTATTTATTCCATTATTTTCCATAATAACTAGGTATAAAGATTAATAGTTAACAAAATGTAAAAACAAAATGAATATCAGTTGTTTACATTTTCGGTGTTACTAATCCTTTTACACTCTTAAAATTAAAAATAAAGAAAATCAATTCAATTCAATTTCATACTTTCCAGAGCCAACTTTTCTGTGAGTTTATTGGTTTTTTAAATTGTTTTCTTTCATAAAACCAATAAATTTAACTAAAAAAGATAATCGCTTTATTGCCCTTACAGCACCATGGAACTGTCATTTAACGGCTTCCTAAGGGTGATGAGAAGGCTTTGCAAGAATAGCCTAGTCTCTAGACATCTCGCTTCACGTTCTCTAATACTAGAGAGGCATTGAGTAAAAAGGCGACAATACACATATCAGCATTTCTTTTGGACAGTTGAACAATGAGGGGGGTTATATTCTCTTCACAGATGATTGTCGGTTTGGTTTGTGGCAATCAGACAACCTAGTGAGGGAAAGATGTGGAGCTATGCTCCATGTGCCATGTGTGTCACAGCCTTTTCAAAGAGTTAGTTACGGTATGGGGTAGAATCAACGTCTATGCCAGTACCGAACTGATTAACATACAGAATGGATCTTTAGCTACTCTAAGGTACATTGAGGAAGTTCTGGAAGCTGTGGTACCATTCACTTCATTTATTGTGTTAATGCAGGATAATGCTCAACCGCTTATAGCTTGAGTTGTCATCCATTACTTGGAGGATGTAGGGATTACCACAACAAATTGGTCAGCACCTTCTCTTGGTGCTAGTCCTGAAGATCACTTATGTGACATGATGGGTTACATCGTTCACTGCTTCCATTAATGTTTTGATCATTTTGGTGTGCCTATACTTGCTATTTTGATCTGTAAAATGTATTTTGTGGCCTTGAATCTCAATTAAATAATTAGGAGAGCTACACACTTGGCAAGCCACAATTAGCAAACTGCATACTTATTTTCTGAAAGTTCTGTTGTTCTAGATGTCAGTGAAGTTTAAAAATATTATATGTTTATACCGTACATCATAAATACATCTGATCTATGATTGGCTTGGAGTGTATGATAAGCTAGTCTGTCGAATCTGGCAGACACTCACTTCCTTCAAAATCCTGAAATTTCTGTACTTAAGAACATTTCTTGTAAAATTAGATCCGCTGTGTTGTTGAATTTCTGACTGTTTTGTCTGATTTTCTGATGCATTAATCAGATCGGATCTCTAAAACTAAAATAAATGAATGACAGACAAGTTTAGAATTTGAAAAAGGAATGTAGTAGTCAAGTTTTAGTGTTTTGTGTAAGTTTGAAAAGTTTGGCCTATGTAGAAGTATTAATATTGAATGTTCTGTGGTGTTTTACTGAATAAAGAGACAAATTTAATTATTATAAAAAGAACATTGTTTTATTTATTAACTTCACAGGTTATTATGAATGGCGATGCAGTTCCAAGTTATCCGAAGGTTGAATATTTGTACAGTCATGAAGAATGGAAGTACAGCATGCGAAGGACGATGCAAGAAATTGTACCTGGTCTGTTCCTTGGACCGTACTCATCCGCCATGCGTTCGAAGCTCGAGGAGCTCAAATCGTCCGGAATAAAGGGAATAGTCTGTGTCAGGCACTCGCTCGAGGCGCAGTTCATCAGGCCCAACTTTCTCGACCATTTTAGGTATTTAATCCTGGATATTGCAGACTCGACGTCCGAGAATATCATCCAGCACTTTGTCACTGTTAGGGATTTCATCAATGAAATCCTTGAGTCAGGTGGTAAAGTTCTTGTACATGGAAATGCCGGTATATCAAGAAGTGCCGCTCTAGTTCTAGCCTACGTCATGGAAAAATACGGTTTAGAATTTAAGTATGTCATCTTATTTATTTATTTATTTTATTTTTAATTAGTTTTTGATTTTTTAAGGAAAGCTTATGATCTCGTTCAGCAGAGACGCTTCTGCATTAATCCAAATGTGGGCTTCATGTTCCAGCTAGAGGAATATGAGCCGATTTACAAAGCGCGCCTGCTCCAGTGCTCTCAATCACCATCTAAAATCATAAACAAACGTACCTGCGATGAAATAGAGGAAGACTAAAGCAATAATCAAGATTGATTATATTAAAAAAAGAAATAAAAATAATTTTATTCTGACGTGTAGAAAAATTGACTTTGTTATTTATAAAGTATCTCTTTCATTATAAAAAAACTCACTTGTAAGTAACTATTTTATTAAAGTCTTTCTCAAAATTTCGCCGCACGATTTTTATTTCGCACCTTTTTTCATTTATGGCAACATGGATTAAACAAACCAAATTTTTTAAAGCTTAATTGATTTATTTTTTTATTTAATTTTTTTTCCATCAGTGAAACTACAGACTTACATGATGTGCATCGAGTATAAATGGTAAGGACATAAAAATGTAATTTTTCAAAAAATTTCTATTTTTACTTGTCATAGATGGTAAAACTTTGAAATATCCAAGTGTGTGGATATTTGCTGTTAAATTTTTTATATTTCACATTTAAAAAAATCTTTTAATTGAATGCACTAGATAGTCGTTTGAAATTTTAATCCGTCAGAAAATTGAGATATTTTAGTAATAATTAAATTAATAATTATTACTATGGTTAATAAGATCAATTAAAACTCATATTAATTAAATTAATTACTAGAGAGTTTAGTAATTTTATTACTTTTTTGATCTTGATTTCTTCAGTATGAATATGTTTAAATAATGTAATAGAATTTAATTAAATTTTTCTTTTTTGTGCATGAAAAGTTCATATAAAAACAAAATAGTGGATCTGTTTATAAAGTTCTGGCAGAGGAACAGAATTATTTTTAGTATCAGGCCCAGTGGGGAGAACCTGCATACGGTCTGTGTCCTATTAATTGTTTGCCTGTTGTACAATGTTTCAATTTCATTATTTTCTTTTGGTGTTTGCTTTCTTCGGTGCGTTTTTTTTTTTTTTTTTTTTTTTTAACTTCAATTTATTTTATGGATTGTCTTGTTTTGCAGAACAAGCTCTCGGCATTTATCTGCAAGCGTGCTCAGATGATTTGAATTGCAATTTCAATACTACGGCACTCAGATGTTCGAAGATTGACCAAAAGTGCACTTGCATCAGGTGATTTTTTTTTCTAGCTAGGAGATTTCTAGTTAGGCATGACTGTACTAAATTTTAAGATTCAAAGACATTCAAAGAAAAAAACATTTTTTAAGAGTAATTTTGCCGTTACCAATTGTTTTGTTCTGCCTATCTGTCTTAAAATGGTAAAATGCCAAAATGTACCTGACCAACCCAGTGAGGATAGACAGACCAAAATAATTGCTATCAAAAATTATCAACAAAAGCTGAACTATAAAGTTTAAAAATAATCAATTCTTATCTTATAAACTTATCCTTAAATAAAAAGGTAGATGTGGCTAAGGCTTAGTATCACAACCTTCGGACTTAACCACCACAATCCATCCCTTTGACAGCACTGTCGATTAGTGCCCTCAGAGGATCTGACTAATAGAAGAAGGGAATTATAGTGTGAAGGGGATATCGTGTTTTGTGTTCACTAGTGTGTGTTGAGAGTGAATGTACGTAGTGAACGTTGGCATGAACGTGTAGTGTAAAAGAGCGAATAGTGGAATATTAATTACCCCATTGAACCTCAATTAGGTTGTATAATAGGTGTAAATGATGATGGAGGAATGTCAAGTATTTCACTACCCTGAGTGAATGGAATGTAAATAACAAAAATGTATTTAAGACTGGGTGAGAGTGAGAATAGGTTCGGATTTGTAGAATGACATGACCTAGCTGTTGATAACCCCTGGAGCCCGACCTCAGGTGGCTGAACAGACAATACTGTGCTCTGACATATGATCCCCAACTGCCTACATCCGACGTGAGTGATTCTCGAGGCCAGTTGCTGACCTATTGTAAATTACACAATAACTAGAATTGCTAGCGAGCTGCAAGAAGTGATAGGCTCAACTCAACATATATGTTGTCCTTGCTTGTGGAGATTTGAGCTTATATAAATCAGTAATCAGTGATCCTTAAATTTTTATGTTAAAAATCATTTCAAATAATTTATTTATTGACAGTTTCAACAAATAATAAAATAAAAAAGAACCATCACAATTTATAGTTAATCTTGTTGAACTTATTGCAATATTATTTGTAATTTGGCTGTTTCTAACCATCTAAATAGACCTAAGCAGTAAGGAAATACAGACCGTGATGACCAAAAACGACCAAGCTGCAATCCTCCATCCAATGATCCAATAATATTTCATAAGTAAACGAAATAATTTTGGCTGTTGTGTACAATTATTTTGTAGATATCATTATTGGGACCCAAAGAAGAACATTTGTGTCTTGAATTACTACTCACTCAAAAAGAGCCTATCCCATTCAGAGTCCAAAGATGAAGAACTGTTTATAAAAGGCAAAGAATCAATAGAAACCAAGAGATATCACCAGAACTGCACTCATGATGATCACTGTCAAGATTTTTCTCTGATATGCTCTTCTGAGATAAATAAATGCGTGTGTGCAAAGTGAGTATTTAATTTAATTTATTTTATTGCTCAAATAATAATTTGTACTGGAAGGTTCCATGATTTGATTTTTAACAAGTGTGTCCTGAACTACACTGAGCTGAACCTCTGGCTAGCAAGCCTTGAAAACGAGAAAGATGTTAAAGGTAGTGTGATTATTGAAATGTTTTATTGTTAATAAATTAATTTTGTTTCTAGCTGAGCTAGACCGAAAGGCAGTCGGCGTGTTTCACCAGCTTGCTTTTTCAGGGATTTTAGCCATAGGCCTTGGAATCCTCGGTGCATTTTTTTATGTATTCATCTTCTGCTTAATGAAACAGTAAGTTGAAAGTAATAAGGATATTTTTTGTTTAACTTTTGCTTGCTGTGAATCATCTTTGATAGAGGAAACTAATTTAATTTCCCCCTATAAAATTTAAATTCTAATCATAAGTGTTTCTTTTCAGCCTGGGACGTAGACATGTACCTTCTAATAAAAAACTTGTCAAAGATGTTGAAGAGGCTAAACCAAGCGGATCGAATGTTAACGATATCGAAACGGTCTCCCCTTTGTTTCTCGTCCCACCTGTCCTTGTGACAACTTGAAATTTGTTAAAATATACATTTCTGTTGCGTTTATTTGAAATTCCGTTTATTCTTCCCTCCCCAATAATTTTTGTTTTGTTTGTTTGAAATGGCAGCAAGCAAAAGTCACTGTTTGAACTTAAAAGTGAATTTTTAAAATTTTTTTTTTCAGCACTCTGCCATATACTGAACCGGTAGATGAACCAGAAAGTCAAAAATCAAAGGATGATAACGTAAATGATATTGAAACTGTTTCTCCGGTGTTTTTAGACTTTTAGCAAGTGATACACTGCAGGATATATATTTTTTTGTGGTAAATCTGAAGTTTGGTCATTTCCAAGTTTCACACCAAGAAGAAAAAGCAGATTGGGATGATCAAAAATGTCCAAACTACAAGTGGTACTTTACTTCGGTTTAAAAAGAAAATTCTAAAAAAAAGAGTTAAATTAATTTCTTAAGAAAAATAGAAATACTTTTTTCAGATGGAATCACCAAAAATTCCATATGCATGGTGGAAAAATATGGATTCAGCCTGAATTGCTGAAAAGTCTGAAATCCAGAAAGAAGAAACTATTCAAAAACTGACGACATTTTTGTTAAAAGAATTTTATCAACTTTAAGTTTAAGAATAATTGTTCTTATTTACAATCTAATTATTGAGACCATGTAATAAAAAATGTTTATTTTCTCCTTTAATCAATATTTTTCTTCTGTCGTTTCTGTTATCCTTTTGTATCTGAATAACAATTGGATTATCAAATGTAATTCACATAAGTATTAAACACACTTCCTCTTTCAAATTTATTTTTATTGGGCACCTGTTTATAAAAAAAAGACCATTAACCCTGGTTGATTTTTCATTGAAACACACTCACCTTTTTTTTACACTGGTGGTTTGATGCCCATCTGAAAGCACTTTTGGGGAAATGTCTACATAAAGTAAATTATAAATCACTACAAAGGTTCTCTTGTGATTCCAAAAACCTTCGGAAAGTATGTCGGATTGAAGCGACGCTGTGTTTCTCCCTTAGGATGAACTCTTCATCACTATCAGAACTTGAACTATAAATTTAACAGTAGACAAATGTTAAATTTTCAAATTTAAAAGCGATTAAAGGAATTTAAAAATACCTTAAATCAATGCCTGCAAAAACTGTCTCTTCTCCGGATAAGCTTCTTTTAAAATATTTCTTACTAATCTGTTGTTTGGATATTATAATCGGCTGTTTCACAACGGTTGCAGCTAGGTTTTGGTTGCTGGTTATCCTTGAGGCACATGCTTCATGCAGTTTGTTGAATTTCTTGCACTTTTTTATTGTTGTTTCAATATTCATCTCCTTATCTTCCTCTTTACAGGTTTGCACATTTTCTTCCACCGGTATTTCAGGCTGTTTCGGTTTCGATTCCACTTTTGTAGGTGTCTTGCCTCTGTGGTTGCTGTTTTCTTGTCTGCTTTTAACATTCGCCGGTTGGCTCGGTGTCACCCTACCTGTCAACTCACCTCCTGAAGTCTGTGGACGGGTTTTATTATTCGGCTTCCTCTGTATCTGCATGAGGCTTGTATTCCTTGAGACGGTGTTTTGTGATATGCTGCCCCTAGAATAAATTTAAAAAAAAATTGTAAAACCAAAATTTGGTTACATATGTATGAACTTCACATTGAATCTTAAGCACCTTGCATTAAGCAGAACGACTCCTGGTTGTGGCAATGCTTTCATCGGCTCATTTGATTTATTATTCTTTGTAACTTTCGATCTGATCGAATAATCCTGAAATTGTATTGAACTGTATTTTCCGATGTTCTTCATAATCCCTTGCATACTGTCAAAATAAAATTGTTAAGACATTTTTTTTTTTTTAATATAGTGTTTAACTATTACCTCAGATTAGAAATTGCTTTTGTGTTTTTAAGCTGATCCTTCCTAAAAGTCAAAAGTCATTTACCAATTTTAAATTAAAACAAAAGTGTCACTATTTTACTTTTTGTAATTATACAATATTTATTTGTATAATTTTGGCAATTATTGTATATTAACACCTACTTTGTCCCTTTTCCGTCAAGTAGTTTGGCATTTCTAGGTATCAAAGGAGTGCTAAAGCTTTTTATTAACGATTCACTGCTGAAAATAATTGTATCAGAACCTCTTGTCAATTTATGCCTACCGCTGTTACTCACGTCTTGCTTATTCCTCTGTTTAAGTTGAAAGCAGATCTTGTTCTCAAGCTGTGGACCGATGATCCTGAATTCCAGATAGCTACAGGGTTGGATGGTCTAATGTCCAGCCATCCGTACTATAAAAAAAAAATAAAATACATAAACATTTAAACATTTCTTTTCAGCTTTGATGAAATTCACCTTTCCCTTATCTTCCTCGCTTGAATTAAGAGCAAGCGTTTCAACAATATTTGCTATTATACTAGTATCAATAATAGGATTTCTTCGTACGTCAAAAATAACAATTTCACTGTCAATCTCGAGCAGTTTTTGTATTAAAGTACATCCTCTGTCAGTTATTCCGCAATTTTGCATATCAATGGCTTTTAAATTAAAACTTTTTTATTTAAAAAAATAAAAAATGCAAGTACAATTTTGAATAATCAAATTATTTTACCTTTGATCCAGTAATCATCAAACAGAACATCAATAATGCAACGAAGCCCTTTGTCGCCAATGTCTGGATTATTGTTGATTGTCACCCTTCGAAGGCCAGGTATTAGTTCATTTGGTACTTCCCGATATCGCAGAGAATGTTTCCAGCATTCTCCGTACCTGGCGATCTCTTGGACCTGGGAAAGTTTACGTATATTTAAAAAAAGCAATTTCTTAATTTTAATTTTTTTCTCTCTAAACCTTCAACAGTTCTGCGATACTGGCAGCACCTTTTTCTGAAAGGTTGTTGTTCGATAAATCAAGCGATACAAGAGAAGCTGTGTTTCTTATTGCCCTGCATAAAATTTCACAATATTCGTCACCAATTTTGCAAGATGGTAAGGACAGGTGCTGTAGAGATTTTGTGACCTCAAGTGCCTGCAGGTAAAGAGGTCGGTCTGAACAAATTAAATTTTAAAAAAACAAACAAGGATTGAATAAAAAAGTGTCTTAAAACATAATTAAGAACATCTAAATTGTGGTGCAGTCTATGCAGTGATAAATGAATTAATCTCGCTGATAGACCAGTAAAGTTGATAACATGACCAGATGAATTTTAATTTTTCAACTTGCCATAAAGACATCCACCTTTGAATATTAGGACTTTGCAAAGTGTGCTTTACTGTGTAACTTGGTGGGTCTTACAAGAACCTGCTTATTTCATGTCAGACAATTGTCATTATTGCTTAAATAAATATGTTTTTGTAACAGTTCTCATGATACTATTTAACAAGATTAGTTAAATAGTACTTACTTTCTCTTTGATCCAATAAAATGTTTCTCACATGTTGTTATAGGTCAGACTTTTGTCAAATAGTAGATGGAAGAAAAAGTTAAAAGAAACCAATAATGACGTAAAAATGATTAAATTGTTTTGAAAATTTACATCTTTTAAACTAAAGTAAAAGTAATTCCAACAGTTCACAATACTTTATTAACTAGTTTCTATTAGAAAGCTATGAACTGTGCCAGGATTTGAACCTAGAACCTCTACTAGCAAGTTAGACGTCCTTACCAATTGACCACCATAGTTTAATATTTCAATTTATCTGAAATTTTCCTTTCATACCCATCATAAGAACCTTGCTCTCTTAGTTCAATCGTCAGCAAATTGTGCAACAAAAAGATGCGACTAGGAAAAGCAAAAAAAGATGGTGCCTTTAGGGACTTTTGCTGTATGTCAGACAATGCTCCAGTCTATAGCATACATTGTACAGCACGCATCCTGTCCAATTTACTGAAGGGTACGAGGTAATGAACATAATCATTTCTGGCCATCCCTGTCTGCCCATCTTAGGAGGAGACAAAGTACAAAATGGACAAAATTATTCAAAAGTAGTTTTACTTGCTTTCTGCAGGTCCCGTTCTTTATAATGTATTTCATGTATCTGGAATATGATCATTAAGTTTTAACTTATACTTTATTTTGTATATAAGAGAATCCATGATTATTTTGAGTTATTTCATCCATATTTCTAGAGGCAGGGATCAATAGTGAAAATTTCAGCCTAACACAAGTTTTAAGCCCCACACCTTCAATTTTCCAAGTTAAAATCCATACAGAAGAACTCTATGAAGAAATATTTAAAAAGGATTAAACAGTGCACAAATTTGTGTCACAGGCGGGATTTGGACCCACAACTTTTGGCAAATATGCCACTGCTCAACCGCTTGAGCTGCCATGACTTCGATCACCCATGCCACAAACTTTTCATTTTGACTGCCCGTTTATTTAAATTGTGAGCAAATCGCGGCTTCATATAGAAACATTTTTATTAATGATGGTACTACATTAGGCTGTAACAAAAAATTTTCATTAAAAAAAATTGTGTTTAATTAATAGAGTAAAAATAATAGGCCTTTATACTAGCCATTTCCTATTCAATAGACATCTCAAAAATAGAAAAACTGAGACAGAAACATGACAACTCTGTCATGAGGAAACAGAAACATTGGAGTATGCGACTGCAACGAATTGCCCGGAAATAGTACATTCTGATGCCAGAAAGAATAAAGAAAAAAGAACCCTGGAAAATTCCACATTAGTTTAAGGGCAGTGTATTTTTTAAGGCTTTGATATAAAAAAAAAGGGTCAATTCCACAATTGATCTTTTAGGTTGAGGTGGAAGAAAAGATACTTAAGTCACCAATGACCACGAAGAAGAAAAAAAATTCAATATATCGAAATTCTCTTCAGTTTTGAGAAAGCATAGTCATAGACATCATTGGCAAATCATACTATTGTTGAATACAACTGGGGAAGTCATAAAAATGGTTTATAAATAGTTCAAGGAAAATGCCTTAGTGCTAGTTAATTGTTTAGTTGTTTCTGATCATCCTGATGTGCCTATCATCACTGTTTTGGTCTGTCAGGCATGAGTCATGATTTGGTAAATTGTATCTTCATCGGTAAGTTTGTGTGATTTTTGTTTAGTTAAGCCCCTAACAGACAGGAAACAAAAAACACACTTTAATGAGAAATCTCAGTATAAATCAAACTGCATTTTTGGTATTAGGGGACATTTAATTTTGGTAGAATCATGTTCAGACCAGAACAGTGTATAATAAATTGTGAGATGCAGTCTGGTGTGATGTAGGTTTCAGAAAAACATTTTATCGTGCCAATGGGCCTGGGATTTACAAAGATTGTTTACATTTAACAAATACATGTAGGATGTGGAAAAAAATATATTTGTTAAATTTAAACAATGTTTGTAAATCTCCTGAAGATGATCTCAATAAAGATTGAAACGTTGGCACGATAAAGAAAATGTTTTTCTGAAACCTACATCACATCAGACCGCATCTCACAATTTCCAAATAATCATCGACTAACTGTCACTAATCACCATAGTGTATAACAAAATTTCTCATACCAAAAAAAAAAAATTTACATACAATTTCTTTGGGTGTTTATTATATAATTCTAATGCCTTTACAATGTTCAGTTCTAAATAAAATAATTTTATCATTTTTGTAGTTTTAACAGTACTGATTAAATTATAAAAATCATATGTTTATAAAAAGAAATAGTAACATTACATGGAATTTCGCTTACCCCATTCAAAATTTGAATTGGTTCTCCATGGAGTGGTAGCATTTGCAATTGAAGACACATCAACGCCTTTGACTGGGACAAGCATTCGGATAAAGCGTTCATTAAATTGATCAACATGAACTTAGTGAAAATGACGGGCCCTTTGGTAAATTCCTTTACTTTCTTCTCACAGTTTATTTTATCCAGCATTACTGTGAAATGAGAAAATTAAAATGAGGTGTAGAGTAAGTTGAATACTCCAATAAAAGACAATAAAAGAATTTACCACTCCCTGAAGATAAATGACTTCTTATGCCGATGTAATGCAAAAATTTATCTCCTGCAATGGCCTTTGTCAATGGAATCCAGTCCTCATATTTTATCCTATCTCCATTGAATGAAAGAATATTTCGAGATAGATGAGCTTTTATGTCCCGTAAAGGCTGGGTGTGGTGTGCTTTGCAGACATAATCATAGCAGTCGGAGAAACTGTGGCACATGGACCAGTTGGTTTTAAAGCTTGTCGTACTCCCTTCAAATGAAAAATATGTCAATATAAAGAACTATTTCATAAAATTATAAAGGAATTAAGAACACCTCACCTCTACTGCTGATACTGCGTCTACTGCTTCCGCAAGATTTGACCGAATCCGGCATTATTTGATGATTTTCAAACAAATGCGATAATTTGCAAAATAATTTACTTTGAGAAAGGAGATCTTTTAAACAAAAATCAATGGACTAACTATTAGAGAACTAATCTAAAACAAACATTAATTAAATCAAAATGTAAGAAAATAAACCTTATGTTTACAAGTATGATTTTATTGATAAATTATAAAAAATATTTAAAAAACTTAAAATATAACAAATGCTGTATGTTAAGCATTTGACAAAACATTTGCTTGTGTTACTAAAAAAACATAATGAAAGGGCAATGTTATTTGGTACCGCAGTTGAATTTCAACTGGTTAAACGATAGCAATTTTTGACAGGTCAAAAGTGTTGAAAATTGTTTAGCTAGAATGATTTATTTATCAAAACTGCATGTCAACTTTTTAATGCAATTAATAAAAACCCAAATTTTATTTTAAATAATAGAATTTTTTTCTTATTTAAGCTAAGCTATTTTTTTTTAAATTAATTTATTATTATTATGATATTTGCTCACAATTTCTAGCTTTCATTGTGATTATAATAATCAAATATGCTATTTGAATGTAAATAAAAAGTACACAAGCACATGTTTTGCAAGTAAATTTCTACTAGAAAAATAAATAAAAATATAAATGAATTCCTATACTACATCAATAGAACAACAGAATAAACAAAATTTGAAGACGATCCAAGAGAACGAGGCAAAGAAGTTGTTACAAGATATAAAAGTTTTAGCGGCGACTATTGAATGGAGTAGGCAAGAACGGGGCTTTATTGATGAAAGCCTCGAGTCGCCTCAGGTGAGGCTGAAGTTTTCAAAATCTTCAAATCTCAACGATGAAATCAAGGATCTCAAGGCTGAGAATCACACCATCCAAGTGCACGTCAAGCCATTGGCTCAGATGTTCCTTGACAAGAACATGTCGATTTTTGACAATAGAAAACTCATCAAAGATATAAGCAACCTTTTTGTTCTTCCTAATTTGAAAGATGAGGAGTACAAAGACTTTCATACTTTGAAGAGACTGCTTGAGGCTACTTACAAAAGCATTATTAAGGCAACACTTGACCGTATCGAGCTTGAAAATAAGACAAAAGCTATTGAAAACAGAGGGAAAGAATTGGGTGAAAAATATGAATTTCTATACGTCTCTTGCATAATGACGGAAGACTTCAAGCAACAAGATAGCCTTATGGCGAGTATAAAAAGTTTGGAGATAGAGAATGATTATTTCCAGAGCGAAATTAACAGATTAATCGAACAAGTTGAAGGACTCCAACAAAGTTATTCTCACTTGGACACATTGACACTTGCAAATATAAACAAAATTTGTTCGGAAACTTTTGGAAAAAGACTAGGACTTCTCCGCCTTCTCTATCAGGAGGACAAGTCTGAACTTACTAACGAAGATCTTCTTTCACGCAAGGTAATTTTCCTTTGGAAATTATTTCTCACTGATGATTACAATTTTCTATTTTTCAGTTTGCCTCTGACAAAAGGAAAGTAGAAAAGATTAAAGAAGAATGTGACAATGGGATAAACAGAAAGAAGCAAGAATTGAAAGAGTTAACAGCAACATGGGACAAATTGCAGATTTTGAAAAAAAAATCTCCCAAAGTGCATAGGTAAAAAATGTGCATTTTTGTATATAAATAATATCAAATATAAATACAGATTTTAAACAAAATAATCTATTTAAATCTTTATGGAATAAAATCAGCAGAATAAAGAACAAAAATCATGTTTCAGTTAAAAATAAATGAATATCAGGAAAAATGGCTAGGGCCATTATCTGGGTGGCAGAATTAATATTACAATTTTAAATAAAAAATTAGCATATTTAGAAAAAATACAATTGCAGTAATGTAATAATACATTAGCAATAAATGAGTCAAATTTCCAAGCTGAACATGGAAAATTATTCTTCACCACCAAATTTTTATAATTTGGTCCTACATGTCATCTTATTTGATTTCATTAATTTAAAAAAATATGGGTAATTTTTTTTAAATAAAAGACAATTTTTTTATGTTAGGAGAGTTTGACGGAGACAGTGACATTGACATCAATGGATTTTATGTAATGTGACAGAAATGTGATTCTATAGTTTGCAGAAAAGGGAGAACAAAAATGAAATCACTCTTTCATTAATATAATAATAATAAATTAGCAATAAATGAGGCAAATTTTGAAGCTGAATATAAAAAATTTTCTCTTCGCCATCTAATTTCTTAAACATTTGGTCCTATATGCCATTTTGTTAGATTTGAATCATTTAATTAATTTTTATAGACATGATTTTAATTTTTTTAAATTTTAACAAGTGAAAACAATGCCTTATGTTAGATGAATTTGGCAGCGACAGTCCTACATGTTCGTTGTCATCGATGTCAATGGTTTATGTAATGTGATCGAAATGTGTGATTCTATAGTCTGCACTAAAGGAAACGACAAAAATGTAATGCAACCACTCTTGTTAATAATATAAGAATAAATTAGGAATGAATGAGGCAAATTTTGAAGCTGAATGTGAAAATTTTCAATTCTTCAACCATCTAATTTCTAACAAGTTTGGCCCTACATGTCATTTTGTTTGATTTGAATTATTTTATTAATTTTTACAAACATGATTTTTTTTTTTAATTTTAACAAATGACAACAATGTGTAGTTATGTTAGATGAGTTCGACAGCGACAGTCATACATGTCAATCACCGATGTCAATGGTTTTATGTAATGTGGCAGAAATGTATGATTTATAGTCTACAGGAAAGGCACAACAAAAAGTATAATGAAATCACTCTTGCGTTAATATTATAAACAAATTAGCAATGAATGAAGTAAATTTTGAAGCGGAATGAGAAAAATTTCTCTTCACAATCTAATTTCTTATAAGTTTGGTCCTACAAGTCATTTTGTTCGATATGAATTATTTCATTAATTTTTACAAATGTAATTAATGTTTTTTTAAATTTTAATAAATGACAATGCTTTATTATGTTAGATGAGTTTGCAGTGACATAGCTTTATGTCAGTCATCAATGTCAATGGTTTTATGTAATATGATAGGAATATGTGATTCTACAGTCTGCACTAAAGATAACAACAAAAAATGTAATGCGATCACTCTTGTATTAATGTAAATTAGGAGTGACTGAGGCAAATTTTGATGCTGAATGTGAAGAATTTCTCTTCACACTCTAATTTCTTATAAGTTTGATCCTACTTGTCATTTTGTTTAAATACTTTGCCAATTAATTTTTAAATAATAGAAAAAATGGATAAATGATTTTTTTTTCCATTTTAATGAATGAAACTACTTGTTATGTCTGACAATGCTATATGTCAGTTGTCATTGACTCTAAGGGTTGTCATGTGTGATATAGAAGACAGCGCCATTCTGTTATATTTATAGTCTACTGAATAAATGACAAAAAAAGTTTGTCAGTTTAAATTACAAAAAAATTAACGATGAAAGTGCCTGTCGAGTCGATATAAACGAAAACAGAGAGAAGAACCCCTTTTGAAACAGGAGGTCGAGCCCGAAAAAAATTGATTTTCCCTTGAACCCAAAGGCTTTGAAAAGGTTACAAACTCGGCTCGACTGTCAGCTCAGCTGTTGACACCCTCGGTTGAAATAGTTTTTGTCTATTTATTATGTAATTTATGAGGACGTCTCCTCGGAATTATGCTCGCCGGGGACAGGTGGATCGCCGCCGAGAGGATTTACCAGGAGTCGGTGACCTAGGGGGAAAATGGCCAGAGAACGACCCTAGATTTCCCCAAGAGACCAACCACCGAAAACACTTAGAGGTACAGCCCTTTCTTTTATTTTTCTAACATAAATCCTGCCGGTGAAAGTTCAACGATGTTTGCCTGCTAAAAATAACGACATTCCTGGTATGAAATTTTCCCTCGAATTGGACAAAACCACTGTAAACAAAGACCAAAAGTCAATGGTTTACCATTCACACTCAAACAGATTGCAACCATTTTTTAAAATAAAACAAAATTAAAAGTAAAATAATCACAATATTCTTGTCGGTAAAAGGTTAAAACATACTAAACATAATAGTATAGTTTGTTTCATTTCATAATTTCACCATGTACAAATAAAAAACCCCCTAAAAATGCCTACAATATCTTTTTATAGTATTCAGCTTAACAAAACTGTCATATTAGTTTTCAGGCTAGTTTATATTTTTGACAGGAACCTGAAAACAAGTTTCATGTCGAAGACACAACAGCGAAGAAAGTTTAATAATTTAAACATATCTTTATTATTTTACAAGTATTACAAACGTTGAAGAGATGAAAGTACATTTTTGCTTTTTTTCATTAGACAAAAATGCCGAAGGATATTTCGATGTTCGAGTATTCGGCTATTTGTCCCCTATTATTAACTATTAAAACAATATAAGTGAACAAAAATACTCTTCGAGCTTAGAAAAAAGGTTGTCTTAGCTTGCAAGGGTGGAATGTTTCTAGGACATTTTCACCATAAAGATTAATACGACTTAAGTGATTGAAAATACTCATTTACTTCACTGATGGACAACAGTAATGCTCCACGAGCCTCTGGCACGAATCGTGTCTATTAAACACCTTTGCATTCCATAGAAAAGATTTCTAAAAAATCTTTCCCATTCATCAAGAACAGCCGTTTCCAACTCTTTTAGAGTGTTAGGACCTGGGTTCACTGACGTACTCGTCACTTAAATTGGTCCCAAATGTGTTCGATTGGGTTCAAATCTGGACTTTTAACTGGCCAACCAAGCACTCAATTCCAACCGCATTCAGGTAGTCACAATACGTGCTCTATGGGGCCTGGCATTATCCTGCATCAGCAAGAATCTCACCGATGTGGACGGCAAATGGCACTACATGTTCTTTGATTATGTCTTGTAAGTACTTCTGTGAAGTTAGAGATCTTCCTCACACAACAACCGATTCGGTGCCACCACAGAACATTAATGACCCACCAATGCCACTTGAGGAATCATACACCCTGGGGCATACCATTCTTCTGAGTGCCTGTATATGAAATTACGCCCATCTGAAGATTTGAGACAACTCTCACCTCATCTGTAAAGATAACACAACCCTAATCTTTCAATTGTGTCCAATTCCCGTACGAATTGAAGCCTGGATGTTTTCTGAGCTCTGATAAGAAGAAGCTGGGTGCCAGGCACTGAGGTTATTTTCATTGAGCCCTCTTCTTACTGTCTTGGAGAAAATCGAAACATTTCACACTTGTCTTATCATATTTCTTATGTAATGCTATAAGATCCTCATGATGGATGAATCTGTTGTCTCTCTCGTATGTAGACCAAGTTTGACCCTGTCCTTGCTTTCTAGAATGAAGCCCTGTATGTCTGAAGCATTGAAGAACCTTTACTTTTGCAGTGATTTACATTCACTCTCCTAGCGACTTTGCGCTTGCTATATCTGTTCTCTAATAATGTTATAATGTTACGATCCTGGCACTGTCATACTCATTCAAATGCCTGACTGGAGCCATTGAAAAAGGTCTAAGAATATCAAATGAAATCAATGAAGGAAAAAATTAACTGACAGTGAATAGAATGGCATAATACTACTTTTGTGCAAATTGGATTAATCATTATAATAAAACTAAATAAAGGAAGTAAACAAAGCATTATTTATGTTTGCTAATGTAGAAAGATAATGGATTTAATTTTAAACTAAATAAATTGAGTGGTGCGTTAAAATTGTCCATCAATGTATATCCTTGGGTTGAATTAACTATGAAAGTCTGTTTAGATAAAAATATGCTGAAAATATCAAGAAATCAATTTTCAGAGATTGTAGCTTTAAACGCTATGTAGTTCAGATCTTTCAGAGTGGTATGCCTCTAGGACATCTTCACCATCAAATTAAACACAATTTATGAGAATGAATAAATCTCATCCTTGGCTTGAATTAACTGTGAAAATCTCTCCATATTAAAAGATGCTAAAAATATGAAAACATTATTTTCTGAGATTTTTGCTTTAAACAAAATAAAGTTTGGATTTGTTAGGCTGGTATAATTCCAGGACTTCTTCACATCGAGATTGAGACGATCAAAGAGGACAGAAATACTCATTTATTATTTTGTTGGCTTGAATTACAGTGATAGTCCCTGCATATTATGAAAAAATATTTTGAAATTGTTGATTTTTTAGATTTTTGCTTAAAAAAGAAAACTATATGAAATCTTCACTTTTCATAACTTGAAATAAACTGCTGTTTTGACTCTTCAGGGTGTGGTATACTTATAGGACATGATAATAATCAAATGTTTCTCTTTAGCAGTTAGTAAAAATGTTAAAATAGCATGGCAAAAAAAAAAAAATGCGGTCTGGATAATTATCATTAATCACAATTTCTGAATAATTATCGATTAACGGTCTCTAATCACCACACATTTCTACACAATAGTGAAAATGTTATCAAAAAATTGCATGAGATCTTCACTTTTCTCAGTTCTTAGCTTTTAAAAAAAACTGTTGCTTTGACTTTTCAGAGTAATATTTCACAATATAAGAGGATGAATACACACAATAAAAATTGAGGCTTTTCAGGGTGGCCTGCTTATCACCATCATCAAAATTAACACAATTCCAACTACTCCTTTATCATTTCTTTGGATATATTATGGTTCTATATCTACTATGACAGTATATGTCGAAAAATAGTATGGTATGCTTATCATCATCATCATCCACATTAAGACAATTTAAGAGGGCAAAAGTACTAATTTATCATATCTTGATTTAAATTCACTGTAAAAGTCTGCATATGAAAAAACGTTGAAAAATAGCATAAAATCACTGCTTTTCTTAGTTTGTAGTTGAAGCAAGGACTTTTCAGGGATAAAGACTTTAAAGATTATACTAAGAAATAGCGTAAAATTGCTACTATTTTGTAATTAAATTTTAACTTTAAAAAATTATTGTTTTGGTCTTTTTTGGGTATGCTTAGGTCATAATTATCAGTATTAACAAAATTTAAAATTATTGGACATATTTTGTGTTGTATATCTACTGCGACAATCAGTGTATATGTAAAAATGCGTAAAAATAGTGTATAATAATAGCTATTTTCATTTTCTCATTAAATTGTTAATTAGTTAGATATTTCCCCCTTTTTTTGTACATGTAAATAATAGCATAATTAGTGGAAACAAAAATAACATCTCCAAGAAATTCTTAATGTCAAGCACACCCAAAACTGCCATATTGACTTTTTTGACTAGCTTAGATTTCTGACAGGACCTTAAAGTTATTAATATTGTCATTTTGCTTCATTTCTGAAAGACAGAACAGCTAAAAAAGTAATATAATCTTTAAAATTGATAAATAATGTGGCTTTTCATTGGGCAAGTATGTCTTTTGTTACAGGTTGTAAAAATGTTTAAAAAATTACGTAAAATCACCACTAATCTTGTCATCTGACTTACAAATTTTTTATTGCTCTGACTTTCTATTTTTTTATTTATTTTTTTTTTAATGGCCTTATTTAGCCAGAGTACCTATTCTGTTGATAAATCATTTATAGTTTTTTTTTTTTTATATCATGCTGACCACTCGGCTACTGCGGTCCCCAGACCTTTGTGGTTGGGATTTTTACATATCATTATCAGGTTTAACATTGCTTTAAGAAAGTAAACATTTATCTTTTATCTTAGACATGCATAGTTTTTGTTTGTTTTAAAAACAGGAAAATAGCATCAAATTGCCACTTCATCTAGTTAGCTTTTTTAAAGTTGTTTTAACTTTTCTGGATAATATATCATTATCATTGAATGGTCTTAATTTGAAAGGGGAAAATGCTCATATATCTTTAACTAAGACAAATATAGAGAATTTAGTACACCTTGGTGGCCGAGTAGTTAGGGCGTCCAACTTGTATTTGCTATGCTTGTGGTTCTGGGTTTGAATCCTGACACAGCAATTTGGAATTTTTAAATTGGTAGTAACATGTAAAAGGGGCCCCTCATCCATGACACCCAATATGAATTATGTTATGTTAGTTTTTACATTACTTTTTACAGACATATTGTAGTTTCTGTGAGCCCATATTAATAAGTCAGGAAAATAGCACAAAAATTGCCAATCTTTTTTTAGTTTTTCCTTTTCTGACTCATTTATTGACAAGGCAGATTGTATAGATAACCCCTTTGTTATACATCTAGAAAACAGTATAATTTAACAAAATAAATCTAGATCCCTTTTCCTTGGCAAGCATAGTTCTCCTATTTCCAATAACAACCTGTGTTAATTCAATCAACATTCTAATGTATTTTGGGTACAAAATTTTTCTTTTCTTAGTATTTGCTAAATTAACTAAGTCATCATATCAAGTTTTCTTGTTAACTTTTTTAGGCAACTATAGTTTTACATTGCAAGAATGTGTTAAATGCATGTTCTTCTTCTCATGTTAAAAGAACAAAAAATGCATACCTTTTTTCTCACATTCAATTTTTTCCATTTCCTATGACACCAGGTATCCATGATTTAAATGTAGATTTTTAGCATCTTTTACTGACTTTTTTCTAATCTGTTGGCACAGCAGATCATTTATGTTTATTAATTTGTAGTAGAAGGCACCACATATAGGAAAAAAAATCCTGGATGTTTTGTTACGTAGATCTCTTAAGTTTTTATGACTTATGTTGACGAACTAGCCACAAAAGCTTTGTAAGGTTTTATAATTTAAGGAAACAGCAACTCACTAAAAAAACAAAAACAAAAAAATTATGTTTGATGAAATCATCTAATCATTAGTTCAAATGAAATAAGGGATTTAAAAAAAAGTAGAATGAACTGAGTTTTATAATTGATATCTTTCCTTTTTCTCAGAATGTGTGAGTCTGTTTGTAAATTGATAATTTAAATCTCCTTAATTTCAATTTAAAAAACTCTTAAAACGAAGGAAAGGCTTAAGATTAGTCAAGATAAAGCTTCTGTGAGCTGTGCACTATATAAATTATTTCAAAGTGCAAGTTATTTGTTACATATTAATTATATACAACATTAGTTAATATTCTATCTTTTCTCCAGAGATTTATAATTAACAGCTTTACTTCAAAGCTCATACAATTTTATTTTTTCCAGGATGACTAGATTTCACTAAGGATGGGAGGGACTGTGAGTCACTTCTTTCAATCTGGAAGTGCTCTCCTCTCGGCTGGAAACCACAGGGGCTGCTCTGAGAGGACAAGAGAAAAGATCCTCTCCGTCTTCGGAGCTCTGCGGGCCAATCCGAAAGTAACCGCACACCGCCTAGACTGTTTCCTATCTGATATCAATAAAGTAAGCCGTGTTGAATTTATAAAATCGGCTTGAAATAATGTCGGTTTTTTAGAGTGAAAATATACTTCTGGTTCAAAATGAAGAAGGCTACAACCTTCTACAGCAATGTGTCGGTATCAACAATGTCGACATGGTTAGATGGATCCTTTCGAGAAATACCGACCTCAACCGTGGACCTTGCTCGTTTCCTCTACACATCGCTTGTTTAAAAGGGTGTGCAATTCATTTGAAAGATTCAATAAATAACATTATTTAAAAAAAAATCTTGTTAATAGGTATGAAGAATGTGTTGAATTGCTTTTAAAGCATGGAGCTAGGATTGACGTTGATGCAAGAATGTGCTGGCCTGGTCCGCATAACCCTGCATGTGAGGAAAGGGGAAAGTATGGTGAGTCAATCTACACATAACATACTTTAAAAAATATATAAATATAATAAATAAAAAAAATCTGCTATTTTCTACCTGGTTCTATTTTGTCTTTTAATAATAATAATAATAATAATAAAAGATGATCAGGAATGAAAAAATGAAAGTAAAAATTGTACTACATTTAAAACATTGCTTAACATTAAAATTGTATAGGGGTACCTGTTGACCGGGCATTCCGCTCAAGTGAAAAACTTCAAAGTGCCATTTGTTATGCTATTGATGGAGATCAGGTCAGGAAAAAAATATTAACTCATCCAATTAAAACAGATTTTTACTTAATAGAATTTTTTAAAATTCAAGGTCGATATACTTGAACTCCTGATGCAGCAAGGGGAAGATCATTGGCTGCCATGGCAGCAGAAAAGGCCTCTGCTCTACATGGCGTGTGAGCGAGGTGCATGGAACTGTGTTAAATATCTTGTTTCAGAACGATCTGATGAGATCAACCAGTGCTGTGATGAGTATTATCCTATCCACCAAGCTGCCCTACGGCCTATTAAGTTCTTAGAGTTATTAATAGGGTAATGATTTTAATAATTGTGTTAGTTAAGGTATTTTTGATTATATATAAAGAATAAATTTTGTTTTAAAAGATGTGGTGCTAGTACGAGCGTTTGTACGACCACGACTCAAATGACTGTCTTGCATTTGGTGTTTCTGATTGGGAAAAAGAGTGCAGAAGAGACCTTACAGACATGCAAACTCCTCCTGGACCACGGCCTCAGGGAAAAAATAAACGAGCCCGATTCTCTTGGCAATACGCCTTTGCACGGCCTCATAGTCAGATACGCTTTGGAGGAGGCGAGGTACAGCTATGACTCGGATAACCAACCCTGGAACAAATGGGACGTCCTTCATTTGGTAGACAAAAATTCACTGATTGTTTTATATGTTTTGATTTAAACCGACATTCTTGATATTTCAGGTAAGGTATTTGTTACAAAATGGAGCAAGACCTTCAATAAACCAGCCTGGGAATAGTGCTTTGGCATGTGTTTTGAGGCATGTCAGAGACTGGGAGTTTCGGTATGAGCTTTTAAACATGCTCCTGCAAGAAGGCGGAGATCCGAATGTGGTTGGAAGAGACGGTAGCGTGCCTTTGATGGTCTGCTTGGTACCTTTAATTAACAAAGATCCCCTTCACCATTTCACTCACACAATGAAGGTTCATCAAAAATCAGTCTACAAAGAAAAACCTTCAATTGCTTTAATCATTAAAGTAAATCGATTAACAATTCTTTTTCAGGTTTGTTATTTAAACTGTGTTAGGATCCTCCTGAAAAAGGGGGCAAATCCGAACTGTGCCTCCAGGAGCAATTTGACCCCTCTGCACGTTCTGATGTTCTCTGCGAATGAAAACATGAACCTGGGCAGGGACGTGGAACAGAACATGGAATTTATAAGGAGCCTACTCGTCCTCCTGTTACAGTTTGGTCTCCAGACCAACATACACATCTCGAGCAGAACCCAGCACATCCTTCAGGCAATGCTTGACATGGTGTCTTCTTCTCGCAACCCCCAAGATATGCAACACGTTTACAATTTTACGCTGACCTTCCTTCAGGTTTGTTATTTTTAAGCAGAAAGCACAAAAAGGTTTAAATATAAAACAATATAACAACAAAAAAGCTATGGGTGTAGGATTACCAGTTCAAATTAAACCTTTTTTTTAGTGATACTAGGTCAAAATTATTAGATGTGTCAACATTCTTGCCAGTGGGCTTAGGGTTCAAGAAAATTTTTGTTTTAAAAGTAATTTAAATAATTTTTTCAGATATATTTTTAAAAATTCTTATTCATAAGACATTATATGGAAAGTCATATTAAATAAGATTATATATATAAAAGTTACAAAAACAAAAAGACGCTTCCAGAAAAGTAAATAAAAAATGTTTTTGTTAAATAAAAAATCATATTCACTTCCAGCATCTTTTAAAACTATTAGATATTAAAAAAAGAAATATTTTCGGGCTGGATCAGCCAAAGGCAATTTTTTTCTCGCAGATGTCCAGGGTTCCACATAAAAATTCAAAATTCTTCTGGAGTTTAACCAAATTAATGTTATTAAAACCATTGGAAAACTGAATATTTCTTCTTTCAGGTCAACGATATTAAGATTTTATGTCTATATAAATGATAGAAATAAATGTGTGATGTTTAGTGATTGTTAATTAATGATTATTTGGAGATCGTGAGATGCGGTCTGGTGTGACTTAGATTTAGAAAAATATTTTCTTTATCATGCCAACGGGATAGAAATAAGGATGAAGACAACAAAAACTGCAAATATTTTATTTGTACAGTTCTAGTTTATTTACGTAAGCTTAGTTTATGCCATTACTTTTTTCATGCAACGCCATTACACAGGATCCTAAATCGCTTTAGTTTCTTGTAGATAAGAAGGGTAGTTACAAAATTATCACTGTTTTTGTGGGTTTTTTAATTGGAAGCAAAAAATTTGCAGTCAGGAATTTTTTTGTGGTGCAGAAAATTAATACTAAGGTTGTTTCTTGATTTAAAAAAATATATCAATCTGCAGGCAAGCAAATTACAGCTATCTATTGAAATACTAGACATATTATTTAGTGACTGAGTGATGTGGGTTAAATTTTTTTTTTAGGAAGAAACAAAGTTGATATTTGTGACACACACAAAACTCTGAATTAACTGATCGCAAAAAAATTGAAATTGTTTAATCTGTCATACTGACTCTCACTGCCCTCTCTCCCCTGGCCTATTTAAAAGGGCATAATATTGACATAAATCAAGATTTAAGTTTAAAATTGAATTTTCAGTATGGGGCTAACCCTGATAATTGCATACCGTTGCCTTCTTCAACTTGCGAAACTTCAGTCGCTTCTACGATATACTTGCGTTCGGCTGGCTCGCACCCGGTGCTGTACCACTATGTCATCCTCGTATCAAGGAAGGACGACTTGATTCTTGACCCTCAGCAGCGCTTCGCGTCTGTCATCTGGCTCTATGCACTCGCCATGGGCCACAAAGAGCTTTACTCGACCCTGAGCGCTCTTCTGCGTGCCCAGGAAGCCGGCGTCATCCCAGTCCGGGCGACAGCTCTCACCAGTCTACTCAAAGAGCTCAACACAAGGCCACGCACGCTTAAGCAGATTGTGAGGACTGTCATTTACAAGTCTATGGGTCGCTCACCCGGTCTATGGGTTAGTAAACTCCCCCTTCCAAACACATTGAAAGAATATTTGTTAAATTTTGAACCTTAAATAGCCATTTATTACAAAATAAAGATCTCATTATTGTTAATTTAGTTATGTTTTGTTTCATACTTTATTTTCTGACAACCTATCACTTTTTTTTAATTAATTTAACCAAAGATTTTTTTTTAAACTTTCATGTCTGATATGGCTTATAATTTTTAAAATTTAAACAATGGGGGAGTGGCAAGCTCTTGTAAATGGGAAGCTTCTAAGGCATTCTTATTTTTTTAGCCTGCTCATTATCTTCATAACACTGGATGTCATTAACATATAAAAAAGAAAAAAAAAGTATTGCTTAAAATAAAAATCGAGATAAAGTTTAGTTAAATATTTATATTAATGTTTATAAATGTTTATATATATAAAATGTTATATTTATATATGTAATTAATTCTTACATATATATTTATATATGTATTTTATTGTATGCAACTCCTTCTCATGTATAGTCCGAATGTTGCGCTTATGTTTGTATTTTTTAATTTTCATGTTTGTTCGTTAAAAAAATCCATACTTTAAAACTGCAATGGGTAAATGGTTTTTCTCGTTGTACATATTTAATAGGTTTTGTATTTTTTTTTTTTTTTTTTTTTAATATATTGTTTCAGTTTAAGTTATGTCAAAAGGTGGTGAGAATTTTTTGACAAAAATAATTTTTGTTCTGAGAAAAATGTGTCCTGAGTCTCTCTGTGTTGGTTTAATAGTTTTAATTAAATCGTTACTAAAAAAAAAGGGTGGAACACTTTCAGACCGGACAGCACTGGAATGTCTACTGTTATGTTGTAATGTTAGTAATTATAAATTGTATCCCGACTCTTGTTAATAATAAATATAGGGTATTGTAACTTTTTATTTATTTTTTAAATGGTATGAGTCCAATGCCTTTACATTGGTAAAATTTGTTTTATAATCGTTCAGTTGTCTTAATCGTTTATGAACGAGAAATTTGAATAATGCTTGAATTTTAAAATTTTCCCGATGTTATCAATTATGACTGATGACCTGTTTGACCGCACTTACAGTTTTAAGCAGTATTTTTGTTATGTCAACCCTGATAATCAGCAATATCAATTAGCCTCTAATGATTTAGAATATAAATAACTCTCGCAGTCTATGATTTGATGTATGGGTTTGCTATTAAATTTTAAAAGGATTTCTAACATAATATAAAATGATAAAAAGTAATATAAAAATTAAAATTAAAAAAGAAAAAGCACTGATGTTATTAAAACTTGATAATATTCTTTTAGCTTTTATGAGAAAAATATATATGAACATAAGTAAAATATTTATAAATAAAAAAATATATATATCTATATTAAAATTTCAATTCAGCAGATATATTTTGTTACATAATTAAAAAAAGTTTACTCAGCCAAAAACTGAATTTTAAATTTGAGAGAAATGACAGTTTTACATTTCTTCAATTTTTAAACTTTCATTGTATAAAATAAAAAAAAAGATGGATAGGTTTTATTCTTTTTTTGGAAAACGTGGCCTTTTGAAAGCACTGCTGAAAAGCCTATTCTTTTGGCCTACACTGATTATATAATTTTTTATTTTTATTTTTGAACACGCAAGGAAAAATTAAGGGCCTAAAATATGTTTGTAAGTCGTAACGAGCTTAAATTTTTTAAATTTTTGGTTATTTTTTTATTTCAATTTTTTATTGTGTGTATAAACAATCTTTTAACAATAGACCAAATCCCAAACTGCTTCACCCCCTGTTTATTATTTCCATGTTGATAATTAACTAATAAAGGCTTCAAGTTCGAGATTACTATTTGTAAAATACATAATTATTAATTAAAGAGTGCTGTGATAAAATACAAAAATTGTTTATAAGAATGAATATTGTTAACGATTTGTGCACTTTTCTTACTTATTGTAGGGTTTTTCTTATCTTCTTTTATGTAACTCGTAACATTGATTTTAAAAGTATGTTATGAACTTGTGTAATTTTTTGTTTGATTTGAAAATAATATATTTATGTATTATGTTCTCTTCCTTTTTTTTGTTACTGTATTTGTTAATTTACCAATAATCTAAACTGTTGAATAACTGTAGAATTCTTTTTATTTTCCCTAGTCTAAATGAACTTGGAATTTTTTTTCCAAAACCATGGACCGAAGAAAACAATTGGTACAAAACGGTGCACATTAAAATATTGAAAAATTCAGCGGCAAGATTTCTCCTTGGCGTCTGCAGAGTGATGAACCTGAAAACGAACTGAAATGATCAAAATTCAATGCCTGACAATATCAGTATGGATTCTGTCAGAATTGAACATGCTGGTTTACGTGGTTTAGGTGATGATGCTGCCCAACATGATTTATAAAATACAACAAATGCAATTAGCAAACCAATAAAAACAAACTTGTATTGTTTTCACCATAATTTTATTAACAAAAAAATCTTGCCTGCATTTTCATAAATCATAATGATGTATTAAACATTAAACTGTGATACAATTAGTTTGTATTAATCATAAATGGATTCCACATAATGTATAACTTTTTTGTTTATAGCCTTTAACCTCTAGGAACCCAAATACCACTTCTAATATCGGAAGCAAACCGCAGGCACCAGGCAGTTAAGATGGTGCCTGCCTCCCTCCTGGAGACAACATCCACCTTGTGGCCTGAGTTGGAAATTATAACTTCGACCCAAAAGCACATCTAAACAACGTTTTAATATTAGACTTTTTGGGTCAGCGGCCATGGTGACTCATCAATGTAAGGGTTTGAGGAATATGTACAGAATTGGCAGAAACAAGCTTATGGAGATACTGCCAGGAAGAACAGACAGCGAAACATGCCCTCTGTTGTTGCAAAAGCTTATGTAGGCTAAGATTCTTAGTTTCTTACTCCTGGAAGAGAGGAGATAAACCCAGGCCTTGAAAAAGCTTAATGAGGACTCTAGACAACAATTGAAATGCACAATAGACCAACACAGGTCGCAATATGCAAGTTGACTCCTTTTATAATATAATCTAAGGTTCAAATTTCAGCAGCCCTTAATAATTATAATATAATCTTAATTTAATTTTAACCTAGAATACTTACAAATGGGGTTTTATTCACTAACATAAACTAACCTCGCTAGTTTGTGTTTTGGCATTTTGTCATCGGTGATAAGTACATAATCTTTGCCGACGATGTATTCAATCATGTTGTGTACTTTGAAGGTACAGCATTGTTACATCAATAATAATTTACCCATTAACCACTTTCATGCAATATTTTTTTGTATATAGGTTACATGATGACTATTTTCATCATAGTGCATTTTGAAGCCCTAGATTTGAAGTATATAGCATAATTTATGGTGCATGGGTAATGGGAGAACCCAAAACCCATTATTTATATTTTTTTAAAATATATAGCATAGATATTTGATATCTCATCAATTATTACGACCATTTGAGTATTGTTTTATGCTTTAAAACATTAAAATGTTTAAATTATTACATTATAAATCATAGGTGATTATGTTAAACATCACTACTTTAAAGTGTATTGTAATCATCATGCCTTTTATTAATTTTTAATAGCAGATAGGTTAGGTACAAGAAAGTGTATTGTAAATTTTTAATCATCGGGTATTGTAGTTTGTCTTTCAAGCCTTCAACAGCATAATTGCTATTATGGTAGTATTGAATCAATCATCGCAGCTGTATTAAACATTTACTGTCCTTTATCTGTTTGCATAAATAATTTACATGGCCATTAGGTAAATGATGCTTGTTTTAAATAATCTCTACTACCATATAGTATAACTAATCATGGCTCATATGTAAATTGATTTATAAGTAACCTGCATAAGTAACAAGCTGCTATCAGCCTGCATGGGCCAAAAAAATCTTACCATGATAGATTCTTTTTTTTGTAATAGGGGACAGCAGTTGCTGAGTAGTTAGGGTCTCGTAGAGCCCAGTGGTGGGTGTGATTCCAGATGCCTCAAGAATTTCAACCCATTCCCCACCCCAAAATTCATAAAAAATTACACGAGGTTCAACTTTTTGTTAGACATGCCATACAAGCTTTTCCTTCTTAGGTCACCCTTTGTTTCATTTTGAACTAAACAGATATATTGTGGAAATGACTTTTCCTTCCATACCCTAGAAATTGTGCTATCCAATGTTCACTAAGACCATTTTACATGTTTATCATTTAGTAGGATGGTGGATATATATATTTTTTTTTAGATACAACTCACTCTTGGTGCCTCCTTGCCGAAGGTAGTTCACTTCCCACAGGTTCCTCTTTACTTATTTCCATAGTTGTATCATTCTTTCCAAAGTGGCTATACTGTTTCCAGTCATTTTGTTTAAGATTTTTCTATGTAAATTATTCTTTGTTTATAGGTTCGTAATATTTATTGCCAGTTTTTAACTATACCTGCAATTTTTAAGATATAAAAGCAAACGGAGAATGGTTGTAATCCTCATACAAGGCAATATTTGAAGATTTTTTTACCGACGACTCAGGTTTGGTGTGGATTTTTTTAATGATTGTGTACTTTTAACCTTTATTTAGTGTAAATTTAACCTTAATTTTTTTTCAAGTTTTAAATGCATTGTTGTAAATATACAGTGGCTTTTAAAATACACTAAAAATAATAAACAAAACAAAAATCTCTTTATTTTATGCATTTATTTATTAATTAATAAAAATTCTCAAATACAGAAAAAAGATAATTTGTATTTTAAAAAATAGGGAAAATGTAATGTTTCGTTTTGTTTTTAAAACAACACAGGATTTGTTTATGAAACATTTTTCTTTATTAACCCTTCTTTTTCACTTTCATCATGTAAAAAAAAAAATGAAAAATCAATATTGACGATCATACACAAATGAATAAAAACAATGTAATTTGTTTTTGTTAAAGTATACAATGCATGCTTTATTAACATCATATGTAACATATAAAACGAAGAAGTATATATCCAAGTTTACACTCTGGCCCATTGATAATAATGGAACGAACAGTTGTCCTGTTTTAAGTTGAGCATTGTCTTGGTGTGTCCGCAGATAATAAAAAACAAAAAATATATTGGCATTATGAATTGTAAAACAATCGGCTCATAATAAATAGAAAATTATCCTTGTAGTTTTCATATTCGAGTTATTTTTAGTAAAAAGAAAAAATAAAGTAACAGAACCAAAATTTAATCATTTTTTTCCAAATTTTTTTCTTAACTCTTACAAACTAAATACATTATAACAAATTATAATAAAGAAAATAATTCTTCATTAAACACTACAGTAAACACTACTCAATAATTAGAAAATAACTTTTTATTGTTAGAATCATTTGCTTGTTACAAGGCGCAAAATGGTATACAAAGTGGTTTTTTTTCCAATTCAATTTTTTTACTTAAAACGTTATCTTATAAAAAAAATCGACTTTCACAAATTTTACAGGAAACTCGCATTATTTACTTGATTTTGTAATCTGCCTCAACTTTACTCCTTTGAATTAGTCCATAGTTTTACAATATGTATTTTATATATATAATATATTCATATCAATAATCGATAGAGCTTAGAACAAATGAAAAAAATAATAGAATGCTAAGGAAAAACTAAGCCTATTTACACAGAACACACATTAATCTGACACCTCCTTTGTCAGTTTACTCCACTTCTTTTCTTCAAATCATCTCTTTACTTTTTTTACTCTATGTCTCTTACCTTTTGACGAAGAATAAAACAAACTATTCAAATACAAAATTATACTCTAATTTTACCATGTTATCGTAGTTCTTTTATTTATAATCTTTTTTAATAGTGGTGAAAAGTTATGTTAGGCACAGCATTTCTGTCAGATTTTGACTATAAATGTGGAGAGCATCCAAATATTTTTTTATATAATTTTTTTTGGATTTTTGTTTATGAGAGTATACATTTTTTTAAATTTGGGGTATTTTCATTTTTTTTAAATTTTTTTCCTTTTAAATATTCACTTATTTTATTGGGATACTCTTGTTAACCTGCGAAACGCTTGATGTGGTGACAATAGTATTTTCCAATATTTAAGAGAGGTCTGAAAAAAAAAAATTCATTTAAATTTATAAAATAATAATGACTAAGAAAATATTTAAAACTTACAGCTAGGGGCTGCAGACAGTTCAAAATGTCTGTGAAGCTGGTCATTTGAGAATTTGACAAATGCATCGTACTGCTCAGATAGTTTCAAGTTTAAAATGCGATCATACTCCTCTCTGAGCTGAGTCTCTCTTTCGCTTAGCATACGCTCACAGATCATTCCAACCTGTGATGGAAAAAAAATACAGTAGAAATATATTGGTTAACAATAAAAATTAATCAAATGCATTACCTGTCTAAATGTGAATAATGGCTTGTCTCGGGTGCTCGATGAGTAGGTGGTTGCAAAAGTGGATGAAGAAGGCGAACCAGCCGAGTCAGATGAGTCACTCTGCACCTCTTGATGGGGGTTGAAATGAAGCTGCCTTCTGCGATGTAGACGGCGAATTTCCTCTCTTATTCCAGCAGCCATCATTTCTAACAATAAATAAATTTGACCATTCATATAAAACAAACTGTGTCTAATGAAATATTCAATATGTCAAAAAATAACAAGGCCGTGTAAATTTTAACATGGCACCTACTTTAAACAAAAATTATATAAAAAGAATCATACGTTGTACATTAAGCCCCTTCTTTTATTTCCTGAAGGGATAATTGTTTTAATTAAATTACCTTCTGGTAGGTAAACCACCCTCAGGGGATAAAGGACTTAAGCCACCCTTTTTCCATAATGGCTCTTGGTTCATTTGCTAATTAAAAAATCAATATTTTTCCTCTGTTCTCTCATTACCTGTATAGACTATTTTATCAAAAATCTATACAACATTTTAACTATTTTAAATAACTAAATACAAATAGAATGAGCACTTATGAATGAATAATCCTTTAGCCAGGAGTGAGTCGAGAAATTAAACAAAATGCAAAGACTAAATATTCATAGCAAAACCTCAAATATTACACAAATGATGAATCAATGTATTAGCAATTGAAAAACCAACAACAAAACAGTAAGTGCTTGCCACATGGGGGAGAAAGAAAAAAAAACAAAAAAAAAACAGAAAATCCTAACTTTTTTTTTAATTTGGTGATTCACCGGTATCTGGAAGAGTTGGCCATGGGCTTTCTGGGATTCAAGAGGAGAAAGAAGCGGACATTAAATGGAGAATCCACAGAAAAACAATGAATACGTCACATCAACCTGATCTTACTCTTTCTGATTAGTTTTGGGTTGAGGCATCACTTTTTATGAATTTATCAGCCTGGTTGTGTTGTTTTGTATTTGTCTTTACAGATTTATCTCTTGTTATTTGTTTGATATTGACAGAAGGCAGATTCTTGAAGATGCATCCACAAAATATTTGTGCTGTCGCGTTGGAAATTATGAGTGAAAAGCGTGAGGTGTTTAATGACCATTAATTAATGATTATTTGGAGATCGTGAGATGTGGTCTTGTGTGATGTAGGTTTAGAAAAACATTTTCTTTATCGTGCCAACATTTTGATCTTTATTGAGATCATCTTTAGGGCCCCTGGGATTTATAAACATTGTTTAAATACACAATTACATGTAGGATGTGAAAAAAATCAATTTATACAATGATAGAAATTTTAGACTCAATCAAGGTATTTGTACTCATGCAAAGTTTTTGTTTTCTGTGTAATGTTTTTGCATAAATTTTACAATTCTTGTCTACTATCCTGGCCTTAAATTTTCAAAACTTCTATTAGAAACTGCTAAAATTACATCATATTTGTTTAGACTTTAGAGATCAAATTATTGAAGAATATTTTGAACACTTTGAATACTAAATTTTTAATTATTTTATCAGCTTCTATTTAAATATATATATAAATACTCAATTAATTGTAAACAATTTTTTACGAAATGAAAAATCTGTGTCACAGGCGGGATTTGAACCCACGACTTTCGGCTGAATACGCCGATGCTCTAGGGATGGTTAGGGAATATATCTTGGTCAATACTGTACAGTTGATCAAATAACTAGTTTTAAAGGTTAATGTTTCAGGATTTCCTGATGTCAAATTTAAGGAAAATAACACAACAAAGTGCCATCATGTCATTTGAAGGGTATGCTGAAGTGAGCGAGGAGGCTATAAGTTCGACAAATGTTAGTTTAAGTAGTGAATTTTGGACAAAGTTTAATGAAAGGGCTTAATGGTTTGCCTAGTATTAAAATTTATGAAAACGTTTCTTTTAAGTGGTTATTTTCTTATCTCCAGAGAAGGCAGATAATAAAATTTTATAAAAATTGCAACTATAAATTGTTAGTTTTTTGTATGTCTTGAACAATAAAGAACTTATGAATTGAGTTCAGGATGTGAAAAAAATGAATTTATACAATGATAAAATTTTTACACTCAATCAAGTACCTTGTAGTATAGTAGAGTACATATATCTTGATTGAGTGTAAAATTTCTATCATTGTATAAATTCATTTTTTCACATCCTACATGTATTTATATAATATGTAGACAATGTTTATAAATCCCAGGCCCTGAGGATGATCTCAAAGAAGATTGAAATGTTGGCATGATAAAGAAAATGTTTTTCTAAACTTACGTCCCACCATCACGACTGCATCTCAATCTCCATATAATCATTTTTATTAGCACCTTGTCATGTTGTTTCTATAGCCAAAAGTACATGATGCCTAACATTAATAAAGTCCAAATATAAATTTAATCGTACAGCCTCAAAAATTTGTCCCGTACTAAATTTGAACAATGGAACAGCTGAAGTCAGTTTCACCAGTCCAGGTGGTAAACGGAAGATACTCAAACCCGAACAAGCAGTTTTGTTGTTTAAAGGGCCATAAAGAATGAGGTGGTTTTTGTGGAAATAAATGCAATTTATAGTTTTATTGATGTATCACAACATGGTGAGACTTTAGTAAATTTCGGCTCAAAATGTGGTCAAATAGGCTTCATCTATTAAGTTATTTTTCAGTAATAACATTTAAGAAAGGTCAATGATTATGATCTCCTGCTATTAAATTGAAGAAAACATTATTAGAACGTTGTGGTGAAGTTGCATCAGTAAATAAGTATGAGGTTTTGAACTAAAATTATTAAAGACCGACTAAAAATTGGATTGTAGAGCATAATAAAGTTTGGCCCATACTAAAATTCGAACAAAGGAAAAATAGAACAGTCAATTTCTCTAGCCCAGGTGGCAAACAGTAGAAATTCAAATTTACGGTTATGTTGTTTAAAGGGCCATGCAGCATGAGTAGTTTTAGAATTAATCTTCTGTAAAGTTGGTCCGAACGTAGTCAAATAGCCTTAGGCTATTAATAAGTAGCAAATTTGTTCGTTACTAAAATTTATCGGACAAATTATGTTCTTAAGGGTTCGTGTTTACGATTTCCTGGTGTCAAATTGAAGAACCCCATTAGGTCCTTGTCATGTTGTAATTATTGACTTCAGAAACAACATGACGTTTAAAATTAATATAGTCCTATTATTGATAATTTAATGTGATGATACAGTTTCAAAACAGTTTGCCCAGAAATAAAATTCGACCAAAGGGAAAACTAAACGGTTAATTTTTCGAGTCCAGGTAGCAAACGATTGAAACTCGAACCCGAACAAACGGTTATGCTGTATAAAAGGGCCAAGAACCACGTGGGGACTGTTTTCTACCCAGTTATTGCTTAATCTTCTGTAAAGCTAGTCAAAAATGTGATCAAATAGCTCTAAACTAATAACAATTAGCAACGTTGTTGATTAAAATGTAATTTAACGGTCAGTACAAGTTTTTTGTTTAAAGATTTCCTGGTGTCAAATTGAAGAAAATCCTCTAAGAAACCTTGTCATGTTGTTTCTACAGTCAATAAGTACAACACGTCCAAAATTAAGAAAGCCCTAATAAAAATTTAATCATACAGACTTAAAATAAAGTTTGTACAATATTAAAATTCGATCAATGGACAAACGGGAAGCTCCCGAGTCCAGGTGTCCAACGGACGAAACTCTAGGTCGAACAAACGGTTGTTTTAAAAAGGTCTTTGAAATACGACAAGGTTGTTTTTGAACAATAAACTTATTGATAATTAAGTAGTTTTGTTAAGTTTTTAAATGTAATGTTTACGATATCCTCGTGTAATTTAAGATAACCTTATTAAAGCATTGTCATGTCGCAATAGTCAATAAAGAGTAAGGACGACGATGATTACGTTTGGACAATTATTACAGTTTAAGCTGTTTTAATATTTATTTACATGATGACTAAAATAAGCTAAGTCCGATTAAAAATTTGACGATTCAGCCTCAAAATAAAGTTTGCCCACTATTACAAATGACCAAAGGAAAAACTGAATGGTTAGCGCTCGAGACCTAGGGTTAAACGGACAAAATTCTTACAAACAGTTAAGATTTTTAAAGCGTGAAGGGGTTTTTTTTCTTGGTTGTTTCTGAATAATTACGGTTTCAAATGAGGGGTTAATCACATGATGACACTTCAGTTAAGTTCGATCCAAAATATGATCAAATAGCCTTAAATTATTAGTAGTTTGTTCTATAAGAAAATTTAACAAACTAGTCAAGTTTTTAAAGGCAACGTTTAAAATACCCTGGTGTCAAATTGAAGAGAAAACCTTATTAGATCATTGTTGCATTAATCAATAAGTAGTAATGATAAGGGCAGTTACGTTTTGAGCAAATTTTATATGGTAATATTTTACTTGCCAACCAAAATTGGTAATGTGCGAGGTAGAAAATGGATCATGGATTTCAGTTTGTCCAGTACTCAAATATCCAGTATTTATTCAAATTTGAAGAAAGGAAAAATATAAAAAGTTTCCCGAGCCCAGGTGGCAAAAGAAGGGTACTTGAATACGAACAGGCGGTTATGCTGTTTAAAGGGCCATGCAACATGAGGATTTGTTTTTTAAACAGTTCTAGATTTATTTTTAAAGATGGTCCAAAATGACCATCCTTAAGATGGTTGATTATAGCCTTAATGTTCACGATCTACTAGTTTCAAATTGAAGAAAACCCTACATTACTACTTTGTCATGTTGTTGCAACAGTCAATAAGGATGAGAATGTTACGTTTGAACTATTACAACATGAAAACTAAAATTATTATATTATATCGATTTTAAACAGTTATTACAAAGTTAATAATAAAATTCGAATAACGTAAAAACTGATGTGTTAATTTCCCCGAGTCCAGGTGGCAAATGAAGGAAACTTGAATAACGAACATGCATTATGCTGTTTAAAGGGCCATGCAACATGAGAAGTTTACTACATGACAGCTAAAAGTATTATTATTATTATACCTTAGAGACTTAAAATAAAATTCGAATAACGTAAAATCTGAACTGTTAATTTCCCCGAGGCCCTAACTAACCCATGTTTATTTAAAGGGTCAATAATTTCGGGGTTTTTTTGTTAAATAGTTCTAGATTAATCTTATTTCAAGTTGGCCCAAAATTTTATCAAATAGCTTTAATCTGTAAAAATTAGTGCGTTTTTTCGGTAATAAACATAAGAATGGATGGTTTTAAAGGTCAATGTTTACTATCTCCTGGTGTCAAATTTAAGCAACCCGTCAAGAACTTCGTCCTGTTACAATAGTCAAATGAGGATGACAGTGTTGCGTTTTAACTAATTAAAGCATGATAAATAAAATGATTAAACTATTAAAATTTCATCAAAGAGCCTTAGAATAAAGTTTGTCCTGAAATAAAAGTCGAACAACGTGAGAACCGAACTTTTTTCGTGGACCAGGTGACAAGAAATCTAATCGGAACAAAGGTTATTCTGTTTAAACACGATGTAGTATTTTGATTAATTACAGTTTATAGTTATGACAATATGACAACAAATGTTTTAAAGGCGTAAGATCTCCTGGTGTCAAATTGAAGAAAATCCAATTAGAACCTGGTCATGTTGTCCAAAGAGTCAATAAGTACGAGGGGTTATATTTTGAAAAAGCACCGATTGGTATAAAGACTGGCTAAAATGTATTTAAACTATTAATAATTAGTTTTGTACAGCAATTAAATTTAACAAATGAAACAGCCTGTCAATTCGAAGAACAATTAAAACCTTGTCATGCTGAAAGAGTCAATAATGAGGTGGGTTATGTTTGGAACAAATGTTACAATTTATGTTAAGGTAGAGTTTGATTCAAGATTTGAAGAAAAATACTGGAAAATGGTTTGGTCCGGTATTAATATTCAACGGAAATACTGAATGGTGGCTAACGGAAGAAACTAGAATCGGAACCTGTTATGATTATTTCTATAGATATTTTGAAAGAATGAACAGGGGTTAAATGATGAAATATTGTTTGAAAATAATTTCGAGACTTATTGAGAATGGATGGACTTTGAAGGATTAGGAAAATCCCTTTAGGGTTAAGGTCGGCTTTTGTTGTTGTCCGGAATAAAATTTATGGTGTAATTTTCGTCTTGTGGTTTGTTCAGTTTGCTTTTGAAGAATGACGAATGAGAAAATGCGTCGAATGAGAGGAATGTGGAGTTTTGAAGATAACCCCGATTCGAACGGGTTAAATGGGCAAACACGCTTAAACCAATTAGCCGAACGATGAAAAACGGCCGTTATTAAAGCCTGGAGATCGCTAATTTTTTTGCTTTCCGGCCTTTTAAAAAGAAAGTGGAAAAATAACTTTAAATAAATAGCTAAAAATGGTTGCGTTTGTTTCAAAATCTTGTGATGATTGATGATTTTTATAAAGTGTGAAATGATTATTCTTTTTAAAATGTGTTTTACTGAGATTTTTTTTTTAAATTAATTTGTGAATAAAGTGTCAGGTGAATGGTTTACCTGGTGTCATCTTGGGGCATAGTTCTGCGAAAGGCGAGGGTCCGTAGTCGTTCCTGGTTGTCGGGGGCGAGCTCGAAGGCGAGACGTTCATCGGAACGCATCGTTGACGTTTCGAGGGTCGTCCGTGGCTGTGGACCGGATCGAAATCCAGGCTCCGCTTCAACGTCGCGCACGCCATTTTACACTGGCCAACACAAGAAACGACAAAAAAAAAAAAAAAAAGACGCACTATTCTTCAAAAAAGAAGCTCAATCCGAAACTGGGCGAGCACTGGTTCCAAAATGCGGCTCCTGGCTGGTTTTCCCCGATGGAAAATACTTTTCCGGTTTTTTTCTTGTTTTGGCCTCGCACCTCGTATCTTCCTCTTACTTACTCTTTTGTTTTTTCCCCTTCTGTTTTTATTTTAATATTTTTTCCCAAACTCAAGCTGCGAAAAACAGATGCTTGACTGTTGGTTCCTCTTCTGTTGTCTCTCGCCTTTCTGCTGACCCGATCTCCGACTCCTGGCTCTAGACGGGAATCAATATGGCCACACCACCGACCAAACAGCTTTGCATTCCAACAGCTTTCGAGCACCGGCGTCAGAATACGCTGAGAAACATTCTTGATCGAAGATATTCAACGATTATTATTATAAATTAACTTTAATATTAATGACAAAAAACAAAAACGAACAAGGAAAAATACGATGTTTCACAAATTAAACAAAAGATCTTTATAAATCAAATGGTTTCATTGTCAAAGGTCTGTTTCAATTATGCTATATCACATTACAAATCAACTTATTTTCTCATAAATTAAAAACAATAACTTATTTTTAACAAAAAACATCATAAAAAATAAAACCTATTTAAAAAATTACAATAATATAATATCTACAAAAATAAACTTTAATAACACAATGCACGAAATCCAATAAGCCAATCAAGTGACCCTATTTCGAACAAATAATTTGAATTTTTGAATGTTCAAATACGTTTTTCATTACACCAGACAATAAATATTTAATTTAAAAGAACCCATTATATATTCATCCTAAATACTGTTTAATATAGATTTATGCTGATTTTATATTAAATGACTATTTATATTGCATGATATGCCAAGGCAATATGGCACATTAGTTTTTTTACAATTGTATATTTCATTGTCCTCTTAAGAACATCCTTACATTGAACAAATTTTTCCAACAAATAATTAGGTTGAATAAACAGGCTTTTGCCAGTATATATTTGGTATTGAAACTGTCATTTCTGTACACTTGAAAGAATAATAATTGCATTAATTACTTTTATATATTTTTCTACAGTTCATTTTTTTATACCCTGATGAGCAAATTTAACACACTACTCAATAAGCAAGTATCTAAATTTCAAATGTTCCGATAACAATAGTAGCTACGTGATTTGCTCTGATTCAGAATCGGCCTTACATGCCTTGAAACACCCCTATTCAGATGAACCCAATGTGCAGGAGGTACTCACCAGGAGTTTCTGGCCATGTAAATATTAAAGGAAACCATTTGGCAGATGAAGCTGCAAAAGAAGCAGCCATTACAGGTCTTCAAATCAGGGAAATTCCAAAGGGTGATATGACTGTAGTTTACAAGTCAAAAGTTAAGGGTCAATGGAAACAGGTCTGGACTAATATATCTGAAAACAAACTACAGGATAATAAAGGACTCTGTAGGTGCACGGGCTATTTCATTCACAAATAGTAGAAGGGAAGAAGTGGTTCATGTATGGTTGAGGATTGGACACTGTACAGCCACTAAGGGTCATTTGATGGGGCGAGAGGCACCTCCAATTTGCAGAATGTGCAATCAGATAATCACAATATAACATATACTTACTTAGACTTCTGCACTCCTTGCCTATAAGCATCCAAGAAATGCTAAGTGACAATCACGATAGTATACATAATTTGTTTAATTTTCTAAAATCAGCAAATCTACTCGACAAAATATGAGCTTCTCACACTGTTTGTCCTTTTCTTTTTCACTTTTTTGTGATAATAAAATATATTAAAAGGAAGAAGGAGGGAAGGAAAAGGGAAAAATAAATAAATAAATGGACAAATGAATAAAAGAAGTAAATATACTAGATCAGATAGATGAAGATAAATACATGTAGAATAAAGATAATAAGCTAATAATAATTAGATATGATAATAATAAAGATAATAAATAATAATAGATGTAGGTATAAAATAAAGATAAATAAATATAAATAAATATAGATAGATAAATATCGGCTGTCCGTGCGGTGGGTCTAACCCGTATACCTCTTTGAACCTTTGAGATAATGAGATGGTCATTGGGACAAATTTACTACTCAAATTATTAGCTTACAATTAAATCCATTATCTTTCTACATTAGTTACAGTTAATTAAAAAATACTGTAGTCAAAATAAACAATAAATAATGTTTGTTTAGAGTTTGTGAGATGCGGTCTGGTGTGATGTGGGTTTAGAAAAATATTTTCTTTATTGTGCCAACGTTTTGATCTTTAGTGAGGCCCTGAAGATCTCAATAAAGATTGAAACGTTGGCATGACAAAGAAAATGTTTTTCTTAACCCACATCACACCAGACCATATCTCACGATCTCTAAGTAATCATTAACTAACGGTCACTAAACACCATACAGTGAATAATATAACAGTTCAAATGTAGCACTCTCATCCTTATTGCCTGTTGCAACAACATGACAAAATTCTATAAGGTTTTTCAGGAATTGAACCCTTGACCACGGGATCTACTAGCCGACAATCTGACACCTTAACCACTCGATCACCACGATCCCTAGTGATCATAATTGACCATATTAATTATTTAAAATAATTATTCTTTTTATCTAAAGCCTTGGTTGAGATGAAAAATTTATTTTAAAAATGGTAAAAAGAAGGAAAATTTGAAAGTTCGGGGAGTTGCTCACCATAAGGATCGAAGTCACGATAGCTAAAGTGGTTAGAGCAGCAGCCTATTGAGCCAAAGGTCATGGGTTTGAATCCTTCTCGTGACACTAACGAGTAATTTTCGAGAAGAATTTGGGAAACTGGTAGTTAAAGTAATAATTTAATAAAACAAGTAAATAATGCTTTGTTTACTTCCTTTATTAACTTTTGTACTGATTAATTACATTTGCACAAAAAGTAGCATTCTTCCATTCTGCTACACCTAAAGATCACTTTCAGTTAATGTTTTTCCTTCGTTGATTTCATTTGATATTATGCTTATTCTTAAAAAATTTTCAATGTCTCTAGTCAGGCATTTGAGTGGGTAGGACAGGGTGACAGTGCCAGTGTCGTAACATTATTAGAGGAAGGATCACAAAGGCATAGTCGCCAGGAGAGTAAGTGTAAATCACTCTACAAGAGGAAGGGTTCTTTGGTGCTTCAAAGATACAGACTAGAAGGTCAACCTAGATCACAAACCAAAGAGGCAATAGATTCATCCATCATCAGGCTGTACAAAACTACAGCATTACAAGAAATGAGATAACAAATTTGATAAGACAAGTCCAAAATGTTTCGATTTTCTCCAAGACTGTAAGAAGAAGGTTCAATGAAAGAAACCTAGGACTTAGCACCTGGCTTGTAAACCTCTTCTTACCTCACTTAGAAAACATCCAGGCTTCAATTCCCTTGGGAGCATGTGAATTGGACTTTGAAGGATTATGGTCGAGTTCTCTTACAGATGAGGTGAGAGTGGGCCTCAAATCTTTAGAGGGGCATAATTTCAAATAGAGGTTCTCAGAAGAATGGTATGCCCCAGGCTGTATGAATCCTCAGGTGGTATTCCATGGTGGATCATTGATGTTCTGGGGTGGCATTGAGTGCTTGGTGAGGCCAGTTCAAAGTTCAGATTTGAACCCAATCGAACACATTTGGGACCAACTTAAGCTATGAGTATGACCGTGAAACCTAGGTCCTAACACCCCAAAAGAGTTGGAAATGGAAACTTCTTTGAATGGGAAATAATTCCTCAGGATTTTTCAAAAATCTTTTCCATGTAATGCAACAGCATTTAATGGACATGATTTGTCCAGGAGATGGAAATACTTGGCATTAACGAGACAAGTAAAAAGTTAATGAAATCATTTAACAATGCTGCTTGTCAAACATCAATGGACAAATACATTTTGAAGCAACTAATTTTTTTTGTAATTTTTTCAGGGTAGAAAATTTTAAAGTAAGCTAGAAAATAGATAAAAAAAACTAGTTTACACAGGAAAAAATTTATTCACTCTTTTATTCCTGCTGTTTATCAAACATCAATTCAAAAATACCTTTTGAAGCATTCTAAAATTCTTACCTCTGTTGTGTATTTTAAAGGTATTTCTAGGAAATAATAAACTAATGTAGAAAATAGGCAAAAAACCAGTTTACACAGGAAAAAATTTATTCAAACTTTTGTTCCTACTGTTTATCAAACATCAATTCATAAATACCTTTTGAACCATTCTAAAATTCTTTCCTCACTTGTGTATTTTCAAGGGATTTCTAGGAGATAATAAACTAAGCTAGAAAATAGACAAAACAAATTTCTTTTTGCAGAAAACAGTTTATAACAATTTAATATTATTGTTTATAAAATGTCAGTATCTTTTGAAACATGCCAAAATTCTTTCTTCTACTGTGTTTTTTAAGATATGTCTAGGAAATAATAAACTAAGCTAGAAAATAGAAAAAAGAAAAAAGTTTATTCAATATTTTGTTACTGCTGTTTGTCAAACGTCACTAACTTTTGAAGCATTCTAAAACTTTTTTTCTGTCGTGATTTTCAAGGGATTTCTATGAAATTCTAAAATAAGCAAGAAAATAGAAATTAGAAAAATAGAAATAGAAAATAGAAAAAAAGTTTATACAGGAAACAGTTTATTCAATATTTTGTTACTGCCGTTTGTCAAATGTCAATGTACAAATAAATAAAAAAATAATAAAAAAATAGAGGGATGTTTAGGAAATAAACTAAACTAGAAAAAATAAAAAATAGAAAACAGTTTATACAGGAAAAAGTTTAATCTTTTGTTACTGACGTTTGTCAAATTTCAATGTGTAAATAAATCTCTCTTGAAGCATTCCAAATTTTTTTTCCTCTGATGTGTATTTTTGAGGGATATTTAGGAAATAAACTAAACTAGAAAAAATAAAGAATAGAAAACAGTTTATACAGGAAAAAGTTTATTCAATCTTTTGTTACTGCTGTTTGTCAAATGTCAATGTATAAATAAATATCTCTTGAAGCATTCCATTTTTTTTCCCTCTGATGTGTATTTTTGAGGGATGTTTCGGAAATAATTAACCAAACTAGAAAAAATAGAAAACAGTTTATACAGGAAAAAGTTTATTCAATCTTTTGTTACTGCTGTTTGTCAAACTTCAATATCTTGTCTATTTTTACACAATCTGTCGTGTATTTTTAAGGGACTTCTTGAAAATAACAAACTAAGCTAGAAAATAGACAAAACAACTAGCTTATCAACTTAACAACTATAAACTATGCAGAGTGAAATGCAAAATAATGTTTTTTCTGTTATAAAATAGTTGATTTAAATCTTTTATATCTGAGGAATCGATGGGTGAATTTTTTAAATTGTTGAAATACTTTTCGTATGTGTAATCGTGAACCATGTCGGATTGAGACGGGAAAAACGTGTCCATTCAGAGAATCGATGTCGGTTCAGAGATCGATAGCCGCGTCTCTAAGACGAATCGTGTAAAGTAGGAGTTGCGGTTCACTTGATCCGGTCCTGGACGTTTAAAGGAGCCACAATTTCCGTCCGTCTCGGTCTTCTTCGAGCCTCCTTCAAAGATCGCCGTGCCCCATGATTTGACACGATGGGCGGCCAGAAGTTCCAATACGACGAGAGCGGTGGCACGTTTTTTTACTTCCTTCTCTCCTTCTTGGCCCTCATCCTCATACCGAGCACTTACTACTGTTGGCCACGTAAACAAATCGAAGGTAAAGACAAATTACCATTTCTTTTTTTCACCCTTAGACCATCAAACTAAAATTTGTTATTTAAGTTTATCTTTTCGCTTTTTTCCATATTCAGATCCAACGAAGGACGAGAAAGATTGCCACTGCGAGAATTGTAAAAAGAAGAAACAGATTTTGAAGTCGAACGAACCATGGAAAGGGACAAAACAGACCATAGCGTTAGTAATAAACAATAAACTAAAAAAGGATCTACAAAGCACATGCTTAACATCATGTTTCTCTCAAGCAACATGCACATTCCTTTAAAACCTTTTCAAATTCCATCATCATTCATTATGCAAATCATGATAATACAAGGTGCACATTTTATTCGAGGTGCTAAACACTTTGCAGGGTCATGGCTATAAGTCTTATGCTAATTTTCTATTTTTTAAATCGTCATTTAGCTCGGTCGCAAGGATAGAATTGATTGAGCTCTTTTGAATATGATTTTGAGCCAATCTAATGAAATTACAAGCTTTAACTACTAGTTTCAATTAATTTTTCTTTTTATCTAGGACTAGTGGGATCTACTAGCCGAGTCTGACGCCTTAACCACTCAGCTACTGCGGTCCCCTATTAGTCATAATTGACCTTATTAATTATTTCACATAATTATCCTTTTTATCTAAGGTCTTGGTTGAGATTGAAAATTTATTTGAAAAATAGGAAAAAAAGGGAAAATACGAAAGGTTGTAGGGTTGTAAGCTGAGATGGGAAGTTAGTGCCTAAGTGGATCGAAGTCACGATAGCTCAAATGGTTAGAGCAGCAGCGTATTGAGCTGAAGGTCGTGGGTTCGAATCCCGCTCTTGTCACTTACTTTTTCATTTTAACCAAGACCTTAAATAAAAAGAATAACTGATTGAAATAATTAATAATAGTCAATTATGACCGCCAAACATCTATGGATGAATTTAACTACTAGGTTGATTGAAAAGTCTTTGCATCTTTTCATTATTTTTTAAATGCGCTAGGGGAAAAAAAAAGAATTTGCTTGGGTGCCATCCTGAATGCATAAGATGGCATTTGAACATGCTTTATAAACTTAATAGGTTCCTAGTCACTCCTTATAATCCTATCCAAACGCTGCTTCAGAGTATCAACAGTTCAACAAGTACTCAGAAGTCAGACAAGTCGGTGTCTCGCAAGGGAGCATTCTTGATCCAATCCTTTATATCATTTATACTGCTGACCTATCTGCATACCCCTTATCATCATCACGACCTACGCAGATGTAACTGCAATTTTACTCTAACTCAAATGCTATTGAAGCTCTTCCAACATCCAAGAACACCTTGAGCTTATCGAAGACGGGTGCAAAAAGTGGAGAACAAGACTGAATGAAGAAAAATTTACTAAGTGTATGTTCACATTGAAAAAACCTTGTCCTTTACTGTACATCAATAAAAATAAAAAGGTACTGACTTCCGTTCAAGTCACACTATACCTAGATGGCAGGCTGATGTGGAATCCACACACGACTTAAGTTCAAAAAATGAAAGAATATAAAATTGAACCACTTTAGGGCCCATGGGTGAGAAGAATCCGCTGGTATCACAGTGTCTGTAGTTGTGGGTTTTCTATATACGTCTATCTCAATTAGGTTGTTTATTATGGACAATTTGGCCCAAAAGGCTGCCAGTTTCGTTTGAACCACTTTTCCGTTGTTGGCTCTTTAATAAGTTAAACCAGCTGTAAAATATGATGCGCGCTAGTTGTTGTGGTTCAAGATAAGTTCTACCCTTGTGCATAATTTTGAAGAATAGACAAAGCCTTTCACAATACTACTTTGTATGAAATGTTTTTCATCCTGACAAAATCTAATCTTTCCGGTTTGAAAGAAAGAAAAAAATTGATTATGTGAGTATTTGATTGGATTGGATGACAGTTGATTCGTAGGATAGCCCCTGGTATTTTCTAGAAAATTTTATCAACATAAAAGTAAAGGAAATACCTAAATGAAAAGTCATAACTTATTTTTACATAAATTGATCTTTTATCTAAATTCCACAAATTTTATAAGAAAATCCATTTTTGAACAACATAACTTTTAAAAATTGATTGTGTAATCTCATAAATCACAATTGTGATATACGGGGATAGTTGACAGGCCTGTTACATACTGCTTGACTATTCATAATCCTTGTATATTTGTAACTTATGTATTAATAAATAACACTTATGTTTAACAATTAACAACATTTAATTTCACTATTGTAGAAAAAGTAAAACAAATAATTTCAGCATCTTTATGAATTTGAAGAGTAGTAAAGTTGTTCATTAGCATTCCTTGTGAATTAAGACTTTGTTTTTTAAGTTAATAAACTTTTTTAAAAGTTTTCTTGACCATTTCAGAAAACTGGTTATCATATCAGGTTGGCTGGCATTGATTTTCTTAACGTATAAAGTATCACAATTTGATTATGAGTATGCCAACTTTGACCCTTACGAGATTTTGGGCATCCCTATGGTGAGCTTTTATTTGGTTGGTGTTTTTCCAAATTTGTATAAAAACCTTCTTATTATGCAGGGTTCTTCTCAAGCAGCTATTAAGAGATCCTATAAAAAGCTTTCCCTCGTCCTCCATCCCGACAAAAAGACCGGTGATGAGAAAGCCTTCATGAAGCTAACTAAAGGTAGACCACATTTTTTTTTCTGTAACGTGTTGTTTTTCTAAAACTGCTTTATGTTTTGTACAGCATACCAAGCGCTGACAGATGAAGAGGCGAGGAGAAACTGGGAGAAATATGGGAATCCAGATGGACCCGGGGCAATGAGTTTCGGCATAGCTCTGCCTTCTTGGATTGTCGAGAAGGAAAACTCAGTTTGGGTAATTTAAATTTTTTAAAATACAATTTTTCAGTGATATGCTGACTCCTTTGTTGGTATTAGACCATTCAAGCAATATTTTTTTTTAATTTATCCCGCCAGGTTTTAGGGTTGTATGCATTAGTTTTTATGCTTGCCTTGCCTACTGCAGTTGGCATCTGGTGGTACAGGTCAATCAAGTATACCGGAGACCAGGTACATTTTATAAATGTTAAAATACAAATTTATTTTTGACATGTTTCCACCTTTGTTCTCAACTACCAGGTTTTATTGGATACATCACAAATGTATTATTACTTTATACACAAAACACCATCGATGGCTTTGAAACGAGCCCTTATGATTTTAGCCGCATCATTGGAGTTTGAGAAAAAATATAACAGTGACATAGTCGAGCGGCCAACTGACAACATAGAAATACCTCAGGTGAGCGATGTGAAATTTTTTGTTTTATATGAATTTTATTTTGTGCTCAAATTTTGCAGCTTATAAAGCAACTTCCAAATTTGAGTGAGAAAAACAGGGAGAATCCGTTATGCTTCCCTTATTCGATCAAAGCGAGAGCTCTTATCCACGCGCATCTTTCCAGATTCGCCCTCAACCCTCTTACACTCGATAAAGATAGAATGTACATAGTTAAAAAATGCCCTTACTTGATTCAGGAAATGGTCGGATGTGTATCACAGCTTATAATGCTTGCTTATGCGAGAAGAGGTCCGTTTGACACGTCCCATTCTTTTGACTTTATGATTTGTCATTTTTAATTTTGATTTCAGTCGGACGTTTGCCGACGATCGATACCATCGAAAACTGCATGAAGCTGTGCCCGATGATTGTTCAGGGTATGTGGGATTACAAAAGCCCCTTCCTCCAGCTGCCGCACATTGGCGAGGAGCATATAAAATACTTTGTGACAAAAAAGGTAACTATTTAAAAAAAAAACAAAAAAAAACCTCTTGACAGATCAAATTATTTTCAGCGGCACATTAAGAGTATACAGCAGTTCGCACAACTAAAAGCTGAAGAGCGTAGGAACATACTTAAATACCTGAATGACAGCCAGTATGAAGATGTCATGAAAGTCACTGGGAAAATGCCGCTTATTGATATGCAAGTTCGTTCCGAAGGTAAAATTAATATAAAAAAAATTGTTATATTTTAAGTATCAATAAATACAATTTTGTTTAGTTGTTGACGATGAAGCGTCGACAGAAATAACTGCTGGAGCGATAGTCACAGTGACTGTCACTCTAGAAAGAAAAGACATGAATTCGCTGTTCGGCGATGAGACTGTCAAAGAAAAACATTGTGTTATCGATGAGGATGTCAAACAAGAAGGCCAGGGAGATGAGGAAACCAAGGAAAAGGAGCAGACGAAGAAGCCCGTCTGGCAGAAACAGAAGAAAGGTGCCAAAAAGCCATCAAAGAAGCAACAACCAAAGAAGCAACAGTTCAAAGAGAAACAAAGTAACGATAAACAAATCCGGAAAGAGGATGACAAAGAGAAGCCGAAATCGAATGGGACTGAGGTGAATTTTAAAAAATTTTCCCTGTTTAATTATTAATATTTAATCTTTTTTTTTTTAGAAGAAAGAGTCAAATTCTGGGGGAGGAGATGCTGATTCATCTGCAGATGAGAGTGACCTCTCTGATGATGACATCGACAGATCTGATGACGAAGGGAGTGACAAAAAGGTATAGGAAAATAAAAACAACAAATGATTTTTTTTTTACAAAATTTTTTTATATTTTATAGGGGTCTGGAATGGAGGATGATGATGATTGGGAGAAATTCCAAACCAATATCAAAAGGCGTGACAGGGCTCTTGAGGGGAAAAGCAAATTGTCTCATACAGTTCACTGCCCATTTTTCCCAGAGGTGAATTTTTATAAAATTAATTTTTAAACAATTATTCGTGATTTTATTTATTTATTTATTTTTAAGGAAAAGCAAGAGTATTGGTGGGTATATGTGAGCGACCGTAAGTCTAAAACTTTGCTGACTGCACCGGTACATGTGACGAGCTTGGTTGACAGGGAGGAGGTCCAGTTGAAGTTCACTGCACCGAAATGGACCGGTTTCTACACCTTCACCGTCTGCCTTCGTTCCGATTCGTACATCGGTTTCGACCAGACGACTGAGCTCAAGATGGATGTAAAGAAAGCACCCGAGGTGCCTTTGGACCACCCGCAATGGGACCTGTCGGGCGAAGAGGAGGAGAATAAACCTGAGGGCGAGACAAGCGATATATCCGAATTTGCTACAGACGATGATGTCGATGATGACGACGATAAAAACTAAAAAACAAAAAACTCCTGTTATGAAAACTAAAGAACAAAACCAGAAAGCTTTGTACAAATATTTTTTCCTTTTATGTTAAAGCTGTTAAAAGAGGTTAATTAAAAACAAAAACCTTTTTTTTTAACATCTATTATTAATATTATTTATTTAAGTAAAATTTTTTATATGTTTGTCAAATATTTAAAGGATCGATTACAAAATTTCCCTTTTCGGTATTATTTTTAAACCAATTTTTCACTTGAGGAAATATTTTTATAAATTATATTATATACAAAAAGAAAAATTCTGTACAGACTTAATTTAACATTCCTTTTATTTTAACAATTGTTAAATGTTGGTGCTTCCAGGAAAAGGTTGGTTGAACGTAATGCGGAAAAAAAACTTAATTTAAAAAAGAAATTGTTCGCTGCTCAATCATGATTGATATAGACTGAATAATTTTTATTTCAGCTAAAAGAAGAGAAAAATACTTATAAGAACTAAAAACCGTTCTGATTACTATGAATTATATAAAAAAATTGAAACTAGTTTGTAAATATGTTTTCTTTTTTTATAAATATATATACAAAGAGTTTTAGGGGAATGAAAGGAATAGAAATTTTTTAGGGGAGATTTGTTTTTAATTATTCTATTTGTTGATGTAGATAACAGGTCTTTATTGAATACAATTAAATAAATTATGTAAATAAAAAAGGTGTGAATGTTATGACTTATGATGCATAAACAAAAGCCAAGCCTAGATTTGATTTGGATTTGATGAGGGTTTGAAAAAAAAAAGTTTTTGTGCACTCGATAGTGATACAATTAAAATTACCTTTTCTATTACAATTCTTATTACGATGTGATGTGATATTCACCAGGAAGTTCAGTCTACCTGAAATTCCCACCAGTAAAAAAATAGTTTATGATGAAAAGTTGTGAAAAAATGCATTATTTTAAATGTTTGTAACAAATAAATTATTTACGTAGTATGTTTTTTCCCACATTACCTGGACTACTGATGATTAGGGATCGGGATATTTATATTATTTTTAAACAAGGGGAATCTATATGACATTGATCGTCGATTTTAATGTTACTTTTTTGGCGATAAGAATCCAAAAATATTACACATCTTCGAGCACTTGCCAATGAATCCTAGGAGCCTGCAACAAATATTTTATGAGACTGAATATATAGTCACAAATACCAAAATACGTTACCAGTAAAAGAAAACTTATTTGTTAAAAATAAAATCAGATTCATTTCAGCATCCTTTAAACCTGCTAAATATGTTTTAATAGGAAACAAAAAATATATATTTTTGGGCTGGGGCAAATTTTTTTTCTTTTTATGTCCAGTGTTTCACATACAAATTTGTAACTGCTCTGCATTTTAACCAAATTCAATGTAATTACAACTATTAAATTCACTAATTTTGTGGTCTGCTTGACCAATTAATATATTACAATTTTATCTCAACTAAAAACCTTAATTAATTGTAGTAATTACAACTGTTGGAAAGGTACATATTTCTTATTTTAGGCTATGTGAACAATGTTTAGATTTTATGTCAGAAGCAGATTTAAGCAAGATAAGGTTGAAGTAAAACAAAAACGTTTTATTTCTCCGGTTCAAATTTAGTTATGGAGGTGATGTTTGTGCCATTATATGTAGTTTATAGTTCTAAACTGCTGTAAAGTTTCTGCTAGATTGGTGGAGTCGTTTCAAATTTATCACTGTTTGTGATTTTTCATTTGTAAGGTGAAATATTCGAGGATTTTTTTTTATTTTCCCCAAAATTGTGTTCAGAAGTTTTTGGGGGTGAAACTGAACTGCTTCTTGTTAAAAAAATATTTTTACAAAAAAAAAAAAAATTATTGAACTGAAACCATAGAAAATTTACGATTGTGTTATTTTTCTAGATTATTTAAATATTGTGTGTAAAAATTATAAATTTCTTTAAAAAAAAATTCAACTACAATTTTTTATTTACATATTTATTAAAAAATAAATACATATCTATGTACATATTTCATATATAATACCGTCACCTGTGTTCAAGAGCTAACAATTAGGAATAAAAATAAAACTAATACTCGAATTTATATTTAATAATTTAGAAGGTAACAATTTATAATAAAAAACTATAGCATTTTGTTAACACTTCTTATTTATAAAGGCTAAAGAAAAATAAGCAAGGAAAAAAATTCTTTCAAATTAAAAATAATATGAACAATGTTGCTTTTTATACATTGAACATAAAATTAAAATTTAATATACAGTGAGCGTAAAGAATCGGTTTGCTGTTGGGTGTTCATTTGCGCTTTTTAAGCTCTTCAAACCTCCTGGCAAGGTCGGAGAAATCTTCTTCGTCTGAGTCGTTGCTTTCCGGCAGGGGGTTGTCATTGGGCACAGACGGAAGGTCCGGTAAAGACAACTCCGGCGATAGTTTCGACCGTGGCATCGGCTTTGGCTCATTATTGTCCTGCAATAAAATAGATAAATGTTTGAACTACTCAGGAAAATGGTAATGATAATACCAACCTGCATATTTTTATCTGAAGGCATAGATGGATATGGCGGTGGCCCAGACTAAAACAAAAACATTATTTAAACCTGAATACTAGTTCACATTCACAAAAACACTACATTCAACACAATACATGAGAAAAAGAAAATTAGTTTCTGTGAACACATTGGTTCGAATTCAATTAATTTTTTTACTCTGACTTCATGTTCCTAATAACTTTTCTATTATAACAAGCAGACACTTTTAATAAGTGGACAAAATGCAGTGTCCACTTACTGCAAGTTCAACTGTATATATTACTAAAATTAATTTTAAAGGAATTTACTTTACTTACGTTCATTGTTTTTGTTATATTTAAAGGTTGAAAATTTTCATTTCCCACAGTGGGTGGGATGTTGTAAAGATGTGGGGGCGTTATACCGGGGGGAGACGGTCCTCCCATCGCTCCTTGATTGATTGGCATTTGCGGCACTGACGGTGGAGACTGAAATAATAATTCATATTATTATACAGGATATTCTGCATAAAATAATACAAACAAAAAATCACCGGATAGTTAAAAGGGACTGTGGGTTGCATGGGATAATCGATGAAGCCTGGAGGCCTAACGACATTCATATCGAGGTTGTTCGATAACGGGCCATTTGAGTCAAACAAAAGTGCATCCATGCCTTTAGCTTGTTCGTATTCTTTCATAACCTATGGCAAAAAAAATAAGTGATTTTATTCCATTTTGAAAGCATCAGCGATTCAAAAATACCTGAGGATCCGGTTCATAATTTATATGGTAAATTTTAGAAATTTCAATCAAATACTTTTCTATTAGGATTTTCGGCGGCGCTTGTACGCTAAGTTTGTGTCGTAGCTTTTCTGAAATCGTGCTCATCCTTCCTGTCCTGCATTCCTGAAAAAATAAAAGTTAAAAAAAATCAACTAATTATAGAAAATAAGTTAGTTACCTCAGCGTACTTTTTTCCATACTTTGCCGTCAGCTGATCTGAAATGACTTTAAATTCAGCGACCTCACTCGAGAACCTCGGTGCAACCCAGAGTATACTGGATACGGCTTCCATCAAACTCGAGTCCAATTCTCTGAAATTATAAGAATCAAATTGCAGTCACTTTTTAATAGCAAATTTAATAAAATATGGTATCATTATTGACATAAACCAATGTGATCTGTCCTTTGACATAGTTCTTACAATCAATGATTGTGAAACGACTTAGAATCAATCATGTAGAAACAATTGGGACCGAGTGATTTGGACGTCCAACTAGTATTTGCCAAACTAGCGGTTTTGAATCCCGGTTTAGCCCATAGATTTTAATTGAGGATACATAGTATAAAAAATGTAAAGTGGTTTGACCCCCTTGTCCGTAATAACTAAAAGGTAGTTAAAGGCCTAGGCCTTTATGTAAGACAAGAATTATTTTACTTTTCTATTAATTATTTTACTACAATGTTGGATCTTGTTGACAGACGGATCTAGTTCATTTAAGATTATAGGTTTTAGCAAAGAAATTAGGGCAATCATATAATCTTGTGGCCTGCTGGGTGATGAACCTGTAATCCGTGTCTTACCGATCGTCTTGGCCTGCATATTCTTGGTGCCAAAATGCCGAAACACACCTGACAGATCAACAGAACAAGGTTAGGAAGACAAGGAAGATCAGTAACAACCAAACTACAAAGAAATAATTAATTTTTGTTGCAGGACAAGAAGCGGACATGGTTTGATGGTGGTATTGTTGCTAATATGCACTGGTGGGCAGGTTTGATGTTAGAGCATAAATGTAACTTGCTGGCTTTTTTACTTGTACAACCTGATTCGCCACTGATTGCACCAGTCAGCAATGAGGTTCATATGTTAGATTGCTTCTGTGGCTAGGAGAGATAGCAGCCCTCAGAGTTGATAATATTGCGGTGTCGTCCGCATAGGTTGCAATTTGTGTGTTTGGGAGTGTAGGTCAGCAATGTAGATGGCGTAGAGGAATGAGCCTAGGTTACTTCCTTGTGGAAAGCCAGCATTGATTGGCATGATGGGTGAAAAATCGGTGCCGATTCTCAATTTAAATCATCAATCCGAGAGGAAGGACTTTAGGATAAGATAGTAGTTATAAAGGAGGCTGGGGTGCCACACTAGGTCAAATGCTTCTGTAACGTCCAAAATATGGCTAAGCAGTATTTTTTGTTTTCTAGAGCCGAGGATATTATGTCGACTACTCTGAAGCACTGTTAAACTGAATGGAGAGGTCTGAATTCAAATTGATGGTTAGGAATTAAGTTCTCTGAGTCGAATATGGAAATTAGTCTTTTATGTTCAAAGATTTTGGATAAAATAGGAAGGAGGCATATTGGTATATAAGACAATAAGGCATATGGGGATTTGTGTGTTTTTGGTATTGGGGTTATTAAGAGTTTCCATTCGACGTTGTACGAAATACTGCATCTAAATAGATGTAATGTATACTATTGCTTTTTTTTTTTTTTTTGGAACAACCAAATTAAAAATATATCATTATATCTTGAGATTTTTTCCTGTGGTCTGTGGGGGTGATGAACCTGTAATTTAATTCTTTCTCATCTTGGCCTGCCTATTCTTGATGGGCCTGGATCAAACAATGAAGACACAAAATACTAAAAGCTGTCTGACAGATAAACAGATCAGTAACAACCAAATTACAAAGATTTCCTCCTGAGGTCTGCAGGATGATAAACCTATAATTGGATCATAAATGAACTTGGTCTACCTATCCTTGTTTGGCTGCTTTGGATAAGGCAATGGGAAAACGCTGTGAAATTATTGTCAACAATCTGATCAAAGTTTCATACTCGTCATTGTATTCTAGTGTTTGCCCTTGTCAAACTTCAGATATTCAGACGATAACGCAATGCTGAAACATACCTGACAACAAACATACATGGTGATAGACATGATCAAAATCATGATATTCAGCAGACAGTTGGAATAAGCCGATCAGGTAAGACGCAATACTGTCATTAATAGTATTTGTGAATATACATTATTTCTTACTTCATTTCCTGCAGTAGGCCGAATCTTGAGAGTAGTAGATCGCAGTACATCTCCAGTAGTTCCATCGCCTCGACCATGTAGTCCTCCCTGATGATCTGCTCCACCTTGATCTTCGCACGTTCGCACTTCCCGTCGGTTATGTAGTCTGCGATCTCCTTCCTGGCCTTCTGGCCCAGTTCGGACTTCTTCTTCTCGAGCAGTTTGAGCCTGTTCAGCACGAGGCGCAGGTTCGTCTTCAACTTGGGGTAGTTTGCGCCCGAGGAGAACATAATCAAGTGCAGTTCTGAATGGTAATAGTTAAAATTAAAAAGATCAGTTACTGTTGAAGTGTTTACACTGTTATAACACTCGAAGTGAATCAAAAGATCAGCTGCCTATGAGTATGAGTCATGACGCCCAGCACGATCTGACGTTGGTTCATCAACTACTGAGTCAGTACTGACTTCATGCATGTTGCAGAATGCAGATAGTAGCTAGCGTCGCTAGGACGAGAAAAGGAATCTTTTATAAACAATGTCATTTCTTAAATTTTAACGAATATGTCGGATTTATTTAGCTAGTTTTGGTTTTTTAAAGATTAAAATGTAAAAACATTCAATAAACAACATAAAGCAATTCATTTAAACTCAATTGATGAAATATAGCAAAATATAGAGAGTTACTGGATTGACCATAAACTCAGTTACGGACTTATGATAAATTTGAAGATAATGGGATGTTTTTCCTTTCATTTTAACTTTTTGTGTAGCTTAATTTTTTGCGGCTTGAAATGTAAAAACATCCAATAAACAACAAAGCAATTCATTTAAACACAATTGATGAAATATTATAGCAAAATATAGAGATCTACTGGATTGACCATAAGCTCAGTTATGGACTTATGCTAATGGGAAGTTTTTCCTTTTATTTTACCTTTTTGTTTAGCTTAGTTTTAATTTTTTAAAGCTTGAAATGTAAAACCATTCAATACACAATGTAAAGCTGTTAGTCTCAAGACTTCACACATTGTTGTATGAATGTAAGCTTGTTCACATTTGAGCTTATATAAATCAGTACTCATTAATCAGTAAAGCTATTGTTATGGAAGAGGACAAGAGGAGGGAAAAGAGGCGCCCCTCCGAAACATTAGAAGAGAACCGGCGGCAACACTGGGACGGTTGGCAACGCTGAGGGGTTGGTGTTGACGAGAGGGAAGAACAAAGAAACGGGACTAACGGGAGTACGCACGGAGAACTGCGCAGTTGTGGTTGGTTGGGACAACGGCGTTTTGTATTCTAGCGACTTTAATTAAATTACTTTATATCAAATTCTATTTATTTTTAATAATCCTTACACTATCTTTCGTATAAGTTTTTTAAATAGTTTATACATTTTACTTTGCATGTACCCTAAGCTAGTGAATTATATGTAACAACGAAAGAATGTATTTAAGAGTGAGAGTGTGAATGGGTTTGGATAGATCAAATTTGCATGCAAAATTACAGGAAGAAATCCATCATCCCATTTCATTGAATTCATAAATTTTCACTTTTGAATGTAGTACTTTATAATTTAAAAGGAAGTCTGATATGAATACACTGACCTGCTTAACCGGTAGTTAAAAATTCTCTTTTCATCACTCAAGTCTCGGTCATGAAATGGACTCATGGTGTTAGTTGTAAGGGGAATTCTTTGTTCCAGGTAGACATTTTTTCTTCGGAATATTAAGTTTATTGCCTTTTTGTGCTTTTCCCAAATTAGAATTAGACAAAACCCCACCATCTGAGTTTCTTCTGTAGGCCCTTACGTCTACTAAAATGAAATTGTAACACGGATCTACTAGAGCCAGAATCACAATAGAAGAGTATTTTTTCTTGTATTACCAGTAGAGACTTTCAGATAATTTTGGAGCTTGTATTACTACATGTTTCCCATCCAAAGCTCCAATACAGTTAGGGTCCTGCCAATTTTCTCAATATTCATCAGCTATAGCATTCCACAAGTCTTCATTTGGCATTGGCATCACAATAGAAGCAACTGTTATTTTTCCCAACCTGTAGCTGAAAGAATTTGAATTTGTCTCCAGTAGCAAAATACCTAAACCAAAATATTTATTTTATGTTACTTAATTTGTTATAGGTACATTGGAGGATGTTAAAAAGAAATAGACTTCTTTTCGAAATCTGTTACATAGGACAGGACGCTTCAAAAAGAAAGACAAAATCTGGGCATGCTGCTCAAAACATCAGAAAATATAAATATGAAGTTCTTACTACCTTATCTAGGTGAAAGAGAGCCTAACACTGAAGAAAAAACACCTCAACACAAAAGATAAGTTTGTCTTCAAAACAAGATAGTCCTAAGTTTGCCACACCTTCAGCAAAGAAAAGAAAGATCCTAGGTTTTGAAATGAAATCAGAAGACTCCAGTGAGCAAGCTAATGGCTTACATACTATCAGAGAAGGAAGCCAAAAAAGGAAAAGCGCAAAGTTCACCATGTAAATAAGATCCAGTTGATGCTTTTTTTGTGTGGAAATCACTTAACTGGTGCCTACTCTCAAATCACTCAACCCTATTCTTCTGAATGAAGCAAAAGGAAGGATTTTTGGTATAGTTCAGGATTAGAATTAAAACAGTTGAATGAAATAAATTATATAGCATGACATCGCATAGATCATCATCTGCACAGTTGTTTTTCTCAACATCTGAACAGAACTAGCCAAACTTTAACTTCACTTCATCACTGCAACTTCATCAGTTTCCACCGCCCTCATTGTCGCCAATACAACGTTATATATTACCTCAAATTTAATTGCAAAATAAAGAGCAATTTTTACAGTGTTCCATTACATTTTATTTATTTATTTATTTTTTTTTAATTTCCACTTACCTCAACTCAAACATACCACCAAATGTTCTCTCGTTGTGTAAATAATCTCTGAATTGTATCTCGTTTCTTCAGTTTCTCTTGAAGCTTCAGTTCCAGTTGATTGAATGTGTACATCGACATTCTAAAATATTCATAAAACTTCGTCTCATCGCACTTTAGATGTGGAAGCAGCAAGTAAAATTCCCCTTCGAAACATTTTTTTCCCATGCGTCATGAACCTACATTCTTCTCTTTCTGTGATGATGTTTTTCTTTATATTCTTTTCAAACTGTTGGAAGACATGTAGTGTGTGCCTGGTGTGGTTATGTGGGGTCCAGCTTTTAAACAGCAAAGGCCACTCATTCACATTATATGTAGAAAATAATTAGTGACACAAAATATCTCAGAAATTATTCCAATGCTCAAACCGCAAAGTACCATGATTAATGACTTCAAGGGTTGCTATTTTGTAAAGATGGTAATCAGATCAGAACTTTCGGGTTGGTGTTGGAAAGCGCAAATAACTTTCTAATGAAAAAACGTTGTTTTTCAAGTGTTCAAATTTTTCATCGCCCAGACTTGTTAGGTGTAACAGAGTACTGAGCACTAAAACTGAGTTGAAATTCTGAATTTTGCTGGAAGAGAAATCAAATTTTGAGAAATTAAGTCATGCCATTCGTTCAGAGCCTGTTTTGTTGTAGATATTTTATTGTTGATATGGTAATTGAAAGAAAAACGTGGCGATAGCATTAGACTGAGATATTTATATTCCTTTACAATTTCAAACTTTAAAACAATAACAATGCTTTATCTGGCCCGGAGGACCAAACACAAGCATATACCGAAATGTTCTGTCCTCCCTTAACATCATAATGCGCTGAGATCAACTACCAGGTCTCTCATTGGCACGTCCAATCTCTCGGAATTAGGCTAAAGCCTGGGAGACCACTCTCTGAGAAAAGCAGATTGCCTCTGCGATATCCACTTACCGGTGACCTCGATGACACATTCTCCAATATGTACTGCAAACTCTTGGTTCAAGATGACGTCTTTGCATTGTTAAAGGGAGTACAACTGTATTAAAATGGAAAAAATACGAGAAAAGGGTTTTACAAAATCTTCATGTTTAATATTCTTAGGTAAATCCATTACTAAAAATGAGGATTAACATTTATTTGTTTATGACTTGTATTTTCTATTTTGTTTTATCTAACTAATAAAAATATACTGCTTAATTTAATTAAAATTACTAGAATAAGAATAAAATACAAATATCCCTATTCATTTTCGAGCAGTTCACATATAATTAAAAATATAACTAAACACCACACATTAAAAATATGGACATATTCAACATAACAAACACAAATAAAAAGTTTTAAGTATTTTGTCATGATACACATATGAGTACAATAATATAAAAGAAATGAGAAGGAATAATGAGAATTTAATTAAACAACAGAAATATATAAACCAATATAAAGGAAGTGAGAAGGAAGATGATTGAAGTCTGTCTCATTCTGTTTCCAAACATTGATTCAATTTTTTTTTAATTGATGTAATAAATTAATAAACTACATATATTATTTATTTATTTCAGGTTTGCCAAGTGTTTGGATTTTTACTTATGGCTTATCAACATTCTATTTAAAGTTTAATGCACAAGTGAGGTCAAAATTCCCTAAACACACTATTTTCTAGATTTTTTAAATCTCATCATTTTTACAAATTAGTTTGGCTAAAATTCAAATTATCCCTTTTTTGAACGGTAGAACAGAATAGTCTTAAATAATAGACAATTGGCAAATAAAGTTTTATAGTAAAATCTAATAATTAGAGAGGTGCACATATGATGAAATGATTACCATGGCGATGAAAATTAATTAAAAAAAATTATTTAACATTGAAATATTGTGTCTACAGTTGTATATCTTGCAAATTAGGTATATCTAAAGTATATCAGCTTGCCGAGTTGTGAATTAACTTCTAAACTTCAGGTATGTCTTTAGATTATTACAGACAGCACACATCACTAGCAACGGCATAAAAACAATGAAAATGAATATAACAATTTTGTCTTTTACATTTCACGATTAATAGGAAAATGAAAATCTGTTTAACAAAATAATAGGTATCACTAAAATATTCTACTATTGCAATGCTATTAACTTCTTGTATTCCTCTATCAAATTTAAATGTATGTAGATCTATAAAAAGTTCCAGGTTTAATATTAATAAATAACAAACAAACTTTTAACTTGATTTTCAAAAGAAATAAAGACATATCTTAAGATTTTTGAAAATGATTTTGGGTATATGTTAAAACTTGTATGCCAAATGTCAAGCTGAATCCATAAAAATGGTTTACATCATTGAACCAAACAAAATTTTTCTTAAAAAATACGTATAAGAAAAATCAAGATAGCATAAGATTCCAAATAATATAAAAAGGATAGATAGATAACACACCTTATTTACAACAAAGAAAGAACATTACATTAATATACATATTGAACATTTTATTCGTCTGCCTATGTTGGCTATGAATATGATTATTTCATACATTCCATCCATTCTCCTTTTGTTTTATTTGGATCCATTCTGCGATGGATGGACTGTATTTGTTTTTGTGTTTTATTTATGCATTATCAACATTTAAAGATTATTGCACAAGGCCAAAATTCCCTAAACGTTCTCTATGTTCTAGATTTTTTTCTAATCTCATCATTTTTATAAATCAGTTTGCCTACAATTCAAATCATTCATTTTTAGAATGGTAGAACTGAACAATCGTAAACCATAAACGATTAGGAAAAATCATTTTGAATATAAAATCTCCCCGTGGGGACACAAAGCCAAAAAATAAAATAAAATCTAATAATTTGATATAGAGAATTGCACATGTCATGAAATGATTACCATGGTGATGAAAATTCATTTAAAAATATTATTTGACATTGCAATATTGTGTCTACATTTGTACTTCCTGCAAATTGTGTTTAACTAAACTATATCAGCTTGCCGAGTTGTGAATTAACTTCTAAACTTCAGGTATGTCTTTAGATTATTACAGACAGCACACATAATTAGCAATACCATAAAACCAATGAAAATAAATATAGATCTAGGTAGTTGGGGTGTAATAAATGACGCCCTTTACGAGCTATTGTATTGTTCTCTGCCTAAAGCACACCGGTAATTCCTATTTCATCAAGGAACTTGATTAGCAGGCCTGGTTTCAGTGATTGAATCTCTTCTATGGTCACATTGTATAACCCAAAGCACTTCTACCCCATCCTTGAGGACATGCTTTGGTTGTTCTGACTTGTATAATGTATGTTCCTATATTTGTTTCAGCTGTTCTAGTGCTTAACATTTCTCCAATTCTCTAGATGTGGATTGGTCTATGTATTTTTCCTCTATTGAGACCTCATTGATGCATGAGATGCGTTGTCGAAGTCTCCTTCAATGCCAAGAAACGAGCAGATTGCTGTTTCCCTTGTTTTTAGTGTTTTCCTTAGGTCACTAGTTAACTGGTACAGAGCAGTTTCTGTTGATCTTCCTGCTCTGTATGCATGTTGACGGTGATGTAGTGGTTTGTCTACCAGCGCTGTCGTTCATATATGGCTGTCTATCAACATTTCAAGGGCTTTCAATAGAAAGGATGTTAAGCTGATTGCTCTGTAGGATTTGGGTAGTGTAGTCTTTTTTTCCTTTTTTCCGTATGAACACCACCTTTGCCCTATGCCATGTCTGTGGTATATAACCTAGTGCTAGGCTGCTTCTACATATTTGCATCAGTGTTGGAATAATTATATCAGTTTCTTTTTGTAGCAGGATGGGAAAAAGTTCCTGGTGCTTTATATGGGCTGAAAGTATTAATCACCCAGAGGATCTTTTGCTCTGAGACTATTTCAGCTGCTTTCTTCTAATTTTCTTTCTTAGGGTTATCTGCTCTCATAATTCCCGGGGGTATTTCATAAGTGCTGCTCATATGGAAAATGTATACTTAGAAGGAGCTTGGTTTTTGTTTCGCATGTTCTGTACAGCAGCTCTGTTCCTTAGGGCAGTGTTTATGTCTACCCTTGTCTGCCCTTTGCTAGTGCCTTATGTAATCTGGCTGCTGTTGAGATTGAGGAGATTGAGGAGAGCTTTGTTATCTCCATTTTGATGGGGACTAGGTCTCTAGACATGAATTCTGCAGGACAAAGAACATTAGGGTTTTTCTCGGAATACCTCAATTTAAGTGTAGTTGTCGAAGGCTTATATGCATTTAATTAAGTCCTTAGTTTGTTTTCTTAGACACCAGCTCCAGACTCATACGGTTTGTTATGTCCATATTGACCTATGTAAACCATCTGTTTTTGAATTCCACCTTGGTTTTCGCCCATGGATATAGTTATCCTCTTCCTTGGGCTTTCCAGAGTAATAAGTAAAAAACAAAGAATATTTAACAGAATGTATTGAATGAAGAAATTTATTTAAGTTTATACTTGTAAAATATAATATTACTTATTACTCTATAGGTATGCTAGGTCCAGATTTGAAATCATTGAAGGAGCGAACATCACCAAATCACTCCTTGAGATAAAATGGTCCAAAATCTTGGAGTTTGTGAACAAACCCAAGAGATTTATGCAGGATACGTGAGCTGACCAAGTCCCGGACCTTTTAGGGATGGGGTATGATCCTGCCCAGGCATTTAACCCCTCGGGTCTTGGTCGCCCACCCTGTGTAATATATAATCATTCCTTTGTTCTTTTTTTTTATAAGGAAAAAGGAATTATAAATACGTTTTCCGAACTAATATTATATTGTGACCTATTTAGAGAATTAAAGTTTATTTGAAACTACTTGATAACATAATTATTCAAGTAAATCATTATATTAATTTTAAAAATTTATCTCAGCATATTAATTGTTATTTTCAGTTTAGCATTAACCGGTATAGCATTTCAGTAATGAATTTTTGAGGGGGGGGAATAAACAATTTAAATAGAAATTAATAAAGCAGTTTTGCATCACCACAGATTAACAGATGTACAATTGCTATGGATACGGAAATTCATATCATTAAATAAAAAATATAATTTCTAATAAGTTATATTTGTTTCAAGGAAAGAAAACTGAATCAACTTGTAAGCTTGAAAGTCTTTTCATCTTTACTGGTATGTAAAAACATGTTACAGTAAAATAATTTATATACAGTATTTTTTAAATGAACAATTTTGATCTCAGATCAAATTTAAAACAAAATTGAAAAACATCTATAGGAAAATTTGCTTGAATCTTTTGATATTTTTTCTTGAATATTTAAAACAATACATTTGAAGTGCTTATTTTCAATAACATATATCTACCAAGACTGATCGAAAGTAGAACAGAACAGTCGTGAACCATAAACAATTGGGAAAAAACGCTTCAAAATAAAATCTAATAATTTGAAGTGCACATGTGATGAAATTATTACTATGGTGATGAAAATTAATTTTAAAAAATTGTTTGACATCGAAATATTGTGTCTACAGTTGTATATCTTGCAAATTAGATATATCTAAAGTATATCAGCTTGCCGAGTTGTGAATTAACTTCTAACTTCAGGTATGTCTTTAAATTATTACAGACAGTACAGATCACTAGCAACGGCATAAAAACAATAAAAATGAATTTTTACTTTTACATTTCACAATTAATAGGAAAATGAAAAACTGTTTAACAAAATAATAGGTACCGCTAAAATATTCTATTATTGCAATGCTATTAAATTCTTGTATTCCTCTATTAAATTTAAATGTATGTAGATCTATACAAAGTTCCAGGTTTAACATTAATAAATAACAATCTTTTAACTTGATTTTCAAAAGAAATGAAATCATATCTTTAGAGTTTTGAAAATGATTTTGGGTATATGTTAAAACTTGTATTCCAAATGTCAAGCTGAATCCATAAAAATGGTTTATATCATTGAACCAAACAAAATTTTTCTTAAAAAAATACATATAACAAAAATCATGTTATCATAACATTCCAAATAATATAAAAAGGATAGATAGATAACACACTTTATTTACAACAAAGAAATAACATTATATTAATACATATTGAACATTTTATTTGTCTGCCTATGTTGGCTATGAATAAGATTATTTCATACATGCAAAATTAGACACACAATTATATAAAAAAACTGAATTCATATAAAGCAATTATTAATCATGCATGAAGTGCATAGAGGGAGTGCAAAACCTTGGGATTTTTCAATATCAACATGAAAATAAAATAATGGGCAAAAACCCCCAGGGTTGATCCATTTATCAACAATCCTACCTTACTCTTACTCTTTCATGGCACAGACTTTAAAAACACTTGTTTGCACCTAAGTTTAATTAGCCATCGTAGAGCAGGGAGTTTCTGATAGCTGGCTTTTTGATTGAGTTAAAAGCTGCCTCAGAATGTTCTGGATCTATAAAAAGGAGATAAATGTTTTAGGATTGCATATGATGTTCATAAATCTCTGTTGATAACCTGAGTTACTCAAAATATGTATATGTATAGCCAGACAAGTTAGGACAACACAAGATATTTATATCGGTTTACCACCTCTCAACTCTCTCCCCTCGGGAAAACCAGCGCTTGGTCATAGCAGGCCTGCCTCCTCATCTAAACATGACTATCATTGATTTAGCTAGTTGACAGTGATATTCCATTTATCACAGTATGATCCAAGGAGACCATTTCTTTTTGAAGCCCAACAAACAAACTCTCAAAAAAGCCAAGATTGAAGAGGATCATGGATGAATAAGGAAAAAGTAACGGGCTTAGGAAATATATATCCATACATTTCTTTGCCTCACACCACAATAAAAAAATTTGGAATTACCTCGTAACTCCCTCACCGAGCATTCCTTGGCCAATTTATCATCCTATTCATTAATCCTCTGCCCTGTATACTCTGATACCAAACAGCTTTGGACTTTACTACTGCCTGGCTGTCTAAGAAAATTGTTATTCTTTCATTGGTCATACACAGCCTTTTGATCTCCTTGGCACAGTGTTCCATAGCCACAGCCTCTACCTGCTAAACAGTGGCTTGTTGTCCAAGGCTTATATGAACTTAACTCCTTTTTTTTTCCATAGACACTAGCTCCAGACCCATACGGTTTGTTGAGTGCACATTGACCTCTGTAAAGCATCTGTTTTTTAATTCCACTTTAGTTCTCACCCGTGGATATAATTATCCTCTTCCTTAGGTTTTCTAGAATAATAAGTAAATAACAGATTATTTAACAAAATGTATTTAATGAAGTAGTGCAGAAATTTATTTAAGTTTATTCTCATAAAAATATAATATGTTAATTATTCCTCTGTATTTTATTTATAAGGAAAAAAACTAGAAATATGTGTTCCAAACTAACATTATATTGTGATCGGTTTGGAGAATTAAATTTGAATCTACTTGATAACATAATTATTCAAGTACCTCATGATATTAATTTTAAAAATTTATCTCAGCTATTGTTATGTTCAGTCATCAAACCATTAATCAGTATAGCATTTCAGAAATGAATTTTCGAGGGGGGGGGGGAAATAAACAATTTAAATAGAAAATAATAAAGCAGTTTTGCATCACCATAGCGTAACAGATGTACAATTGCTATGGATACGAAAATTCAGTTCATTAAATAAAAAATATAATTTCTAATAAGTTATATTTGTTTCAAGGAAAGAAAACTGAATCAACTTGTAAGCTTGAAAGTCTTTTCATCTTTACTGGTATGTAAATACATGTTACAGTAAAATAATTTATATAAAGTATTTTTTAAATGAACAATTTTAATCTCAGATCACATTTAAAACAAAATTTTAAAAAAGTATAGGAAAATTTGCTTGAATCTTTTGGTATTTTTTCTTGATTATTTAAAACAATACATTTGAGGTGCTTATTTTCAATACCATATACCTGCCAAGACTGATTGAAAGTAAATTTTTTAATATTTATTAACACGTTCAACGCAGGCTGGAATTTCATTTATCATGTCCCCCAGGCAGGAAATTAAAAACAAATTCTTATGTCTTGAAGATCCTGTGTTATAGGAATTCTTTTCATATCACTATGCGCTCTCTATAAAGAGCCACCCATTCACTTAGATTAGATGGGAGCAACCTTTCTCTGCATGAAGGAGACGTGGAATTTGGCTCAAAATTAAGTGTTCGTGTGTCAAGCTCACAGGGTTTATTCTTAATCGGATGAGGATGACCCTTCTATGAGTCTGGTCCTCCAAGGGCCACCAATTGACAGTGCTCTTAAGACGTAAGACCTTTTCTGCCGATCCGGCGCTTGTATTTAACATTATAATGTTCTTAATTATTTTAATTAATCCATAGTAATTTTTTTTAAAGAAAAAGATAATATATTTTCCAAACTAACATTTTATGTTCATTTTATATTCAACTATGTACTTGCTATAGAGTATCAGGTGTAGATCAATCGCCATGGATACGAAAATTCATTTTCGAATAACATTTAATATAAAATATATTTACTAATCAGTTCTTTCTGTTTGAGGAATTAGTGAAGAAGAAGAGAAGACGTTACCATTCTGATTAATTAAAAATCTTCCATCTTCATCGGTATGTTCACATGTACTACAGTAAAATAATTTATGTCAATTGACTACTCTGAATACCTTGTACCTGCAAAGATTGAAAGTCAAACTGTATATTTTAATTGTCATACAAAACCAAAGGTTAATTGTTTAGAGAAAATTATAATTCAATTTTTTTAGAAAGTGTTAACAGAAGAAACATTTATTTTTTAAATTATGAATTGAATTAATTATTAATGGACTTAAATTCATACCTAAAGCATAAAAATAAAATTTAATGTAATTTTTTATGTGTAATTTTTTTCCTTAATTTTTTTTTAATAGTTATATTTCTTTGAAGACTTGAAGAAACTCAAATACTACATCGACCTGCTAACTGTCATTCAATATTCAGGTTTTTCTTTAAATTTTATTGCATTAAAAAATAACATCAAACTAAATGTTTTTATTTAAAATGTATGATGAAAGTTGAATTTTAAATTTTTTTACGTTTAAGCATTAATTTTAATCAGTACTCTCTGCTTTACAGTTACAGGGAATTATCACATATTTATTTTATTTTCACTGTTTGACTATATTTTATATATCACAATGCTGTCCGCATTGAAGAATACGTACCACATAATGACAAGGATTAGTCATAACATCGGATGGACAATGTCCCAAAGACAAAGTTCCCACAACAAATTGGAATACAGACCGATTAAAAACATTTTAGTGGCCAATCGAGGTAAAAGATTTCCTATTCTAAAAAAAATGCGAGAGGTTAATCCTTTTTTTCATCAGGGGAAATTGCCGTCAGGGTATTTCGTGCCTGTGCTGAATTGGGAAAAAAGTCAGTAGCCATATATTCAGAGCAGGACAAAATGCAGATGTTCAGGCAAAAAGCAGATGAGGCGTATGTAATAGGAAAAGGGCTTCAACCGGTTCAGGCCTATCTCAACATCCCTGAAATCGTCCAAGTCGCAAAGGTAAAAATGCAAACTTTTGACTACCATTTGAAATTTAGTAACTGAACTATCTGGAAATTAAAGGAAAACGGTGTTGATGCAATCCACCCTGGCTACGGATTTCTTTCGGAGCGTGCTGATTTTGCAAAAGCTGTCATAGACGCGGGTCTGAGATTCATAGGTCCTTCCCCCAAAGTCATTGAGCAGATGGGAGATAAAGTTGCCGCGAAACATGCGGCGATTGCCTCCGGAGTGCCGATTGTTCCCGGTCAGTTTAAATTTAAAAAAATGTTTGTTTCGGTTTATTTATCTTATATATTATATTCAGGTACACCTGGACCAGTAAAATCATCAGATGAAGCAGTCAAATTTTGCAAGAAGCATGGGCTCCCTGTAATTTTCAAAGCGGCTTTCGGCGGCGGTGGAAGAGGAATGCGAGTCGTCAGGGAAATGAAGGTATAAGCAAGATGTGTATTTTTTATTTAAAATGTGTTATACTCAAATAATTTCCTTTAAACAGGATGTGGCGGAAGCATTTGGGCGAGCCAGCTCCGAAGCCGCCGCTGCTTTTGGCGATGGAGCTATGTTTATAGAAAAATTTATTGAGAAACCGAGACATATTGAAGTGCAGATTCTTGGGGATAAAGCTGGTAACATCGTCCATTTATTAGAAAGAGACTGTTCGGTACAAAGAAGACATCAGAAAGTAGTTGAAATTGCCCCTGCGCCGAATTTGGATTCAAAGGTAAATGAATCGTTTTCTGAATTATCATCTTGAATACAAAATTAAATTATTTTATTTTTAGTAAATTATTTTTTGAGTTAAATTGATGTGATTGCCTTTGTTCTCATTTTATAATTGTATGTTTTTGTTAAGGTTCGAGATGCTATACTTGAAAGCGCACTGAAACTAACGAAACATGTAGGGTACGAAAATGCAGGAACTGTCGAGTTCCTAGTCGATGCACAAAATAAATTTTATTTTATAGAAGTAAATGCTCGCCTCCAAGTCGAGCACACTGTTACAGAAGAAATCACTGGGTAATTTTTATTAACTAAATCACTTATGTACTAGTATTTTTCACACAAGAAACATACTTACATATTTTTCAGGGTTGACCTGGTTCAGTCTCAAATAAAAGTCGCCGAATGTATGACACTCCCAGAGATGGGGTTGTCTCAAGACAAAATCAAACATTTCGGATGTGCTATACAAGCCCGTGTCACTACGGAAGATCCGACAAAAGCTTTCAGGCCTGATACCGGCAGAATAGAAGTAATCTCTTATTTTCTATTTCATCTTTCAATGCTTGAAACTTTCTTTACGTCCTGCAATAATCGTCAATCGTTAGGTATTCAGGACAGGCGAAGGGATGGGTATTAGAATTGACAGCGCATCACCTTATCCCGGAGCGATTGTAAGTCCGTATTACGATTCCCTTGTGGCAAAAGTAATTGCACATGGGACAGACATGAGTTCATCATCGACAAAATTAGCCAGAGCACTCAGAGAATTTCGCGTGAGAGGAGTCAAAGCAAGTGACATTTGTTAATTATAAATTTTACTTCTAAAAAAATAATAACCCTTTTTCCTCCCATAGACAAACATACCGTTTTTACTGAATGTTTTACAAGATCAAAAATTCCTGAACGGCCTGGTTTACACTAATTTTATTGAAGAAAATCCTCAGTTGTTTCAAATCAAGCCGTCAAAGAACAGGGCACAAAAATTACTGAAATATTTAGGAGAAGTCATGGTCAACGGACCTCTAACACCGCTAGCAACAACTTTACGCCCATCAAAAATTGAAGTAAATGTCCCGAAAATTCCTACCGGTAAGAAATCTAAATTATCTTATAACATGATTGACATATGTCTCACTTGATTCTCTTAAAAGTGATATCTCTCACTCAAGGAAAGATTTGATGAAATTTTATGTTTAACTCTTTATGTAAAAAGTTAGTTTTAACCAGTAGAAATGTTTTAAATTCATGTAGTAATATAATTAAAAAAACAACACTCTGATTAAAATATAAAATAAATAATAAAAAAGTCCATATATTTATTATAATGTTGTCTGACAGCAACTTTGCCACCACCCGGGCTGCGTGATATTTTTAAGAAAAATGGGCCCAGTGCTTTTGCAAAAGAAGTAAGAGCGAGGAAGCAGCTCCTTCTCACGGACACAACGTTTAGAGACGCCCATCAGAGCCTCTTAGCAACGAGAGTACGCACAATGGATTTATTAAAAATATCTCCATATGTGGCGCACAATTTCCCTAATCTATATTCTATCGAAAACTGGGGTGGGGCGACATATGATGTCAGCATGAGGTTCCTGCACGAGTGCCCTTGGGAAAGGCTAGAGGAAATGCGGAAAAGAATTCCCAATGTCCCATTCCAAATGCTACTCCGAGGAGCGAGTGCAGTTGGGTACACCAACTACCCAGATAACGTCGTTTTCAAGTATTTATTTTTAATTAATTTTCATGATTTAGAGAAAATTTCAAAATTGGTTTTCTATTTTTGACAACAGGTTTTGTGAACAAGCAGTCAAATCTGGAATGGACGTATTTCGCGTATTTGACTCACTGAACTATTTACCAAACTTGATACTCGGAATGAATGCTGTAGGAAAAGCAGGCGGCATTATTGAAGCAGCGATCTCCTACACCGGAGACGTTTCAGACCCTACACGACAAAAGTATAACCTCGAGTACTATAAGACCCTTGCCAAAGAGCTGGTGAAAGCAGGAACTCATGTACTCTCTGTAAAAGTAAATTGTCTATTATACAGCTGAAACAAACTAGTTAATTTTATTGACACTTATTTACAACAAAAAATTATAGGATATGGCTGGACTGTTGAAGCCAAAAGCAGCTAGAATATTAATCACAGCCTTGCGTGAACAACACCCCGATGTTCCCATTCATGTGCACACCCACGACACAAGTGGTGCGGGTGTTGCATCGATGCTAGCTTGTGCTGAATCAGGGGCCGACATCATTGATGTGGCGGTAGACTCAATGTCTGGAATGACATCTCAACCTTCGATGGGTGCTGTGATCGCTTCCCTTGGTGGAACAAAACTGGATACAGGTTGGGTATCTACACCTTGTGGGTATGCAGGTCAAATCCTTTATTTATATGTATTACAGGAATTGAGCTGGCCAAGGTATCAGAGTATTCTGCATATTGGGAACAAGCCAGAACGCTGTACGCCCCTTTCGAATGTACTGCAACCATGAAGTCGGGTAACGCGGATGTGTACCAGAATGAAATACCAGGCGGCCAGTACACAAACTTACAGTTTCAAGCGTTTTCGCTTGGTTTAGGTGAAAAATTTGAAGAGGTGAAAAAGGCGTACGCAGAAGCCAATATTATCCTTGGTGACATAATAAAGGTGAATGAATCTTTTGGTTCGTTGTTTTTTGAACACATCATTTCATCCTTTGACCATTTTAAAGGTAAGAAAAATTGATAAACATTTTGAGGGTCTGTCCTGGCAATTATAACCCATTCAAGATGAAATGATTGTT